GCAAGTCCCGTTCAAATCTGACGATGACAATAATTCTGTCTAGAGCATCTCTGTTGCTGCTTGTGCCTGCGTCCAGTTGCGGGCCTGCGCAGGTACGGGATGCGACTGCATCTTTTCTTAACTGGCCCATCCCGACAGACGTTCACTAAACCCTGCAGCCCTCTGAGTTCTCATCGTGAGATGGAATAGGCAGGGGTAAGAGGGTGGGTGGTCTTCAACACTTGCATGCAAATGCACAGCGGCTATGTACGTCTGGAACTTGTCCAATCAATAGCCCTTGGTGGGCCGTGGGCTCCACGGTGCCAAGCTGGGACGTTTCAGCTGCTCCCCTCATGGCCATGGTTGTTAGCCTTTTCAAGTTAGATTAAGCCGTCTTTGTAGCAGTTACATCCACGGCATGGGTCTCTCTGGATCCTCCGGCTAGCCTCCGTGTGCCCCTCAGGCATTTGACATCCTACCGCTCTGGGGCAGGCTTCTTCGGTTCGTCGGTGGCCAGCCAGACAGTCGCTCGCCACAAATATCACATTGTTACGGACACACTCCACCCGCAGGATTGGGGCCACCTGTTGCGGGAACAAGGCTGGCGGAGGACGTTGTCTCAACAGCACGATAGGCGCCATATGGCGGTTGAGCGCCGCGTTGCACAAGCACTTTTGGCATCATACGTTTGGATCAAAGCTGACCTCTACAGACTCTGGAAGGTTCGAAGACGGCTGCGGCCATTGACTTCCCGTGTCTTAAAGGTTGAGGGCACTTATCGACAAGAAGTCATGCGGGTGTGCTCTGAATCGATTGTGTCGATCCCGCGGCACGGGTCTTCACCCTGAGATATCAGCTCAGTCTGCCGGCATGCTCCTGAACGCCATATACGAGCCCTAGGAATATCAGCACACATGCCGAGAGGACGATAATCAGACACGATAGCTGTCACTCCTTCAGACCACAGGGGTGACATCGCAAAGAGATGATATGGCGCCCTTCTCTTTACTTCATGGTGTTCGATCGATGTCGCCACTTTAGAAGAGACTTGGTGTCGACAAGTTGACAGGCTGACATTGAAGACACTCCATCTTTGATGCTCGTTTGGGTTTGGCTTCACAGGGGAGCTTTGAGCTCGCGCCAGCCTCCCGATGTCGTTGATTGTGGTCACGAGAAACGGCCACAAGTAATCCAATCAACGAGAACCACGTCTTCAAGCCCACACCACAAGTTTTTCCACATTGGTACGCTGGCGCCTCCCGTACGGCCTCAAAGTTGGGGAAGTATCGATGAGGGGAATCCAAGAGGTTGGGAAGTACGGAGTACCTCTGAATACGTTCAAACCAATGCGGGTGACAAAGAAGATGACGGCAACGGCTGCATCGAACGATATTTGTGTCGACGCCGACCTGGTCACTTCTATCTTTACTTTTCCATGTCAGCAAGACTTGTCAATGCGTGTCACTCGGCCCCAAGTATGTGCCACGACTCGAGAGTCAGACCATCCCATGCAAAATGTAGGGTTGGGAGAGACACTGGACCAGACCTAATTTGCTATAGAGAAGGCTGCAAGACGGTCCGCTTTCCGCCTTTACTACACATGGGATCATATGCTATTGTCTCTTCTACCGGCCGGCGGGCTGGAGGGTGGGCACTCTTGAGCTAGAGAAATGTGGCTTCGGTTCTAGCTCTCACAGTGCACCTCCCCTCCCCCCTCTCTCTCTTGAGGGCGGTGACGTGATGAAGATTTCAAACCTTCGAGGAGTTCAGATTCGCGGGAGCGCACGACATGCTGATGGCTGCAATGGCTTGGCGGAAGACCTGACGACGGATCGTCGTTCGAAAAACACCCTACTCTGCGGTGTGTCTCTGGACGTAAGCTCTCAAACTCCCGGGCTATTGTGCATTTGCCGTGATATACAGAGGATTTAGTCTTTCGGGTTTGCCAACCTTCGCCTGCAGCTACTAAGACTAATCGTCTCATGTAGAAGAAGCTTCGGATCTCTCCTTGCATCACGAACTGCCTCTGCGCAAACGCTACTGTGCAGCAGCCGTAGTTGCAGAGACGACGGTTTGATGCAGTCCGAACGGACGACAAGGCACGATGGCACGCCGAGAAGATCCCCGTGAGTGGCTCGCACGGAAGGCCAATCTTGCATGGCAGAAGCGTGCCGATATCATGAGAGGGTCCTCCAGTATGAGATCTCGAGCCTCGCGTCTGCCTCACATGTCAAGCCACCCGTTCTATCTTGACAATTGAGGCCGTACCATGTACTGTGTACTCTGTCTCCTGCACACCCCACAGTACCCGACAGGGTTCGCCTCTCGATGGTTGCCGCACCGTGGCCTCTGTTGCGGCGCCTCTTAGTGAGGTGATATCCAGATACCAAAGAAGCTTAGTGCACATCTCACCGCTCTTCTTGAACACGGTCAGGGGCGGCTCTATCACACGCTCCCGAGATGCCTCGAAAAGAGCCGATAGGCACACCCAACTTGGGCCTGGGCTTCCAGCCAATGGAATTTCAAGAAAATACACCTTTTTCCCTCTTTCTTTTTCTCTGCTCCCCGGCCGCCGTCTTGTTCGCTCTCTGATCCTTGCTCCCTGTTCCTTGCAGTGTCTGTCAGTCAAACAGGAAGGGGTGAGCTATTCGCTCGGCCGTCAGTGAGGTCCTCACGTGGAAATCAATGGCTGGACCGCTTCGGAATCGCTGATCTCAGTGGTCCAGGCTCCCACATCCATCACTGCAGCAGTGGATACTGTTGGAACCCCAACCCTGTTTCCAAGGTTCCGAATTGGAACAACCGGTGTGCGTCGGCTGTGACGTCGAGTCGATCCTTGCCAGCCGCCATGCAGGGCTCGCGTCTTGCTCCGCTTGGAGCACTGGAATGAGCCGAACAAGCGGTTCAAATCTAACTGACGATATTGTACTGAAAGACGCCTTCCTCCTTGTCTCTATCTGCTCTCTCACTGGCCACTTGGGAAACATCGAATCCTTTCCTGTCTGGACTCACTCGACACGACCACCTGACCGGGGTCGCGGCTAGGTTGGGAAGGTCGCAAGCTCGTGAAGGATCTCGGGTTTGAGACAATTGACGAAAAGTCGATGGGGGTGCACACCCTTTGTGCGACGGTCAGGGCCCCTCGTTATATTGGGACTTGCTTTTTCTCGCAACGGTCTACTGTGGTACGTACGAAATACCCAGCCTCGAGACCCAGCCTCTTCTCCGCAAGGAGTCTTCCGGACGTCCATCTCAACTTCGCCTCCCCTTTTCGGCAAGCTGGTCGTCGTCGGTGCCAATGGGATATCTGCCCGGGTCAGGACGGTAACAGTACCCCGTCCAATGTACGTACAGCATGTACCGCGCACTCGCATACTGCGTGTGTGGACTTGCTATCTGCAGGGCCCAGGGCCCAGGCCCCCTCCTCTCCCCGTCCCCCCCGCCAGCCGGCCTGCCTGCCTGCTGCTCATCACGTCGCGGCGACGGGGGCGGATCTCTAGAGCGCACCAAACCAAATCTAATGCCTCCGCCCGCAAGCGTGGGCAGTCGGGATAGCTGCAGTGCAGCGTCGTGGCAGCAGTAGTCCCCGTCCGGATCCGCCAGGGTTGTGTTGTGCGGGCGATCTGGCTTGCCCTCTTCCTGCCTTATTTCCCGCATGCAAGAACAATACGGGGTGACATGTTGGCACATTAGCCTGCGATACAAGGAAAGCTACGACATGACCGGTGTCGAGTGTCGCTCTAGTCTAGCGGCCTGGACTGCCTGGGCACATACATTTGCCCACACAGGCTCTGACAGCGGAAGATGACTGTTGCCTGCCTGCCTAATTCTTCTAGTCTGCACACACATACACAAACTCACCTACAGCACAAGTCATGCACTCTAACTTGACAGACACTAACTGCATGTTTCTGCTCCGGTCATGTATGTCCGATTCAAGACAACGATCTCGCGGTGCATCGCGTCGTGTTAGATGACAAGCATGAGGAACAAAAAGGTTGCGGAACAGCTGCGAGCGCGTGTCTGCTGCAGCTGCAACGAGGGCCTGCATGTTTGGGCGGGAGGGGAGACACCAGCGTGTCTTCCCTTGAACACATGCAGGCATCCTAACCCCGGCCTGCTAGAAGGCGGAAAGGAATGTCTTTCGTCTTTTCTGTCTTTATTCTCCCGATCAAGCAAGGTCCCGTCTTTTTCTACGTACAGCACCTTTCACTTCTGACGGAGCCGCGCCCTAATCGTGCAGCACATGCTAGAGGGGAGGAAAAAAACGGGAAAGGGAGGGGAGGTGGCCACCTGGCTGCACAAGCGAGGCCACCGGAACTGCACAGGACATTTGGCCGCCTGCACCTGGTGCAGCGTACAGGAACGCTACTGTACTGGGCGGCAGGGCGGCAGGCTCAAAATGATGGAGGGGGGGCAAGGGGTTCCATATAATTCCTTCGCACCCCCCTCCCATTCGATCATCTGGAGATGGGGTCTCGCCTTGACTACTTACAACTCACCCAGGCTGGCCAGGCCGGGAGACAAAAGAGACAAGAAAAAGGACACTAGACAACTCAGCATGGAGGCGTGGTTCCAATCTTTTCTTTCCCGCCTGCCCAGCCTTCCAGGGGTTCGCTCTGTGTGTGGGCAAGGGCCGCAATGATCCTCAACGAGGTGGTATTTGCGGCACGACGTGCGTTGTCCCTCCACACCATTTAGATTGCGTGTGTGATGGTGTTCACTTTTTTTGGTCTGGCGATACTATTCTAGGGTCTCTTGAAAGGCGGCCTTCTCCCCCCTTTCCCTCCTGCGATGATGATCACGCGAGGAGGAGAAGGGGGTGGGCTGGCTGGCTGGCTCGATGGCTGGCTGGCAGCCTGGTCTGGACCATCCATCCACCCCGTGGGCGAACAACAACGACAATAACAACAAACCGCCTTCGACTGCGGATTACAGTATTCTCCGAGGATGGCGACCTGTAATTCCCCCCACCCAGCTGCTGCTGATGCTCCTCCTCTCGCTCCTCAGACCCCCCGGTCTCACAAGGTGCTGACGAAACGGGCGTCTCCGGCGCCGCGGCCTGGAAAAGCTCCCTTGTGCTTATGCCCGCTGCCTGCTGCTGCTGCCGCCGCCGCTGCACCGTCCGTGTTGTGCTTGCCATCCTGCGGATGCACGTATGATGCGCATAACGGGAAGGCAGGGCAGGAAAACGGAGCTGCTGTGCGCGCCGCGGCAGCAGTGGGCCGGGGCTCTACGGTACACTGGTACATGGCCACGACCCTTTGTACGCTGCTTGCCGCCGATCCTCCCCCTTCCCGGTCCTGATTTTCGTGTTGGGCGGGACTTTGGAGAGAGGAGAGGAAGCGAGCGGTCCTGTGCTCCCTCCTGTCCCTCCGGGGCGAGATGGACTTGGGCTTGAGGGGTGGGGTGGTGGGGGATGCACAATCTCTCTTGAGCTGTGCCTCCCTGTTACAGTAGCTCTCTTTTTGTTGTGCCTGTGTGTGCTGCTTTGCTGCTGCTGCGGTGCGAAGGCGCTATGCGATGCGATGCGATGCGACCGGCACCTCTTTCGAGATAGATGAGGGCAAAAACTCCCCGGCCTTCTCCCTCCTGCCCAGGCTGTATGACCTCCGCTGGGGACGCTGTCCGACCGGCCGACCGACCTACCTCCTCTGGGGTTTGGATTTGAAGGTTCGCGCGGTTCGCCTCCTCCCTCTCGCAAGCGCCCTGGTCTTTGTGGGACGGCGAGAAGATGAGCAGCCCGCGACCCTTCAAGCGATGCAACTGTAATTTTGAGTTCATGCAAAATGCGGCGCGTTCTTACGTTGGGTTTTTTGTTGGTGATTAGCCTACAACTGTACTGGACGTTGCTACTGCTACTACTACTGTTACCATACATAGCCATCCTCAACGCCCCTTTGCCCGACCCACCGGTTATGCTGTGCGATCGCCCGGCGCCCCAAGGCTACATACGCGCCGTGCTGCTGCTTGCTTGCTTGACGCTGTGCCAGCGTCGGTCAGATTTGGACCCCCTCGCAGATCACGCGTTTGGCTACCTCTCCAGGAACCCGGTCAGCGATGGGACGGACGGGGCTTGTTGGATAGGAAGGGATGGGCGAAAAGCCTATCTCGATGATCTTGCATGGTCCGCTCCGTCTGCGGTCAGCGGACCTTCTTTTTTTGGTGGTTCGAGATTTGGATTTCTTCAACGCCGCGATCCTACCCTGTCTTATGCTGGACGGAGGCGTAAATTGTTGTGTGTCTAGGTCGAACCGGGAAGAGAGATGTACACGTAGATAGATACCCGGTATGTAGGAGGGGTGTGTAGAACGGTGAGACTTACATTCAGGTTTGTGAGTTGTCACGGGTGATCATATCTGTTACCTGTGCCGTCATGGATGACTTCTAAGAAAAGAGCAGTGCCTCACGTCACCTGTGAATGTGAAATATCTATAGTACAGTTCAACTTACAAAGAATTATGAAAGCAGATGTTTGATTTATTTGGCGGGCGCTTTGATCTCGAGTGGGCTCGCAACTACGTGACGTTTGTAGGATATAAAACGGAGTGCGGTAAAGTCCACGACCAGGGGCCCTCTCGCTCGGGCGTGTTCGCCTGATGCAGACCTTTTTCCTTTTATGCGAACAGCTGGGACGGCCCGTGGACTCGTCGATTGGCCTCGCCAGCAACTCAAATCCCGTGATGCGTCGTCGTGGGGTGGGTGTCCGGTGCATCACAATGACTTCACCCGTGGAGGAAGTAGACGTCAAATAACAGCGGTTGACCCGGCTATTGCCCATGATCTTCCCCTTCTCGCTCATAAGCACAGGGGTTTTTCTGGGCCCCGGCCCTGTAGTCGTTTGAGTTACCATTCTAAATCAGCCCTGGGGCCACCACCATCTCGGTGTGCGGCCGCCGCGAAATGTCCATTTCAGCGCTGTGGGAAAGGGAAGAGGAGGGTTGTTCCCGGGCCAAGAGGCGTTTGATGCGCGCGAGGGAAACCCTCGTCCGGGTTTGTCCTGATTTGCGGTTTCGAACCCGCCCTCTCCCCCCGCTAGCCCCGACGGAGGGAGCCATTCTCGGAACGATCCTTTGCAGGTGGTGGTTTATGCCGAAAGGCTAACTCTGCCACCTACCATGTGCCGCTCTGGCTAGGGTTCACTTCAAGAGGAGGGGGAAATGTGGCGCGCTCGACCGAAAGATAGGCCAGACAGCCAGACGGACAGGCATCGGGCTTGCTCGTCCTCGGTCGGGCGAGACATTTCGACATGGGCCGGTCAAGAAACTTGAGAGGTCACTTTTATATTACACGGCAGGAGGGGGGGTGTTAGGGAAGGATTCACCCAGAACAAGAAGATCCCACTAGATAGGAGGGGAGGGGGGTGAGTGTTGTTCCAGCTTCCCAGCTCGCGGGCGGGGAGAACATCCCATTTGCCAGGTTTCCGGGGGGTGGCCAGCTCGCCACGGCCTTGACTTGATGATGTGACAGGCGATAGACAGCCAGGAGGAGGAGGGGAGGACGTTGCTTGACATGAGCTGAGCTGCGCTGCGCTGCGCCTCCCAATTGCAGTCGATTGGTTGGGGGCTGGGGGTCCCCTCGCTCTGCCTGCACCACCTGCATGAACCACCGGGGTGCCGCACGGGACTGGGGGAGGGAGGCAGAGGTAAGAGAGAGTGGCGAGCGAGGAGCAGAAGCAAGCAGTCCTGGCAGCACCACCCGAGGTCAATCACGGGAGGCAGAGGCATGGCATGATTAACACAATGGGTTATGCGTGAACACACCGTCCAAGCACCAGCACCTCTGGAGCGGGACGAGGGCTGCTGGCCGTTGTCCCGCGCATGGGAGGGCTGGAGTCCTCCTTCTCCTCCTTCTCCTCCTCCTCCTCCTCCTGCTTCTGCTGCTCCTCGTGCCAAGTCCAGCAGATTGGGCGAGCCAGAAGAATTTGAGCATTTGCATGGAGAAGCATTGCTATTCCCCTGCCTTGCCTTACATTGCCTTACATTGCCTCGCCTCGCCTTGCCTACCCGTCTGCTGTGGATGACGGGAAGCAGAGGGAAAAAAACGTGCTGAGCTGGGATACCGGGCGCGGGCTGGAGACGAGCTGCTGGTGCTCCTAACCTCAACCCACGCTCCCTTCTTCCCGCCCGTCACTTGTCGGATCAGACAGCCTTGAATACGACGGCGAAGTACGTGCGCACGCAGCATCAACCTCTCTGACAATGCGCCCCGAAACCCAGCGCATGCACATCCTTTCCCTCCTGGCTGGTTGCCTTCCCGCATTGCATGATGCCCGGGGGGGAGGGGGGCGGGAGATCAGTCTTGGGCTGCTGGCCTTGGGGCCTTGGGGCCTTGGGGGACGGGACGAGGGGTCGGCCTGCAACCAGAATCGTGGAACAGAACACACACTGATGCACTGACCCTATGGTATGATCGCGTTCTCCTGGGTCCAGGGCCTGAGGAGGTTCTATCCTGTGCCCTGCGCTGCCGAGGCCTGGCCTGGCCTGGCCCGGCCCTGCCCTGTTTGTGATGCCATTGTATCCGGTCTGATGTGTTCTGGTCGTGTCTGGTCGTGTCTGGTCTGATGTGCGAGAAACCTTGAGCACGCACACGAGGCACGCGATGGGGGGGAATAACCACTTCCACCGCAGCTGTTGGGCTCCAGCTGTCCTGAACCGCAACTGCCGTCGTGCGCCCAAGACAAACGTGGGATGGCTTGCAGAGCACAAATGTATGATTGACAGTGCAGCATGCTGGACGACCGAACCTTGAGCGCGGGTGTAATCAGATGAGATGGGTTCGCAGATATGCTTCTAGGTAGTCCCAGGTTTCTGGGTTCTCTGCTGCTGCTGTTGCTGCTGCTGCTGCTGGTTGCCAGCCTGGCCAGCCAGCCATCAGCATTCAGGCTCAGGCTCAGCCTGCCTGCCTGCTGGCCTGAGACTGAGACACCTATGACAGACGGATGAGCATGTACGGCCACCCCATCTGCCCCTCCAGCCCCGAGCCATGTCGAAATGTCAACTGTGCATATGCCCTGCAGGGCGTGTTTCGACGCTGTGATCATCGGCACGCGATGCTACACAAGACGGAGGGCTTGAGCTTCTTTTTCTCAAGGTCGGGCTGGAAGTGGAATGGGACCAAGTGGGAGGCAAAGAGACGACGGGGATTGTACGTGTGAAATAGAGGGGTATTCGTTTCATTTCGGACGACCTACCGAGAGGCATAATCCGACCACAAGACATACCCAGTCATGAATCTGGCGATGCTGAGGCCATTTTCAGTCCTAGTAAGGCGTCAGTGTGAGAAGTGAAGCCAACGGTTGTGAGTGATGGCGAGAGTGAGAGTGAGAATGCGTTGTGTAAGACTAGATGAGTGAGATTTGCTCATGTGATTTCGCGAGGCGCTGCGGGAAGATGGCGCCCTTTGACGGCGCCACTAGGACGCGCGGGAAGACCGTGTCGTGGCGTCACCAATAGCAACGGCAAAGAACGGGCTGCGGTGCTTCACGACAACGTTGGTCTGCTCTAGAATGTCTATGGGCCAATAAACCCAGCTAAATTGTCTTCAAGCGACGATACTGTCATGAGATGGGCACGCGCGTGATCAGACCAAGAGGATCATCGACAAGCTACGGCCAGCTGCTTTCGAGCAGCTGTCTTCTACGCGGGAAACATGCCACCACCGACCAAGCCAACCATCCCCAAGGCTGCTGAGCCAAAGTATGGCCGAAACTTTGACCCGTGGAACTCGGTCGCACTTGGCCATCAGCGCGCCGAGACCAAGGGCCCCCAGGGCTGGCGAGACAACCGCACATGGAAGCTGCAGAACCAGCTCGAGGGCGGCCACTCTGGCGGCGACCGGCTCTCAGACCGTGTAGGCCATGGCTCGGAGGACTTTGATGAGGAGCGGCAGATCCTAATCCCCAAGGAGGTCAGGGCGAGGGCCACCAACAGCGTCATGGACATGCTGAGGAAGCCTGGGACGATGAGCCAGGGCAGCAGCCGGCAAGCGAGCAGGCCACCAGAGAAGCAGCTCTCCAGGGAGAGGGAGGAAAAAGAACAAGACGAAGACAGTCGCGGGGCAGCAGACGAGAAGCCTGTGAACTCCTTACATCAGCACGAGGGTGAGCATGGCGAGGCAGCACCAAATGCAGAGGGACAGAGCAGCAGTAGCAGCACCAGCAGCAGTAAGATATTCGACGGTCTCGTCATCTATGTCAACGGGGGCACCCATCCGCTCATATCGGATCACAAGCTCAAGCACCTCCTCGCCCAGAACGGGGCGCGTATGTCGATCCACCTGGGGAGGAGGCAGGTCACCCACGTCATTCTGGGTAAGCCCTCGGGGCCTAATGGCGGCGCCGGCGGTGGGCTGGCGGGTGGCAAGCTGGAGAAGGAGATCCGGCGGGTTGGGGGTTGCGGCGTGAAATATGTTGGCGTTGAGTGGTGAGTGTGTGACATGAGGCCTCTGGGTGGTTGTTCCTATGGCCTGATTCCTGGGGCAGTCTCTCACAGGGACCCTCCTACTCCTTTTCCCGTTGGAACTGTTGCTAACGGGGCAAAGGGTCCTCGAAAGTGTCAAGGCTGGCCGTCGTCTGCCCGAGACAAGGTTTGCAAACCTGAAGGTTGCCTCTAAGGGACAACCAAGTGTCTATGGCACCTTCTCCAAGTCGTCTTCGTGACGGACTGGCGGAAAGGGATCCCGAGCATCACGGGTTGGCTAGCAATAACCAGCCATCTCGGTTGGAGATGCCTTGGGGGAAGAGACGAATGTTTGCTGCGGGGGAAGGCGACCCTCCAACATAATATTATCTTTGCGCGGCCCTTGTGTACCATGACAGGCTGTGGTTCTGTCCAAAGAACTCAGAGCCCGCTGGCGCTAGAGCACAGCATGATGCATATCTTGGTGTAGACGGGAAAGGGGCGGATGCATTCGCATGCGACATGGACCAGCTCTGTTCACGGGGAACAGTACGACGGGCATCAGTGGCGTTTTTTGGACACGGACTCTTGCATAGAATGGATGGAAGGAAGGAAGGATTAGGGCGTGGAATAATTCAACGGCGTGGGTCAGTCCTCTAAGGTTTTGATGGGAAACTCCCTGGTGTCATGTTCCGGCCGACAGTTATTGGTTCCCTTGTTGCTAAGCGACATATTTCTTTTTAGAGTCAAGTCACTTGAATGAGGATGAGGTATAACTCATTCATACAAAGCTCCATACAGGTTTCGGCTTTATCAACACCTGCATACCCCGAGCTAGGAACCGTGAATACAGGCACAGTATCCCCATACTGTCCCCAAACCTTGAGAGTGACACTGATGTGAAGTATTGTACTTGACAACTGATAATCTCATCAGGACCAGACGATGTGATCAAAGCCGGACAAGCTCCTCCACAGCTCCTCCCTCCGCCCTCCAGCCATGATCTCCCGACTTGCCTCCCGGGTCGCACAAATAGATTAACGGGTCTCACCTAGTCAACTCGCCCAACCCACTGTCGCGCCTCGTCGTACGACCGTCTGCAACCCGGGCTGCAAGGAATCTTGGAACCAGTGCCAACTGTGCTAGCCTTCCCCGGATGATTCCTCTTGCATACGTCCGCAAGGAGACACCGTCATGTGTGTTTCATACAGCCAGTCTGAAGCATCACCGCCACTGGACAGTATATCCTAGCTCAGCTGAGAAGTCCATCTTTCAGCAGCCAGATAGCCCCCATTTTCGGACCACTGCCACCACCAACTGCTGGCCGGCTGGCCGGGTGCTCGGCCATGGGGGCTGGCTGGCTCTGGCTGGCTCTGGCTGTCCCACCAGGTCACAAGGACAACAACGGCACCGGAGGACAAGGCGATGGGTTCCAACGGACCGGCCTGTTTCGAGTACAGTACCCTCCTACGCCCAGCTCTTGTGTGCGTCCCCAGTGCTGGGACGACGGGCCTGTGCCTGTCCGTCGCACAGGGAGGCACAGCTCGGAAGCCGACAACGTGTAACGCAGTGAAAGTGAGAGGTGGGTAAAGAGGGAGAAGGGAAAATGCACGGCTTTTTTTACTTCCTATTGCCGGCGTAGCAGGTACTAATCTCTCCGTGCGCGGCTGAACGGAAAACCTTACCCTCATGTCGGCATAACGGTCCTGTGTATTTAGCAGCTGGGGATGGACAAGACAGGGACACATAGCTATACATTTGAACATCTAGTGTCACAACTCACTGCACGGTGAGAGGTAGGAAAATGGAGGTGCTAGCGTTGTGTTTTCCAAGGTTGGGCTGATCGAGTCTAGCAGCGAGTCATCCGTACCTGTGTATGTGTGCCCCGGAATGCTTCTCTCTTTGTGCTCTTGCGACTTCAGACGGCTGCTACCGCACCAGACGCAAATACGAGGGTGCCTTAGGCCAGATCGGGATGGGCTGAAGTCTTGTGTGCTGTTGTTCTGGCACGGGGCTCTGTCATGTATGTTTGGCCGCCTCGGAACATCCTCTCTCGCTTTCGCCGGTGTGGTGGTGAGGGTGAGGTTCGGAAACCGAGCAAGGATCATCTGGACTTGTCTAGCCCGTCGGACGTGACTTGATGACGCTCTTGTTTGCTTGTCTTGGGGGTGAAACAATGACAAGGCCGGGGGAAAGCCAACGGTGACTGTCACGAGGTAGTTCGTGCGAGGCTCGCCCTCGCATGTGAAAGTCCCAACGAAGAAACGCATTTTTTCGCTCCACGACTTCCACGCTGCGAGATCCGGCATGCTGTAGAGCCCAGATCTGGCATTGCAGTTCTAGGAGCCAACCGATTTCTTTAGACCAACACAGCCTCATCTCGCTTCGCAGGACATATGCTTAATTGGAGTGAGAGGCTTGAGGGAGTTATGGTTGGGTCAAAGGTGAAGTACACGGCTGTGGCGCGCGCAACTTTGCCCGCCGCATATTGATTACGGTCCCTGTCTTCAGTCAGATTCGTGTGGCCAATGAGGACTGTAATTAGACTGCTGCAAATGACAATGTCAAGGCAGTGACTGATTGCCATGAAATTCTCAAACGACAGCAACATTCTGTGTCATGAAAACGGTAGAGGCTACTTTGTTTCGTTCGCGTGAACTGCGATGGGAGGTATATTTCACCCGAAAAGGCTTCCTAAAACTATGCGATAAGCTCAGAAAAGCATCAAAATTCCTGATTATTGACCTGACACCCAATAACGCCGTGAAAATTCCATGTCAACCCTCGAACGCAACAGGAATGAAGGACATCAGTGATCCTTCAGCCACTTCAACATCTGCTCAAACGCTGTACTCTGCGCAGTCTTGATCGTAGGATCTTCGTAATCCCCGACAACAGCGAATCCTTCACATTTGAATTAGCAAGATCCCCAGGGTATAATTTTCCAAGCTGACAACTTACCATGTGGGACTCCAGGGTAGACCTGAACCTCATGCTCAACATTGAGCTTAGACATGTGGTCCTCTCCAGCCGTGCGGACATCATCCGGGAAGAGAGGGTCGTTCTCCACACAGACGAAGCTGACGGGAGCTTTCAGCCCCTCAAAGTCCTCCCTCGCCACCAGCGTCGCATGGGCCAGCGCTCCAGCCTTGATGAACGGCCCGCTTGTCTGAGCCCCAGCCTCTTCGTCCGCAGGCTTCTGCGCGGTGCCAAAAACTCCACCGGGCTGTGCCTTCCGCTCGGATGCCAGGAGCAGGACATACCGGCCTCCGAAACAGTAGCCGGCCGCGTAGACGCCGCCGCCGTTGCTCACCGCGTCGGCGAACTCGTCCTTGGCACCATCGATGACCTTGTGCAGGATCGGCAGCACCTTCTCCTCCGTGTGGCGCGCCAGCCACATGTCGATCATGAAGCTCTTAACGCCTTCAACCGCCTTGATCTTGAAGTTGTCCAGGAAGGAGCCGCCCTGCGTTGCCTGTTCCTCGTCGACCGTGGCTGAGTTGGGCGCAACGTCGCCTTCGAACAGGTCGGGCATGACGACGACGAAGCCCTCGCTGGCGAACTTGTCTGCCTGGATCTGGTTGTTTGTGGACTTGACTCCCGTGCCGCCGGTCAGGAGCAGCAGCAGGCGGGCGGGGGCGTGGGGGTAGTCGGACGGCTTAGAGATGTAGGCCTGGGACGTGGAGGCTGAGAATTAGTATGGAGATCGAGCGGCGCCAAAGGGGCATGATACGACTCACGTCGATGTCGTTGAGCTTCCTGACTTCGCCTGTTGGGCCTGGGCCGCTTGCTGGTGGTATCCGATGTTAGCTCTCGCAGTTGGCATAGCTCTCCAGGACCAAGGGCGACGTACGAGTGGGCCTGTCAGTTACGCAGTCATCGCACAGCTTCGGCTGGGATGCCGACTCCTCGGCGGGAGCAGCGGTAGCAGCAGCTGGTGTCTCGGAGGGAGCATCTTTCGAAGCATCTTTCTGGACGTCTTCCTGAGCATCGCTCTCAGGCGCCTTGGTAGCCAGCTCTGGGTCGGTGCTGGTCATGGTCGTCGGTGAATCCCTTGCGAGTGGTAGAATAGAGGCTTTGGGTTCTTTGCGAGGGCTTATGTTTGAATGATCGATGTTCCCTGCCACAAACAACTAAGACGGGTCTCTGGCCAGATGTGAAGCTTGTAGGAAGGGGAGTATGGTGAGACATCACTTGGCAACCTATACGTTGTGACCCACGACCCTACGACCAACCCCTCGCATCTGCCAAGTACGTCACCTGCAGCTCCCAGGTGTTGCGGATCAGGGGTCTACAGTGTGGCGTGGAGGTGGCTCTAGGGTCTAACCCTCCTGACACACGAAGTGACAGGTACCTGGACCACATGCCACAAGCTCAGCGAGGGAGCTGCCGTGGAGCGAAGCAGAAGGACAGCGACGACTGGATATTTCTCTATTACACCAGAACAGATTATTGATTCATATACGGATGAGGGATAATAATAAAAAATTGGCCAGGGATTGATCAACGAATTGTTTTAATGTAATAGTTACCTATGGGCTTTGCTAATGTGTTGATCGAGAGGTTCCGGACTTTCTTTGCCCTGAATCTAAACCAGTTTTCAAATGCCATATTTTCTGTTCACTTCGGAACTGAAATTATGGACAATTGGATGCAGCCAGAGGTGGGTCATGTGCGATATACCAACGAGGTTGAGCAGCAGCGAAATGTGGACAAGCTGCCGAGCCAAGCTGAAGGGGTCTCGGCGATGCCATTGAAACCCTCTTCATAAAAATTTATAGATATGTAAGCCTCAGCTCACTTTTCTTAATGGAATAATAATAATCTGTTACCTGTGGCATGATCAGGGCCACATGGCATGGCCGAGTGGGCTCGGAGAGCCCGTGAATGCGTGTACTATACATACATTTGCAACCGTTCATATGTGGCTAACAAAATAACTACAAATCTTTTGAAATAAAACGACCAACAACAGGAATAGAATAGAAGCCTACGAAAGCCTCGTTCTGCCATCCCTCCCAAGGGCAAGGGATGGTGTTGATGCAGGGAGGGGGGACAAAACAACAGAAACAGGTGAAGACACCAAAAAGCAAGGCGTGTGAGCTCTAATCAGAGGCCCAAAATTGCGCCAATACGCGATAGATACTCAATTTGAAAGAATGCGGCTGATTGATTGTGTACGGTGAAGACTGTGATTGTGAAAACACCGCCATTTTGAAAGCCCCCTTAGTCAGGTTGTCTTTGACCTAAGCCCGAGATCCACTCCTAGGCCCTGCAGCACTCTAAAATGTGTTGTCATTACTTTCAAAAACCCAGGGCGACTGTTCTTCAGTAATGATGCATACCCGTTCTTGGTTCAAGCAACGAAGGTGCCATAAGGATCAAAATAGCGGCGACAGCGCCCCCTCAGGCGTCGAAACCCATCCTGCGGCGCTTCCTCGGCTCTCCTGAGAGGTGCCTCTCTCCTTTCTTGATGCCAATCACCGCTCGTACGTTGCTAGTATCCACAGCTTCATACCATCGATCAATCTCAAGAATATTCAGCTCAGCGAGCTGGGCCCCAAGCGCTGCAATATCTTGTGTAAGCGTACGGTGACTCAATACAGGTTGGCAAGGAGACATCTTACAAAACAAGTTCGCCCGGTCCTCATTGCTGAGTAGGGCTGAGGGCGAGTATGTGCTGTCGCTGGGAGATGTCGCCAACGATGATGTTGAAGCTGGTGACAACGACCAGATTCGGGGTTGCACAGACCAGCGCTTGGTGTTGGATACGTTGACGAAAGATTTGGCATCTTTCGGTGTGACCAAAACAAAGAAGTACTCCTGATCATCCTCTAAATCAGATTCGTAATGTGTCCCTCGCAGCTGACTGTATTGGTAAAACCGACATGCTGGTGGTTGAGGAACATTCAGTACCATGTCAATTTCGCCCGCCAGCCGCGGAGGCTCATGGTCAACCGCTCGGGAAATGCAAGTCAATTTTTCCACATCGGCTGGAAGTGAATACTTTTAGTAAATCTTCAAAAGAAAATGGGAGAGAAAAGGGGCAGATCCCAGGGGCCGGAAACACACATACCGTCCGCCGCAATCAAGAGTTTATCCCGAAGGTGGGAGCATCGAGATGTTCGATGGCACTGGATCTCAACCACAGTGTCATCGGTTGGTTGCCGTAGAGAGTTGATACACCACTCTAGCTTAAGACGTCCATCATGCGCATCACGGATGTTCAGCTCCTTCATGCACATAAACTTACCCAACCTCTGCTCCGCTCGAAGTATCTCCAGCTTCCTCTGCCACTCGCTTGTCTTCACCTTGTCTTCTGCAACGAACCACTGACGCGGCAGTTGTTCCAATGCGTCAGAAAACAGGCTTTTCACGGTATACCATACGATGTTGATCTCTTCTAGGTCATCGTCAAGGGCCAGTTCGTTGATCGCGGTATCCATACGAAGCCACCGCTCGTGGATACGGAAGAGCTGCTCGTCTTCCGAAAAGGAGAGCTGGAGATGAAGTTGACCGGCTTGAACGAAGCTCATAGCCATTTCGGTTGTCTGAGGGCAAGCGCGGATGCAGGCGCGCAACAGCCGGCTCACCGACGTCGCAAAGGTGGTCTCTGGGACTGGGACGTAGGGGGCAGCTCTGAAGCGCCGCTGCTCTTCTTCCTCAGCAGTCCAGAGTAGCCCGTGACTCCGCAGGAGTGTCCAGTACCTCTGGTGTAGCTCAAAGCCATCGCGCCCAAGGCCTTCAATGATATAATGAAGCCTTTGGTTCTGCAATAACCAAATATTTATCAGCAAAAAGTACTTTGGGAGTTCATAAGGAAGGCTGTAGTGTGCTCACGTCCTCGCCGGAGTAATACCAATGGTTCGCAAACTCCCCTCTAAAGAGGTAGCCTCGAAGCAAACACGCAGTATCGTAGCTGCAATACTTTGCAGATATGATATCGGCAAATTCCTCTCTAGTGTTAAGCAAATTGCTCAGCTCCCGTATCAACTCCAGGTTGCCTGGCAACGCTTCTTCCAGGATTTGCCAGATAGCGCTCGATTCATCGGAAGCATCAGTGACGGACTGTCTGTCGCGATTGGTATGTCCACGGGCGAAGTTGTATCCAAACTTGAGAGGCTTGCGTGTCATGCTCGCTGAATGAAGCAGAAGACCCTTTAGGTAGATCTTGCCGCGCAAGTTCTCAGCAGCGAGAAGGTCGCCATGTTTGGTGGAAATCATGCTCCCTCTCGGAGGAGGGGGATCAGAAAGGAACAACGCAACCTTCGTCCAAGACTCAAAGTCCTCTAGCTGGATCGATCTTCGCTTGACCATGACACCTCCATCGTCTCGATTTATGAAACGTTGTCCTATGATGAATTGTACGTCCTTGTCTGGCATGAATGCAAACGGAATCAAGCTTCCACGCATCCGCCCTCGAGTGGAATCCTTTGCCTTGAAAATTGCCTCAGGCTTCATGCGGGTCAGTTTAACTTGAAGGTGTCCGAGCTTAGTAAACGAAAAGTTCCACTTGAAGCCGCTTGAGCAACCTATGATATGATGGTTGTGTTTTCGGCGCATTAAGACCACAGCGGCAAGTTTGAGACCCTCTCCGTGGGATCCAGCCTGATTCTCATCCTCTTGCTTGGTGGTACCTCCAAAGTCAAGGTGTTCTGTCCGCAAGTTAGCAGACCGGTTCGTGATTTCGATCGTGCCCGCACCATCGCGACCGGTGAAGCGGATGTAGCCCAGCCAATCTTCGCTAATTTCAGCGCCACAGCGCGGCACTCTGTAGATGATCTCGATGTTGTGGCCCCGGGATTTCACTTCACGTTCGACACGAAAGTTCGCTTCTTTCAGGTTGTATGACTTGATGATAGCATCTCGCCTACGTGAGACATTAGGCAAGAACAGAAGACAGGATGAAAAGGGGACTGAAAGGGAGACATAGGAACATACCAATTCTGGACCAACTCACGAAAGGCTGCATGGACAGGCCACTTCGTGTAATTGCCGCGAAGAGGATAGGTGACTTTGTGGGACTTCGCGATGTGGTCAAGGGCGAGATGGGGATCTTGATCATGTTCATCAATTTCAGAAGACGACGAGGCACCGTCATCAAAAGGCAATGACGAGCTGCCATCATAGTCGTCGATCTCACTGTTGGTGCTCATGTTTTCGTGAATCCTTGAAGTTGGTGTGGTTGCTTGACAGAAAGCCAGGAGGCCCCGATGCAATGAAAGTAGGAAGGATATCAGGAAACAAACGAGGAGGATCTGAGAATGTTGCAAACGAACGAGATTGAGCTCGGCTGGGACGCGTTATGTATCCATGTACTGGGTAGGTAGGTAGAAAGGTAGGCAGCAGGTAGGCAGGTAGAGTCTCCAGCCAATCAGAACGCGCTGCGCCACCACCAACCAATGTCACTTACCAGGGGCACGCACATTGCACTTGCAACAATCGTTAAAGATAAGTTTTGAAGCATCGGTAGCAGAAGCGTGATCAATAAGGCAAAAGCAGGAGCAGCTAGGGGCGACCTGATCAATGCAAACCCCTCCGCCGACCTCCTGCCGGCCCAATTCCTCGTCTCCCTTGTCTACGGTTCTCACCACCGCAGGACCAAAAACTTCAAGGTCAAGGCCAGTCTTGTAAGCCTTGAAAAGGAGTGGACTTGGAATTCCAAGCCCACAGACGGTTAGACATTGTCCATTCTTGTGACATGTACTGGCCTGTTTCCGTTGCCATAGCTTCTGCATATCTAATCCCCCGAAGACCCGTGGACAGTCCGCAAGTTGAAGTAGAGGACAGTGAGGTACATGGGAAGGAACATCATGGCGCGGGCAGAATGTATCCAAGGAGAAGTTTTGCTAGCAAAAAGGCGGAGAGTTTCTCTCTTCACTACATTAGTACTACCTATTTGAGGCTGGACGGTTACCATGACAGCTGAAAGATGCCCGTCCATGATGACTTATGGTCTCCGGCATCATGTATGTATGCCTTCGTGTGGTACGTAGGGAGTAGCACTTTGGTGCATGCAAAGCACTCAGGAGAAATCTTCCTAGCAAATTGGCAAGTCCTTTCCCCCTTCTGTGCATATTTCACCTATTCGCGGCTGGGCTCCATGATCTTTCTCCATCACGGCCGCCCCGCGCTGTCACGGTCGACATCCGGAAAGCGAGATAGCAAGGCGTATTCCGGGGTTAGCGGCCTGTATATATACGTTAGATCAAATCGTGGATATTATACGCTGCCGATCTTTTCAGATAGCTCCTGTGCATTGGATCTGCATGGAGCTAGGTTCTGGATAAATTCGTGCTTGTACACGTTGCGTTCGATCTTGGCACTTATATAGATGCACATCCGCAGAAAGCTAGATTTTCCCCTCGAGATTATATAAGGAGCTGAGCGCTGACGTCTAGGCACTATCTCCCTGCCACTGGAAGGGAACTTTCCCCTTCCAATATACAAGCAGCTATAGCATCCTGACAAGATATGTACAGGAAGATCATCAGGTAAGGCTACAGCCTTACTTAAAAAACTGACCTAGGTGATTATTCAACTACAGATGTACTATCCCCTTCCTCGCCCCACACCTCAGTCCAACCAGACTGGGTCTAAACCCTGCAAAAAGGCCAGCTCGACATTCACAAAGCTCTTCCACAGGTCCATCTCCCTCAGCCACGGCTTGGTCTGCATCGCAAACGCCGCGATCGTACTCAAGCGAAGAAGCTCTTCCTCAGACTCCGCCATGACCAGGATCGCGTCGCCACGAGATACAAAGTGCTTGCCAAGGTCCACCCCATTGTGCATGCGCGCCCTCTCGACGACGAGCTTCACCCTGCTCGACGTTCCGTGCATGGCGCTCAGCTCGCTGCCCTCGAGGTCCTTGGGGACGAACTTGAATTCCCAGCTGCGCCCAACCGAGTCCATGAACACCACGTTGGGCCGGTTCCAGTACCCGACCATGAGCGGGTAGAAGTGCGGCGCCGACCAGAGGCGTATCAGCGAGAACCTAGCTTTCGGCTTGCCCTGTGCGAACGTCTGCGCGCTCGCCAGCAGGTCCGGCCAGTCTTCTACCGGCATAAAGCCGGGCGGATGCCGGATCGGGTCGTTCGGGGGCCGTTCGAAGCGCACGAAGAAGTCCAGTTTGCCGGGACGGTGGGGCTCCTCAGCTGCGAACGCGAACCCGGGACATACAGCGGGATGTGGTTGAGTGTCGGATGGTTGGATGATGCCAGCTCGGTACACTAGGGTCATGATTTGTTAGCATATGTATGGTGGTTCGTTGGCAATGAATCCAAAGTAATCGATGACTTACATTTTGCAATAGTGGGCCTTACGGCCTTGCTCCAGTCAAGCGGATATGCGTCAATCATCGAGTCGGAACCACGTTCCAATTCCTCCAGTTCCTTGAAGAAGCTCTTGGGTTTCTCAGACTGACTAATTCTCGAACGCCGGTCCGGCAATTTCCGCGAGCGCGCAATGGAGTCAAAGATCTCCGAGTTCTTGAACTGCGAGCCCTGCTCGGAGTCAAGGTAGTCCCTGACAAGCTTGGTAACCTCGACATTAGGGAAGAACAAGCCCATTGTGACAAACGCCTGCGTAACATCCTGTGCGAGATACCGGTGCGGCCAGGGTGACAGGGGATTTTGGTCGTAGTCATCGTACCAGGCCTGCAACTCAAGCATGTCGAGGATGTCGAGGCAAAACCATGCCCAGGCCGTGCCAGCGGTTTTGGCTGAGGAGAAGTTCTGTGCCCCTATGATAATCTTCATCGACTCGACATATTTCTCGCGAGCGCCAGGTTCCAGGTCGGCCATATGGAATGATTCTTTGCACGCTGTTTGAAGATATTGGTCAGCCTCGAGGACCTATGAAAAACAATCAGGGGTTCGCGTCCAGCAACAGTGATGCGACGTACCGTAGGACCTGTCACGTTCCATAAGCTCGAGCTCCGAGAGCTCCTGAAGCTCGTGGCCGCACATCTCTAGTCTCTGAGCGAAGAAGTCCAGCCGGTCCAGCATATCCTCTCTCTCCTTTCCGTGTTTGCCGAAATTTCGGTTGATCTCAGAGTAGGCATCTCTCCAAATCGGCGGTACGGAATGTATGAAATGCTGTGCTTCACTGTCGTCGCTCGCAGAGAGCAAAGCCTTTGTCTTTCCAACAGTGTCATCAAATTCATCCTCATCCAGATCTTCCAACTCCGCCCTATCGAAGAGGCTGGCACCGTATCGAATCATTGTCTGCGTCATTCTAGAGCTCTCCAAAATGACCGTAGGGTTTCTAATGGGTTTGAACAGGCCTTCGTCACGGCCTCCGGCGAAGAGAACCTCGTCCTCTGCGGCATCAGCGTCATTGTACATGATGTACGGAGATGCGATGTCCTCGGGCATTTCGCCGTGGGCTACTGCCCTGATCTCGCCACCTTTGGTGTTCTGGATCGCGAATTGCGATGTCGGGCCGGTAACAAAATCATAGACGCTCAGTGCCTGTTCGCCTGGGCGGATCTGTCGCACTCGCTTGGTGTCCTCGTCCTGGGTTAATTGTTCTAGGATAGGTTTCTGATGGAGATACATGTGCCGGGACTCCCGAATCCTTCGAGCTCGTCGCAGCATCTTCACATCGTTAGTACTCAGTCCTGATTTTCTACCATGGGGTTGCCGACTTACGTCTACCAAGTAATGGAATAGCTCCATTGGGCTCTCGCCAGGCACGAAGTCCCAAATGTAGAGTTCGTAGTGAGAGTCGAAGCTGAATCGCCAATTTCGCTTGAGATCCAGCTCCTTCAACAGTTTCCTATCAACCGCTTGCACGACCTCGAACTCGTTCTTCGACGCCCGACCAAGACCCGACTTCACTCTATGGATCCACCGTCCGTTCTCGCCTTGAGGAGCGTACAAAATCTGGCCAGTCTTGCCGTCTCGGACGAGGATTTGCAGATTGCCAGTTTGCATCATGCAATAGTCGATGAATCGATTAGTGACTGGGTCTCCGCGTTTCATATGGGCACAAATAAGGTTGCGGCATTCTTCGACGTGGTGCTGCCGTCGAAGCCTTCCTTTCGAGCCGATCTGAGTGTACTTTGACTTTGTATCCGCTCCGAATTGGGTGTGAAAAGGGATGAAGCCCTGCCCGTGGTCAGTAAATTGCTCATATAAGGTCGCGAATGGGGACACACCATATGAAGTAGCTGCTCGGTCATCGCATTCTGGGACCAGGACGCCCATTTGGCCGAAGGGAAGAAGTGCCACAAGACGAGAGTTTGCAGCTCGTAGAACTCGTCCCAATTCCGACAAAGCAGGACAGCCTCCTCAAAGGTGCAATCTTTAGCCATGATAGAGAATTGCAGCCATCCATCTCGAGCCATAGCAGCCTCGCTTGCATGATTCCATATCGTCTTACCGCAAATCGTTATCTTCATCCTCTTTCCTCTTGGCTTCTTGTCTGAATCGCCTTTGAAAACGTTCGACTCTGCCGCCATGATTTTTTTTGACATCCCAGACATCAACGCAGAAAAGAGACCCATCTCATTCATGTCACCATACATCAGATTCCGCCTGAATATCTCCTCTGTTGACAAAACCTCGAGCTCTTCCTCGGGCGGTGGGGGTTCGGGATTGTCGCCCCGGGCAAAGTCAGCGCAGGCATCCCTCAGCTCCTGCAACTTGGGTTGCTCGACTTTCAGGCACAAATCTCTCAGGTCGGTGTGAGCAATTGAGGCGTCTTCAATAAATTCTTCCACGCTCTTGGCTCGCAGAGCTGCTGGGAGCAGTGTGGCGTGCGATAGGAGCGTTCGGCAGAGCAGAAGAGCCTTGATCTCTGCTATATCCGAGAGAAGTTTGTCGATATCCTCATCTGGCAGGGGCGCCGTGCGGCCATGTGTTTCGGCTGGATTTTGGATAGTGCCCACGAGCTGGGGCCCGTACAGGCCCGAGTGGTCTCTCTTTACACCCTCTCGTAAACGCCTGCGAACTTCTTCTTGGCTTTCAATGTGGCCTTTCCCAACTTCCACTTGATTCCCGGGAGCCTTGGAAGTGGTCAATGGGCCTGGAGACTCCGACGCTGGGGTTGCCTCGGCGGCAATCTTTTTTGCCTTTTTCTTCTTGCCTTTTGACTTCGTCTTGGACTTTTTTACATCGCTTGGCGTGTCTTTTTGTTCGTCCACATCGTCTTCCATTGTGACTGGGACGGCCGGGACCTGAGTCTGAGGAGCTGATCCCTCCTTTTCCTGGTTGCGCTGCTGCTGCTCATTCTGCTGCGCAGAGTTGTCTGTGCCTTTGGGCTCGAACCACAAGAACTGGCGGATGATATCGAGGTATTTCTCACGTTCCTCTGCCACCATATCTTCGATAGGGTCCCACATCTCAACATCGCCTTCGCCTTCGCTTGCCGATGCCATGCGCTCCTTCCAGATCTGGTCGAGAAAAGCATCCTGCCGCAACTTGTCTTCCTTATCTCGCATGGACTTGAGTCTTGATTGCAGATCCTTAAAGTGCCTCTGGAACATGGCGGCTTCCAGTTTGACCTTCTTCTGCTCCTTTTCCCTTGTGGCTTCTTCTTCGGCCTGCGTCGCTTTCACCCACTTAAACCACTGCTCCCTCTCGTACAACACAGTGGCGCTCCTCTGTTCGATACGCTCAAGAGCCCTCAGGGTGCCAATATGACGCGCTTGTAGCTTTTCAAGATAGACTTTGTGGCCGTAGTCCATCTCTAGGGAGAAGAAATGCTTATGATGCAGCTGACGAGCAGCAATGACCTTGCCAAGGAGCACATACTGTTTGAACAAGTGCGCCTGTATCTCATGCAATTCGCTCGGGTCCTTCAAGCTCTTGAAGGACAAGTTGGCCGGAGGCGTGGCGGAATTCTTGACTAGGAAAGGAGGGCCCTCAGCACTCAGCCTATCCAGCTCGGCATTGCGCCGCTTGTAACCCATATATAGACCAAAACACTGCTTTGCGTGGAAAGCACAGAACAAATCATTGTATGCCGTCGCTTGGGCGAGGCAGCGCTCCGAGTCGGAAAGGCTTAAGGCCTGTAGATCCAGTCAGTGCCCGTGTTCACGCATCGGGAGGCTCAGGGTGGACCACAAACTTGGCATTGCGGATCTCCAATCTCAATCACTATACCCATGATTCTTGAGTCTCTATACTGTTCGACTAAGCTTGACGCGTCATGTCTTAATCTGAGGATGTCTGGAAGTGAAGTATGCATGGTAACGTGTGGGTTTCAAGGTTTCCAAAGCGCGTACATATAGACTTCGCGGAACGCGTCAAGGGTTGAACCCTTGACACCAGATCTCTGAAACCATGTTCCTTGACGGGCACGGGGACGGTGACGAAGGGGGCCCACTTCCAGTGTGAACCCCATCCAATCTTTCAAGTTAGAAGAAGTTCTGATCAACATTGATGTTGAACGGTGAATGGGCAGCTTTTGAGTCCAGGCGCAAACAGACTTTGAGGTCCAGAGGTACCCAATTAATGTCGAAATAACGACGGCTTGATTGAAATTCTCGGAAGGGTGAGTAGAGATACCAATACTCGCTATCATTTCAGTCAGGTCCTAGGCCTAGGCACTCCTGAAATCACTTAGAAAAGCCCCCTTCTACCCTCAATTGTAACGGCCATCGAGGCAGGTAATGGGATGAACGGCCTACATTATGATGAGAGGCGTTAAATTCACCGACAACCAAATTATTCTTGTCATCTATGCTTTCCACAACTTGTCCGGCCACTGATCTTCATAATCATCCTTCCCATCCAACAACTTCATCATATTCTCCCGCGCGCTCCATCGAATATTCCACGTCTTCTCGTGATCCAAATCACTCCCCTCCTTTTTTTCAAAATGCGAAAACAAACTCGGCTGCGTCGTCAAACATACATGACGCGCATGCTCAAACGTCCCATCGCAAAACTGCCGCAATCCCAAATCAAAGGGGTCATCCATCCTCCACAGACCCAAATCGTATAAGATCCTCCTTGCCCCAGCTTGCGACACCCCGTAGGCAAACGTGCACACGGTGTCGAGCGTGTGGTGCGTGACCCGTGTGTGCGCCGGGTACGAGTTGCGGAACCGCGCGTGGCCATCGTCGTCCCAGGAATGAATGTTTTTGGGCTGTGGTACGGAGGCGTCTTTCTCTTTAACCACCGCGCCGCGTGAGATATGCCGTGATCGCTCAGCCCATTGGTTCTTTGGGTCGCCGGTGGGTTGTTGCACGCCGCAGTGGCCCAGCCAGAGCACATCCCAGCCATCACCGTACGGTGACGTCTTGGGGTCTTCTGTCTTGGGCAAATGCTCGAAGCTGAGCGGCGGCGGGTCGAGGGCTGCGTCTTGTTCCTGCACGGTCGGGTACGTCGGGTCCGCAAACCGCTTTGTTCCAGCCAATGGCTGCAGCAGCGCGCGGCTCGCCAGGGCGAAGTCCCTCGTCTGTTCGCGGATCCGCACGTCCCAGTCCAAGTCGTCCTCGAAGATGATGGCCGAGCTGAGATTGTGCTGCACGATATACCATAGCGCGTCCATGTGGGCTCGCCAGGACCCGCGGACCTTGCCTGTCCACCCTTGGGCTTTGGGGGGCATTGCGGCGTCGGGAACTTTGGCGCCGTCGACGCCGGGGAGGAAAGTGAAGCGCAGCCCCGTTGTAGCGCCCATGATGGTCATGCGGTCGCGCTTGTCTGTGCGGTCGGGCATATTGATGACGATAAGCTCGGCGACCTGTTGGGTTCGGGGGTTGATTAATATGGAATATTTAGATGGTGGGGAGGAGGACGGCGTCGGGGCGTGCGTTGACTTACACCGAGGGTCGCGTTACCCGCCTCTTCCACTGACAAGCCATGGTCGCTCGTCTTGCCCTGGCTTATGGGAGCCACAGGCTGTTTTGGAGGAACAGATGCAGTCGGCCTGCCGGTGGGAGAATCAGGTTTTGGGTCAACATCATCCACACGGTCTGACTGTTGCCCTGACCCGGTATCGACAACCTCAGGGGGTTTGTAATAGGCGATTTTATGGCGGGAAGACTGCCATCGAAGGCCTGTCAGTAGTGTTATGATCCCCAAAGCAGCCACGATAGCAGTGGCCCAGAATCTCCATGGTAGCCTGAGAATGAGTCTAGACATTGGTTACAGATTCAGGCTGCTGAAGTGGCGAGATGCAGATGTCGGAGAAGTTGTGAAAGGAGGAAGATGAGAATCTGCTGACTAGGTGTCACCGTGTGCCTCATTACCTTCAGCTCCTCGCCTCTCGTGCAAATGCAGTGTAACTAGAAAATGGGAGAAATATTGGTAGACGCACCCAATCTGGAATGGAACTGTAAGGCCACAGCTGATAGCGATCAACCGAAATTTGATATAATTTCTGAGATCATAATTAAGCGTCTAGGGACAGACCTTTTAGGCTGAAGCCAAAACAAGTTATTTGCATCGAAGCAGCTTCTCCTACGACAATCACAAGATGTGTGTCGCTTGCTTATCAAATGGGTCTTTCACTCAATAGGGGGAGTCACTTTGTAGCCCATTGTTCATGCCTTTTGCATTACAGAATGACATAGGGCAAGTTGAGCAAGTTTCGAGCAATGAGAAGGATCGTCCGACGCATTATCGAACGTTGGACGTGACTTGCAGCCAGGCTCTCCGTGACTATCCGGTCACAGGTCGCGAGGAGCATTATTGAGTTCCGTGAACGCGGGATTTTTATCAAAGACAAAATGCCAATTTTCCTCGGAATACCGATAAAGTTCCCAAGTGAGAATTTTGCAGAGTTGGGCTTGCTAATTGCGCAAACAAAACACAGCAATACCACATGGGACATGGCCACGTGTGTCATTGACAGTGGATGGGCTCTTGATTCATCACCAATGGTGTCACACGGAAACGAGAAACGGCCTGTCCACGAATTTATGCATGCCCGTGTCAGAAATCGTGTCACAGCACACTTGGCCAACATGACCCCCCGCAATTGCAATTTCAATTCTACGAAAACTTACAACCTGAACGTTCAACTCGGGAGCAGAATATAAGTAGAAAGAGAAGGATCGCGTCGTTGTGGTTGGTTTCTATGCTGTCGTCCATTCGTGACGGCACGGCTATATAAGACTGCACTGTATTCCAGAAGGCGTTCTGGAATTCTGACCTTTTGGTTTCCTTTTCTATAGTGCAGCGGTATGGGATACCGCCTCACCATCCGGCCAAGAGCAACGTGCAAAAAACACTATTACATGTCTCAGCGGCGGCCAAGTAGATAGAAACACAGCAACATTGAATCCAACGCGAGTTCCTGGCCACCATCGTGAGATTTTCGAGACAGCTTGTAGCCAACGTCGGACAGTTGGCTCAATGTGGACACGGGGGCGCAGGAGATGGCGCCGTGTTGTCTGATTTGCTGTAGGGGACGTTATAGTGGCCCCTGGCCAAATTGGAAAGCGTACGGCACGCGGTCGCCCTTCCAGCGGCGCAGTAACGTTTTGTGCAGCCCAGCTCTCATATGGGCGACGTTGGATTTCTTTCCCCTCTGTACCGCACCAAATCAGTCTCTACGAAGGCTAGATGTTAGGCCACTTACGCCCACGCCCACAATTACAGACGTCATAAATAATTGCCGAAATCTCAAGCAGCTTGCGGATAGGCTGAGAGACAGTGTCAGCAGTCTTTCTGGAAAAAATCTCGCCATGGGAATTAAAGCCGGCCGCATCGTCTATTTGGGCTTCTGGGGGCAGTTAAAGACCCTCAGTCCATGCGGCCCATTTAGACTCCAGGCCTTAATTGCGCGGCCTACCACTGGGTTGGCCCGCCAGTCTTTCCGCACCGTGTCCTGTGTCGAAGCACCTTCACCTGAGCCTTGTCCTGTTGGAACAGCTCTTTTGGGGAATTCAGGGCGAACATACAACATAAAGAAAATTCTTGTTGACCGAAGAGATCTCTCACTATGTGTATACCGCGCAAGGTACGGACTCGGTAAATCAATTCCAAAGATTCATACTTTATCACTGGGCTGACTGTATGACACTGTTCAAGTTGCGAGGGGAAAGATTTCATCATCAAGAACGCCATAATCAGTTACGAGGGCGATTTTGAGTATCCACAGAAGCTGCAGGCTGGATTGTCAGGATATCCAAGCCTACGCACTATGATTGATACAGTCCCAAGTCTCAAATTATACGTCTATCCCTTTATGACCGGTGACCTTCTTCAATTCAGTCAGAAGCCGCTGTCGGAGGAGCAGAGGACACATATCCTCAGAAGTGCACTCACTGGTCTTGCTGCACTCCATGACCACAGAATTTTCCACACAGGCGAGTACCTATGCTCTCGCGTTGGTCTTCTCAAACGGGACAGAAGAGTTGATGGACTGGCAGATATCAAGCCTAACAATATCCTTATCGACTACGAGGAGGGACCCGATGGGTCCGTGATGATCCAGGACGTGAAGCTCGCAGATCTAGAAGACGCGCTACTGCTGGAACCCGGCACGGCCGTCGAAGGCGCCGCACTAGGCAACAAGCTGTGGCGAAGCCCTGAGTCCTGGACCGGTGCCACGCAGGAGCACCCGTCCGACGTCTTCTCGTTCGGTGTATTCGCCATCTATGTCATGGCCAACAGGATGGTCTTCTACAGCGGGCTTACCGACGAACAAGTGAACGGGGACAACGCCTGGTGGCATATCCTCCGCAGACACCTCTCCCTTTTCGGCACAGATACTGAGAGCCTCCGCGGTCTGGTACGGCACGTTGGGGGGGAGGACAGCCCGTGGTTCAATCGTTTCGCTGATCTTGCGAGTAGCTTCGGCGACGAGGATCCTCGGAGGCCATTTGCGCTGTGGATGTGGTTGGATGAGTCGTTTAGGGACCTGGTTGGTAAGATGACGAACCTGGACCCAGCGAGGAGGATTACCGCACGGGAGGCTCTGGCTCACCGTTGGTTCACCCAGACGAGCTCAGACCGATGCCACCCACAACAGAAGTAAAGAGTCTCGTTGTGAGATGAATTGTATTCACAATTGATTCATTGAATCTTTGAACTTTGAATTTGTAATGGGAATAGAAGCTGGCGTACATCCGCAGCTCACATGCAGGGTGATTTCACCTAGCCGACGCGTCATCCATACAGCTAACGTTGAAATACCCACAGAAAACCAGCCCAAATACGACGTAAGATAAACTGCAAGTGCCAAAGAAGTGTAGCCTGGGGGTTATCACGTGGTCTGATGACGTTGCGGAATTGAGATTTTAAATATGCTTCTCTCAGGGTATCAAAGCTGTCTTCATCCAGTGCGCCCAATGCAGCAACCTCGACGTCTTGAACGTTCTCAATTGTGTGTGGCCTCTCGATATTGATCCACATGTCGTCTAAAGACTCTGAACCAGCTTCGACATCGATGGGCAAGGGCTTCCAGGGACACTCGGGCAAAGGGTCAACTGTCTGTTTGCCCCTGGCGTAAATGCGAATCCGTGATTTGAGAAAGTCGACGTTGCGCCGCGTAATGCTGGAATGTCTGCGCAGCGGTAGACAGGTGATGGAAGAATCTCGTCGGTAGATAACTACCAATGGACATCCGGAAACGCCGGCATTTGTGATGGCGGGGGGTGTGTTGCGGGATACCTCGAAGAGCTTCCCTTGTTCGAACCACGACGCAGTGTCCTTCCTGAAGATTTTCTGGTCTGGTTCGCTCGAGAAGACAGCTGGATCGTCGAAAATAGTTGAGGAAGAGTGTGCAATGCTTGGGTCCCGACTTGTGCTTCTTTCTCTTGAGATGTCACGGGAATGTGGCTTCAAAAATGGAAAGTCCATTTCTCGAGGGCGTTTGTTTGCTGATGAAGCCTTGTTAAATTGAGACTCTCTCAGGCTCTGCCTCTTGCGTTTTCGCAGCTCGCATCCTTGAGACTCGCCACCAGCATTGCCATCTTGGCATTCATCTGAAGAATCTCCAGACTTCTCTATAGGTTTTGTTAGTGTGATCCATGAGGCTCGACGGGAGTTTCTAACCTATGTTGCCCAACACTGCGCTTGACCAGTCGGCTGTTGAGATTTCACTATACTTGTTTCCACCAAAAGAATCATGGCTATTTGACCCATTGTAAATGATTGACAAATATGGAGATGTTCCCAGTCCGCCTCGTGGTTTATGAGGCTCTCGGTCACTCATCGCCCAACGCCTTTGTGAATGAGAATGTGGCACGACAACTCCGTAGGACTTTGGATTTGCCCTCACGACACTCTTTCAGGTTTGAAGGAGCACAATAAGGCTCTGCAGAGTAAGGCTCGGCACAATCAGGGTTGGGAGCGGGGCTAAATCAGATAGTGTGAGCATCTACGGGCTGACCTGGTGACACGACGTTTATTAGGCATTTTGAGCCACACTTCATACCTCATAGCCCCTTCATAATCCTGACAAGGATTAGTGTAGGACTGCATGGCAGACTTGGCAATGGGGGCCAAGGGCTGCTCACCGACATATGAAAACACCATTGCTTTCTGGGGACAGTTGGGCCAACAATATTTAGCGATATTGAGTTGCACCACAGTCGGGCAAAGATTGAAAAGAAAGACTCCGCCTTTCCTCATGCAATATATGATCTACCACCTGCGCTCATTGGATATGCTCCCGCTTCTTCTCGGTGTTCCCTGCTGACGATCATTACACAACATATGCGTACGCATAGCCTTGTCAACATGCTGGCCTGCAAACATTTCAAGACCTCCGGAGAATAGCAATGCGATCCCGAAAATTGAGGCTGTACGGAAGAGTCTTCCAGATACTTGAACATTGAACTACTTTCGATTCCTTCCACCGGCCATCCTACAACTGTAAGCCTTTTTCAACTTGCGGCCAACATACAACTGCATGGCTTTTTTCAACTTGCGGCACAAGACACTTCCGTTACAGCCTCTTACGGACTGCAACCCATGGCGGAGGCTGCTGGGCTCGCCATCGGCGCTGTCGCTCTTGTCAGCTTGTTCCAGACTGCAATTGAGCTTCTCGAATACTTTGAGGCAGGTCGGGGTCTGGCCTCGGACTCAGAACTCGCCGCTACCAAGCTGAGCCTACTCGAGGCACGGCTTAGGCAATGGGGGGATGACCTGCAGGTTGAATACCCTGGTCAAGAAGATGGGGGGTTACGCACACGTTGGGCGGATGAGGGAGGTCTTGTGACAAGGAGCCTCGAAGGCATCAGCGAAATCCTGGGAAATGCGTCACAACTGAGCGAAAAATATGGTCTACATAAAAAGAGGCGGCTTGTCTGGCATTCCAATATCCCTCTCTTGTATCCTATTTTACACAGAGCCGACATACCCATCTCCTCCCCTCGAAGGTCATCGAGGATTTCTCCCTCGATTCGCAGACAGGCTGTCTGGGCGATCAAAGACAAGAAGAGGTTCGAGTCTCTGATATCCGACCTTGACTTCTTTATTACCAATCTGGAGAAGGTCAGCGGCCGTCTGTTAAAGCTTGGTATGAATATCCATGCCTGGGTCCCAAAACGTAGGACACATATTGACAATGATCGAAGCAGATTGTGCTGATTGTGACGGTTTGGCGCAGTCCAACAACTCCCCTGAATCAACCATGGCGTCCAACCCCCCGAATGATCTCATGAGGAGCCTTACAGGGGATAGACACAGACGGCAGGGATATTCTGGAGCAACTCAAACGACTTCTACAAGTAGCGACACGTCGACAAAGTCTGCCTCCGCCGCCAGACCGGAGACGCACCATCATTTTATCAACGTGAATGCTAGTGGCGAAGCCTTCCAGCCCTTGGGCGACATCGACAGTGAAAGCAATTACAAGCACAAGTATCAGCATGTTGATGCGAAAGACTCGGCATTCCAGCCCTGTGGCAATTCCAAGAGCCCCGGTCTTATTGATCTCCTGAAGCAGCATCAGGAGGGTTTCAAAAACAGACCGACAACGCAGCACTCACACGGGAACAGGAGGCAGTAGGAGGAAGAAGAATAAGAAGAAGGAGGAATTATGAAGAAATATTGATGCGAAGTAGCAAGGGGTTCAAGGATGTTCTATCGGGTTATCTGTTGGTATCTTTTCCTAACTAAAGCGGTTAATAAATCAGGCCATCTAAGCCCCACCTTCAAGCTTCTGTAGGTGATGTATGTCACTCTGCAGACTCGCCTTAGCTGGGCTGGGCTTGCAAGTTAGCAGGCTTGGTCTAAAAATAACAGCAACTTAAGCACACAGCTACCTGTCCCGTACACGAGTACTTCGGCGGCAGATCTCATTATTGCCAGCAGGTGCTGGTCGAGCGGTCGTTGGTCGGCTGCACGGGGATCACAAGGTGGCATTCAGCGAAGCAGGGCGAATTCACCTGAGTCCTTTCAGTCAGTAGTTTAGTCTCTGGATTTGGATGCTGGAACCTCTGCACTGCCTTCTTATAGAAGTTGTTGAGCATTGGGCGTTCTATTGTCGTTCACGAGGTTCATCAGCACATGGGGGGATCCCTGCGCCTTTAGACTTGTACACTGTAGGTGGGTCCCACTCAACCGTTATCCAGGCACCAGAGCCGTTATGTAAGCGGCCAGACCCCTGCCTAATTAACTGGCGCGGGGCGGGGCCCAGGAAAGTCGCGTCAGACGCGTCTTGAACCGAAAGTGCTAAACAACCAGAGGCGCGCGCCACTTCAACACAACTCTGGAGCCTGGCAACCTCGAAACTCTCGTGTGTTGATTTCCAAACCTTTCACACTCGTCTTTCGATCTCGGCCGACAAAATGGGTGACGCTGCCAACCAGATCACAAGAGGCGCTCTGAAGTATGCTTTCCGTTGCTGCCCGCCGTCTCGTTGCCCCTCGTTTACTGACAATGATGTGCCAGCGCCATCTTCAACGAACCAGAGAGGGCGGCTGCCCAGTTCCCAGTCCCCGTCCTGCAGTGCCTCCAGATCAAACCACTGGCAGCGCAACAACCGGGCGGTGGTGAGAGGTACCGCATCGTCCTGAGTGACATCCAGAACTATGTCCAGTGCATGCTCGCTACCCAGGCGAACCATGTCGTTCACGATGGCAAGCTTGTGAAGAACTGCATCCTGCGCGTCAAGTCCTTCCAGTCAAATTCTGTCAAGGGAAAGAAGTATGTGGAATATCACATCACATCATAAACGCGCTCTGCATGCGCTGACCAGCCAAATTAGCATCCTGATTGTCCTCGACGTTGATGTCATCGAGTCCCTCGGCACACCAGACAAACTCGGCGAGCCCGTCCCCTTCGAAGCCAAGCCTACCGATGGGGCAGCCAACACCACCATCGGCGGCACCGGATTCTACGGAGCCAAGCAAGAAGAGTCAAAGCCTGCAGTCAAGAAGGAGAACCTGCCCTCGCGCACGGGAGGTGCATCTCAAATCGGGAACAACGTCATATACCCCATCGAGGCACTCTCGCCCTATGCCAATAAGTGGACCATCAAGGCCCGAGTGAGCGCCAAGTCGGACATCAAGACATGGCACAAGTCCACCGGCGAGGGCAAGCTCTTCAGCGTCAACCTGCTGGACGAGAGCGGCGAGATCAAGGCAACCGGTTTCAACGAGCAATGCGACCAGTTCTACGACCTCCTCCAAGACGGCGAGGTTTACTACATATCCAATCCCTGCCGCGTACAGCTCGCCAAGAAACAGTTCTCGAATCTTCCCAACGACTACGAGCTGACCTTCGAGCGTAACACCGTCATCGAGAAGGCCGAGGACCAGAGCAACGTCCCGCAGGTTCGCTTCAACTTCTGCGGGATCGAGGACTTGAACAAGACCGAAAAAGACACCACCGTGGACGTTGTAGGCATTCTGAAAGAGGTCGAGGAGGTTGCCACCATCACCTCCAAGACCACACAGAAGCCTTACGACAAGCGGGAACTCACGATCGTCGACGACAGTGGATATTCCGTGCGCGTGACCATATGGGGCAAGACAGCCAACAGCTTCGACGCCCCCTTAGAGTCCGTCGTTGCGTTCAAGGGCGTACGCGTGTCTGACTTTGGCGGACGCTCGCTATCCTTGCTGTCATCTGGCACCATGGCCATCAACCCGGATATTGCAGAGGCACACCGGCTCAAGGGCTGGTACGATGCCTCAGGCCGGACAGGCAACTTCGCCTCACACAACAACATGGCCTCCATGGGTAACGCAACAGGCCGCAAGGACGACACCAAGAACATCCTCCAGGTCAAGGACTCCCAGCTCGGCATGGACGACACGGCCTACTTCACGGTGAAGGCGACAATCGTGTACATCAAGCAGGACAACTTCTGCTACCCGGCCTGCCGCTCCGAGGGCTGCAACAAGAAGGTGATCGAGGAGGACGGTGGGTGGCGGTGCGAGAAGTGCAGCATCACCCACGAGCGGCCCGAGTACCGGTACATCATGTCGGTCAACGTCAACGACCACACGGGCCAGCTGTGGCTGAGCTGCTTCGACGACACGGGCCGGGCCATCATGGGCAAGAGCGCCGACGAGCTCGTGGAGCTGAGGGAGAACGACCCGGAGCGCCTGGCGCAGGTCTTTGACGAGGCCAACTGCTCCAAGTTCAGCTTCAGGTGTCGGGCGAAGATGGATACCTTTGGTGACACGCAGCGGTAAGTACCTCCCTCTCTCTTTGACGAGAGCACTGTCTCGAGCAGAGTGCCTCGTGAGACCAAGTATTAATTGGCTAACGCGTCGAACAGAATCCGATACCAAGTCATGACCGCCGCACCGCTCAACTACGTCGCTGAGGCCAACAAGTTGGCCGAGCTGATCAAGCAGTACGAGCTCAACTGAGAGTGAGACTGATCGGCGGTAGACTGTACTTTGGGTGGACATCTGATAAGAAGATTGGGGAATAGCAATTGCTTGCCAGACCGCAGAAACTCTTGGCTGTCTCATGGAGCTGTCTTGGTGAACTCGGTGTTTCTGTACTCATGTCTGTTCGGAAAAAGGGGCGGGTGGAGGACGGCAATAGATACCTGACTAATACTGGCCTGTGTATGAATTTGATGTGTGGTCAAAGGGAGGGGCAGAGGCAAAATGTAGCATCAATGCAAAGTAAAATGAACAGAAGCATGGCTGTTTGGCTTTTGTGCCATGGGCGTTGCACATGCATAGACAGTGTGACAGGGAGCCAGTAAGTGGTCCTGACCAAGGTGTATTATGGGAACCGAAGATCTGGTTCCAAACCCAGCAGTGTGGCGTTCAAATTTCAACATTCGTGGCCACGGCAAGGACGGTTTTCTAGTAGTGTCTTTTGCTTTTGTATCTGTAGTTGTTGCCCCATTCAGGTGCCTGGTCCCACTCTCGGTTGCATCTTTTCTACGTCCACGACGACGGCCAACACAACTGACTAAATCCTACTGTATGACCACCCAGCTGTCCAACAAAGCTGGTGGGGGCCCATCTATACAGCGGCTGATATTCAATGCGGACTACTCCTCCATCAACAGCCGACTGAATCCCTCTATGATCCGCAGAGAGAGATCTCCCCGATTTCTGCAATCGACTGATGCCATCACAGTGAGCTTTTCAAGCGTTCAGTCAAATGCGTCCAGGTCTTGTGCAAAGCGCGCCGATCCTACATGGCGCCTCCTTCAGTCAGACCAGTCATGAGGTCCTCATCGTCGACGGCAGCCTCGAACGACGCGCCCTTGTTGTGACCCAGCTCCTTCTCGCGCTGGGATTCCCTAATATGCTGCTTGATATAGTGCGGGTTCGTGCTCAGGCGCGCGCTGGTCGCCTTGTAGATGGCCTCGAGGTCCTTCATCTTGGCGAAGATGGCGGCTATCTCGCTCTGAAACTGCTTCTCGGACAGGTCGCCCGACTCGGACAGGTACTTGAGGTACGGCGACTTGTCGGCGGGCTTCTCGATAACGCCGTTCAGCATGCCAGAGCTGATCATGCCCTGTATCAGCGCCTCCACGTCCTTGTCGCTGGGCAGAAGGTCGCCCGTCTCAGCACTGGATGTTTGCTGACGAATGTCAGCGAGCGACACCTTGGAGTACACCTTTCTCATGTCAATGATCTGCCACTTCTGGTGTGCGGCCAGGACCTCCTGGATCAGTCCTGTGTTTCGATCGTTCGCCCAGACGCCCGAGTTCGCCTCGACTTCTGCTTTGAGGTTTGTAGCAGACATGGAATCAAAATGAGAGGCGATGGCCAGGTAGGGTTTTGCCATCGTTTCGCATGTCTTGGTCGCATTTGGGCCTGTGGTGGCAGGAATCGTCGGGGTACGGCCGTTGATGAGGAGGCTGACAAGAACCCATTTGCTAAAAGCCTCGGTCATGATCTTGCTAACCCCGCCGTCGCGTGTAGGATGTGTGATGACTCGCTCGAAGGCCGCGCGCGCCTTTTGCCACTGCCGCTTTGAGCAGTACAACAAACCGCAGGTGAAGTCGTACTGTAGGACTTGGTCAACCGTGACCGCAGTAGTCAGGCCCGTCTCCACCATGATGTAGCCCGTCGGAGGAAGACTCAGGTCGCAGAGAGGCTTCTGGGTTGGGGCATTCGCGGCTCGATTGGCGGATCCCTGGTCTCTGGACATGCCGGGGAAGTAAACGATTTGTTTGTCAGTGACTTGGAACGCTGGCTCGGCAACATTGTTATCGTAGGCTAGTCGAACGAGGGATAGGTGATGGGAAGTCAGCATGGCGCCGCTGGGATCGAGTCGGAGGATCGCTTTTGCTAGAACCTCGACTGCCAAGTCGTGCTAGAGAGAAGCAGCGTTAGACATCGAGTCGAAAAGACAGGCAGGGAGAGCTTACTGGAAGAAGCGTGCCCGATGCCACCTTGTCCAGCCATGTTGTGAGGTGGTTTCCCACGTATCGAATTTGTCTGGGATCGAAGGTCAAGAGAAATGTGACAAGGGCGTTTAATCTCTGCTCGGACGAGAAGGCAGTGGTCTCGGAGAGGGTGTTGAAGACAGCGAGGTAGGAAATGCTGTTGACGGCGGGGTCCAATAACTATGGGGGTAGAGGTCAGCTCAAGACAGCCCCACAACGACAGGATTGTGAAGATGCACCTTGAGGATGTTGATGCCTTGCTGTGCGATGGTGGCAGTCTCCTTGCTGAAGAGGCGGTCTATTTGTTGCAGATGAAAGTTGACGGCGTTGTCATAGTCCTCATCTGTCGCGAATGGCTGCGATGGAGGGAAACCCAAGAGGACGGACACAGCATTGTCCATGATGGGTTATATCGTGGGCGCTGATGTGGTGGGTATCTATTGGAGGGGAGCGAAGGCAGAAGAAGAGGGCGACGGCTATTGTTGGTGTGCTGGTTTGCGGGTGGTGGTGATTGCGATGACGATGACGATGGGCCACCTGCGAGGCTTCCTTCCAAATCAGCACCGCCGCAGCGGACAAGTCACTGTAAGATCAGTGTGAAGACTGCAGGCTCTCGGAGGGCATCCTGTGTTCTATGTTCTGTGTTTCTGTCTTTCGGGCGGCGTAAGGAGCGTCCAGAATGCGAGTTGGAAAGAGAAAGTATCTTGCTGTTGGGAGGAGGGAAGGTAGCAGACGCGATGCAGCTTGAAGGCGGTAGACTGGACTATCAGTATATCTGCAGCTCGAGGTTTCCCCACGCTTCACACAGGGCAGCCTGGCAGCCAAGGTACGTACCGAGGTGGGCTTTAGTGGAGGGTGAGGTACGTCTCTTAACACCAGGACCCCGCCAAGCTCTTGTGGCCCAAGCTTTATCTAAGCTTGCAAGGGCCCCCATCTCAGCGCCTCGCCTGGACTGGACCCGCCCTCCACCGCGTTCGTGTCAGTTGAGTGGGAGAGAGGCAATGAGATCTCACTTTTGAGTTTGCCCCAGATTTTCCTTTCTGATTGCCGGCTTGCAGGGGTATTGAAGGTCGACTTTTCTTTCTCCTGCTCACACTCATTTGAGTTTTGACATTTCAGATCACTTTAACAAGATTGGCTAGCTATAGTTCGATACAACGTAAGACCCGTCCCAATTGACTATGCTAGAATAAACAACACTGGTTTTCATACCTCTCGCATACAAATCAGCGCTTGACTGACCGTTAACGTAGATCTCCACCACTATGCCTCTGCCAGACAAGTATGAGCTGCCAGCAGCAGCAGACTTCCACGTCCATGTCCGAGATGGGCCCATGTCTGCTGCCGTCGTGCCCACGATACGGCAGGGTGGCGTCAAGTAGGCATCCCTCGCCTCCAAAATCATGACTGTGACCCTCATCGGCTTACACAATGTACCCACCTGTAGTGTGGCATATGTTATGCCCAACCTCGTCCCTCCAGTGACCACGGTCAAGATGGCCGTGGAGTACAAAGAGCGCCTGCTGAAGATTGACTCCAACGTCACCTACCTCATGACCCTTTACCTCCATCCCTCCATCACCCCTGAGGTTGTCCGGGAGGCCAAGAAGGCCGGCATCGCAGGCATCAAGAGCTACCCAGCGGGTCTCACCACAAACTCCGAGTCTGGCGTGACAGACTATGAACAGTTCTACCCCGTTTTCGCAGCCATGGAGGAGGAGGGCCTTATTTTGGTGAGTTCTTTTAGGTTTCCATCGAGGCAAAACGCCTCTCTGGCAACTAGAAGAAGACTCAGGCAACGGATGGACCCAAGTGGTCTTTCAAGGCCTGTCATGACTGTTACCTGTCTGCAGTCGATGATGAGATCGTTTTATTTGGACAGGGAGTCACGCACCCTTCATTGGGAGACGATGACGCAGTTCAGATTTAGACTACAACGGTCTGAGACTGCGCGTGTGATCGTGATTGTTCTCTCAAATTTTGACTCAACTTTTGAGCGAGATGAGTTTCATGCTTGACTAAAGGACATGGGAGTCTCGGAGAATGCTCAGACAGTAGTCAACCCGTCATATCTAGTCAAAGACTGACCTCGTCGGAAATGCCTAGAACATCCATGGCGAGTGCGCCAGCGACCACAAGAAGAACATCACCATCATGAATGCCGAAGCCAGCTTCCTGCCTACCTTGAAGGAGATCCACACCAAGTTCCCAAAGCTGAAGATCGTGTTGGAACATTGCACGACAGCGGATGCTGTAAAGGCTGTTGAGGCATGTGGCGACACCGTGGTCGGGACCATCACCGCGCACCACCTGTGAGCAGGATTCCATTGATCCGGCCTTGCTACGATATAACGGATCGCACGCTGACACTCTTGATCCGCAGGTTTCTGATCGTTGATGACTGGGCAGGCGATGTGGTAAGTTCTTCGCGGCTGGTGGCATTGCCATACCCTCCCCGGGCGATGTGGACCTCTCTTACTGACAAATTGTCGCCGACAGTTTCATTACTGCAAACCAGTTGCAAAGGTAAGCAAACTTCGTCTCCGTGAAGCCTTCACCCCGCCTTTTACATTCCGTCGTGACTAATACAAGCATTCCAGATGCCAAACGACCGCCTCGCCCTTCTCCGAGCCGCCGTCACTAGCAAGGGCAAGTTCTTCTTAGGCACCGACTCGGCACCGCACGACATCAGCGCCAAGAAGGGCAAGGGCAACACCGCGGCCGGCGTGTTCACGCAGCCCTACGCCGTCGCGTACGTCCTCACGGCGCTGGAGGAGGCCGTCGCCCGGGGGGACATCGAGGAGGGCCAGGTCACACAGGAGCTGCTGGAGGGCTTTCTTGGCGGGTTCGGGCGCGCGTTCTACGGGGTCGAGGCGTCAAAGGAGAGGATCGTGGCCGAGAAGAAGGACGAGGTCGTGGTGGAGAGCATCAAGGGCGAGGGCATCGAGGTCGTGCCTTTCAGGAAGGGCAAGCCTACGTGGAGTGTGCGATGGGTATGAGGCGCGTTTTTGTAGATCACAAATTCCCGTAGACAAAAGCTGTTGTTGGCGTCGTGTGCCATTTCATCTATAGCTGGTTGACCGTGGCATGAACCACTTCACTATAGACAGGGCCGGCGGTCACACCGAATGCAAAAGACCAAACACCGCACGCCGGAAACTTCTGTTGTGATGATGATTGACCAGATGTTCTTGATGATGCCGTCGCCGCCGTTGTCGACCCCATTGCTGGAGGACCTCGGTTTTCTTCTCTATATTACACGGAAGCTTCGTTGCCCAGTGTAGGCAGCCAAAGCACGTTGAAATGAGGGCCCTGTTTGTCTCGGAAGCCTTGGGAATGCAACGCAAACGATCTCCTCCGGTCTCAATCCCTGATGCGAACCCGTCTTGATCACGAAAAAACAACAACTCTCGATCCCTTCACTTCGATCCCTCGCCTCGTCCCGTCGAAGAGCAAGGGTGAAACAGTAACGCAAGTAAAGAAATTTCAATCAAACGTGTCGGCCGGCGGGTCCATCATCAGCATCATCATCGTCAATCCATCCATCCACCCGTCAAATCAAATCAACCAGCCGGATCCGTCAGTCGAATCCACCCCAAAAAGCCACACACCTCAAAAGAAGGCAGATGAAGCGTAGTCGAGCCCCAAGAATTCGCTTTCCACTCTGCTTGCTCTCTACTGAAACCCAAAGCTCCAGTGGTTCGATCGGGCAAACGTCAAGCCAGGGCTAGCTGGTGAAATCTTCTTGAGAAAACAAGGGCAGCGAGACGGATCGTAAGCGGCGAAAAGTCGAGGCCGGCTTCGAAAGATGATCACTTCAAAGAGGAGCGCCACGCTGCTCGCCCTCCTCGCCCGAGTTAGTGGCGGTGTCGCCGCTGCTGCTCTCCTCCTGGCGGCCACGAGCCTGCGAAGAATGGCTGCCCAGGGCCGCGAAGGGGTTGCTGGGGTCGAAGACAGAGCGATAAAAGGGGACGCCGCTGCCACGGGGGCCGTCGTCGGTGCTGGCCGTGGACGAGGTAGTCAGCGCGCGAGTGTTGCGAGTCGTCGGGAAGCCAGTGCTGGTTCCGCTGCTGCCGCCGGTGCCAGCCCGAGAAGGGGGCGCGATGGGGCCGTAGGTGGCTGGCTGGAAAGAGGCTGTGTTGCACAAGTGAGCAGGATGTCCAAACGGCGGAAGTCTTCACTTTGCGGGGAGACGAAGGCGAGCTGTGAGGACTGTCTGGCAAGGATGGACTAGGGAGGGACTTCGATAACTCACCGAACGTGCGAGGTTGGCGCGCGGTGCCACGACTGCTGCCGCCGAAGCCGATGCTGCCACTGCGACTGAGACCGCTGCTGCCGCTGGTGCCAGCGGCGGGGGCAGTGGGAGAAATGGTGCCCTGGACACCGCCATCGCCAACGTTACCAGCACCAGAACGCCAGTTGGAAGAAACTACGGCGCTGCTCAGGCTACTGCCGAGAACACCAGCCGAAACAGAAGTAGGGAAGCTGCCACGGGCGGGACCGACGCTAACAGGGCGGTCGTCGATAGCCAGAGGACGCTGCTGCTCAACAGCCTGCTTCTTCCACCAGGCAGGGTATCCGTGGAAAAGGCCCAGCTTCTCCTGGGTCTCACGATCGTGGGGCATCTCATGCTTGTACTTGCAACCCTGCTGGGTGAAGGCGCAAGTGCCATCGTGGATCCACTTGTCGCAGTAGATCTTCTCGCGACGGGGGCCGCCGCCGGGTGCTCCGCTGCCGTGGCTCTGGGTGGTCAGGGAGCGGTTCGTGGCGCCATCAAAGCCGCGGGTAGACAGGACGAGAGCGCTGCTGCTGGCGCTAGGGGATGAGTTGATGATCGAATCGATGCGAGACTATTTCACGGGTTCGTCATGTGTCAGCGTTCTGAGCACTCGCAATGTTCGCAAAATTGGCATCATAGGTTGGGGTTGGGTCATCCCAAGGACATGTATTGGCAGTGGCGGGATTGGCTTGCTTGCTGCTTGCTTACCTGTATGTTATCAGTCGAGACGCCGTTGGGGCTGGTAGGTGGCTGTGACGCGCATCCTTGGGTTAGTTCAAGCGTTTCCAGAACTCAACTTTCAGAAACATCACACAGATAAAAATAAGCAAGAAAGCAAGCCACCACTCGCCATCGACATGTCCATAGTCCTCACCCACAGCCCAGATACAACACATCAATGCTCGGAACAGAACAACTTACGGTCACAACAGACTCCAGCTGAATGTTAGCCAACTGGCCATCGGGACCTGGCTGGTGTGGGACAGGCAGGACGATCATGCCCTCGTCGGTGTTGACACGACGGGGGATATCTTTGAGTTCGATGGGAAGCATATCGACGGGGACGAGACGAGTATACTGACCGCCACCGCGGTCGTAGCAGTAAGACATGGCCTGGTCCATGTCGGAGTCAGCGATGAGTTTGCCAGTCTGTGGATGCATCTTTTCGTTGTTTCTGGCACCTTGGTGGCGCTCGAAATGGCGAAAGTCGTGGTGGAATGCAGAGGTGGGCGTATTACTGCTGAGACCAGCAGTTGGTACGTAGCTGTTATGGCCCAGCAGGCTGTTCTGGTTGCTGAAGTCGACGGACGAGATGGGCAAGCCCAGAAGATTCGAGCTGCCCACGAGCGCAAGATTCTTGGTGTTAGCACCAGAAACAGACGAGGTACACCCAGACGAGGTCGTTGTCGATGGCGCGGTAAGGCTGTCTAAGCTTGCAGTCGAAGAACGCCAGTTGGTCGTCGAAAGCCCACGAGGGATCGTGGACGAAGGGAGATGGGCAGACGGAGGATGAGGAGGAGCGATTGGTGCGAGGCTTCGTCCGACTGTCGTAGGCTGCAGATGGTGACTAGTGTTGTTGCCACCAGCTGTGGTTCCAGAAGAAGCGTGACTAGCTCGAGGGTTGTCGACAGCGAGTTTGCTTCGCCGGTCATTGACAGACTGAAACTGATTGGGGTTCATTTCTAAGGGCGAGGCGAGCCCAGCAACTTGACCGGGACGTGGTCTAGACAGATCCGGGCCCGGCGAGGGGGTTCCGGGGATATGATCAGACCGCGGTTTGAACATATCCGGGTCCGTGGATGTCGTCTCCAGGGGATGGTGTGTCGATGAGGCTGGCGAGGTTTCACGGGTTGAGACCACAGAACAAGGACCTGAAGAGCAGCTCACGTCGGAGGCAATATTTGGAGAAAGACACAGGCCGGCAAGATCGCGACCAGGATGAGCTTCCATGGTGAGATCGGAGTGAACTGATGGAAGACTCCGGAAGATGGCGGACTGATAAAGGGGTTGGGTGCAAACGGAGGTAGGTCTTTAGCAGCACCTACTCTATACCCTGCAGCCCTCAACACTTCGAGTAGGGGAGCACAGTGAGGAGGACAAAGACGGCCGGGGTTCTTCTCTAAGAACCATGCAAGAATATCAGGAACAGCTGGAACAAGCGGAAGCTGGACATTGCAGGAAAAGTCCCTGACAGATGAGAGAGTTTGAGGTCCTTTTAACACCATCCTGCTAGGTTCAGTTGCCATGAGCAAACGGAGGACGTCAAATAAGGTTGTATGCATCCACGGATACCCGCAGCAAGTTGTTGTACTCCCTCACGTGATTGCTGTCCATCTCTAGGATTCAGTTAGCAGAAACACCAGGCAACAATCTGAAGCTGTCAGTCACAAGTCAGAAACAAGAGGAACAATGCCAAATAGCTTCCAAAATTGTATTTGCCTAATCAGTCAAACATTCCAATCAAAGTATCTATCAGAACTGGCCGATAGACGATGGAACAAGGACGTGCTTGTTCGCAATGTTGGTCAGCGACGCAAAAAGGGCTTTGACATCGACAGAGATGTTTCTCTGCGTGCCTATCCGCAGATGAGCCAGCCGCCAGCCTACCTGCCACCTTCTTGCTCAGAACCCACATTGGATCCAGGTGCCTCTTCCTCCGATTCCGACTCAGATTCTTCCTCAGATGCCGATTCGTTGGACCCTGAGGGATCTTCTTCAGATTCCTGTGGGGGAACAAGTCGAGCTTGCTCTTGCTGCGGTTGTTGAGTTGGCTGCAGTGCCAGATGTGTAGGCAGCAATTGTGGTTGTGGACTGGGTCGAGCAAGGGGGGCAACAGCATCTCCTGCATAGCCCAGTCGTTTTGCTCTCAAAAGATTTTGGAGGATCTCCCTGTTCTGTTGAATTCTGGCAGGGTTTCCGCCAGATAGCGCTTTGACTTCATCAAGCGCAAGTCGCAGTTGAATCTCTGTTTTCAGGTTCGGACACCCTTGTCCCTGTTGATGAAAAAGATGACAGTTCTTACATTGATCTCGAGGCATCGGCAAGCCTGAGCTTGTTCCGTTGGAGCGCATGACAACGGGAGCTGAGGGCTGTACTGGTTGTTGGGGTGCTGAGAGCGTCAGAATGTCTTCAGGCATTGTACGCAATGAATGGGACACACACCTGAGGGCTGGTATGTAGCCCCACCAGTGGTGCTATGCAAGTTAGTAACCTCTGGCACAATCACGGGTCTTACTGCTCCGTAGACGGCGACGTATTGCCCGTACTCTCCGTGCTGCTCGGGGCCGGGGCCAAAATTGGGGTGGGTGTACGGGACAGCGGCGTGAGGCTGCTGTGCCCGGAGGTATTGTTGGGCGGCATAGGTATCGGGTCGGGGCTGTTGTGGTTGCTGGACACCTTGACTAACTCCCCGCCAAGAAGTTGCGTATTGGGGTCCTGGTCCACCGGGGCCTGAGGGGACGGGAGGCGCGACAACGATGAAGTTTGGGTCTCTGTGTGGTGGAGCTGGTCTACCCTCTGCATTCGCTCGTCCGGATTGTCCTCTCTCTGACTGCCCTCCGCGGCCGGAGTCTTGCTCTTGCCCTTGATTTTGGTGGGTGTCGACGTTGGCTGGGCCTTTGCGCTGGGTTCTGGGCTTGGGGTCTGTTTTGCGTTGCTTGACTTCGCCGTCGACGTATTTTCTTGGGCGGCCGCGCGGCCTTTTCGCTGGGACTGGGCCTTGGTGCTTCGAGGAGTCTGGCCCTTTTGAGGTGTCACGGCTTTCTGTGGCGTCTGCGGCTTTCGAGGGGTCGACCGCTTCGATGGGGATGGCTGGGGGGTGTTCTTGTTAGACTGCTTCTTTGGGGTTGGCTTCTTTGGAGGAGGTCTTCGAGCGCGAGCTGTACCTTTCTTTGCCTGTCCTTGTAAGTTTGTACCAGAATCAACTTTACCGTCATCAGAATCGCTGTCAGAGTGTTCACTGCTAATGAAGTCCTCGTCAATTTCAGAGTCCAGCTTCGGCTCAGTGGCACCTCCAGCTGGCTGGTCTTCAAGGCCATAGATGGTCTCGCCGGTGTACTTGACAGCCTGGAGAGAATTAGTCAAAGCCAAACGCATGCTTCTCTCACAAGTAGCTTACCTGACGTCGTCTACCACCACGACCAAGGACCTCCTTGTTGAGCTCGGCTCTTCGTTTCGCCTCATCCTCTCGTTGCTTGAGAATCTCGTCCCACACACTCATGGGGACATCAGGGTTCTCTTCCACCTGTAAGTCGGTTGCCAGGTCACCAGAATCATTTTGCCACACGCGAGCATAAGAGAATTGAGGCTTCTTGGCTTCTCCCTCTTCCCGATCAGTCTGGTTCGTCGGTTGAATCGCGGTCCTGTCCAGCAGCTTATCGATAGCGGCGGCGTCGTATTTGATTTGTTCTTTTTCGCCATCGTTAAACAAGGCTTCTGCGCCATGCTTAAGGATGGACTCGAGATCCTCTCCGGCATCAGGGCTCTTTTCGTGTTCGACATCCATGCTCTCGACCAACGCATGATCCAGGGCCATTTTCTTTCGTCCAATCTGCATGATCTTCTCCTCGACACTGCCCTTCGTCATGAGTTGAAAGCAAAGAACTTTGTTCTTCTGACCAATGCGATGGGCTCGCGACAGAGCCTGCAGGTCTTGATGTGGGTTGAAGTCAGGGTCAAGGATGATGACTGTGTCCGCAGTTGCCAAATTGATCCCAACGCCACCAGCGCGGGTTGAAAGAAGGAAAGCGAAGCACTCAGAGCCTGGCTCATTGAATGCGTCGATGCGCTTCTGTCTCTCAAGACTGGAAACGTTTCCGTCAAGGCGGCGGTATTTGTACCCCATGCCTGTGAGGAAGTCCTCGATGATGTCAAGCATGCCAAGAAACTGACTAAATATCAACACGCGATGGCCACACTCGTGGAGTTTCGGAAGCATCTGCTCTAAGAGAACGAACTTGGCAGAAGCCTCAACAAGGTTGCGGTGCATGGTCTCCTGGTCCACGGTTTTGTCTTCGACAGCTTGGCTGTATAAGAACGGGTGACCAAGACACTTCCGCAGTTGCATGAGAATGTTGTTCAAACTGCTGCGCTCGTTAGATTTTAGCTTGGTATTCGCAAAGATTGCGCGAATCAGCTCAGGATTTCTCTCCATGATCGACTTGCAGAGCTTCTCCTGCACAATTGACATGGAGACCGGCAGGATGATTTGTGCCATTGGTGGCAGGAACTTCAAGACCCTGGCCTTTGTGCGCCGAAGGAAATGAGGCTTGATCATTTCATGGAGCTCAGTAATATTGTCCTTGGTAAGTTCGGCGTACTGCTCGTCGAGGCGCACGGCGTTCTTGGACGGATCGATAAACTGGAGAAGGTTGAAAAGTTCACGCTTATTGTTTTGAAGCGGCGTGCCGGTGAGGAGCAGCCGCCATGGGACCCTCATCGAACGCAGCGCGCCGTACAGCAAGTTCTCATCGTTCTTGAGCCGTTGGCCCTCATCGACAACCATACCGATCCACTGGACGTTTTTGAAAAGAGTTCTGGTCTGATCGTCCTGGGCGGAGTCGTATGACATGATGACGACATGGGCTTTCATATCTTTCGAGTCGTTGGGAAACAGCTCGTACTTGTATGCCAGACGCTGCGGCTCCTTGCCACCATGGTAGCATACTACACGCATGTCTGGGGCCCACTTCTTGATTTCCCTCCGCCAATTTGGACAGGTCGAGTTGGGAACAACAATAAGCCATGGCCAGGCCCGAGGACCCTGCAGGCTGATGGCCGCCATCAAGCTGATGACCTGGATCGTCTTTCCCAAGCCCATTTCATCGGCCAGGACGGCACTGCGCTCCTCATAGAAGCTATTCAGAATCCAGTTGAGGCCCTGGATTTGATACTTCATCAAAGTGTTGCCTTCCCTCAATCCTTTAGGCTGGGTTGGTGGTGGGTTCGTGCCGTCCTCAAAAGCGACGTCCTTGTCAAAATTTAGGTGTCGAAATTTCCGAAGACGTTCCTTGATGTTGCTCACGGGCTCAGACTTGAAGTGCTTGCCATTGAGGAACTCGTTGTAAGCCGAGAGAAACGCGTCCCAGCGAAGGCCAGAGTCATGGGCCGGAGGCTCATCCCAAACAGCGTCAACGTAGTCCAGGCCTTCGAACTTGATCAGGGCTTGGTCTATCATAAAAACCTTGTCCAAATCGGTCTTCTTCGATTCAAACTTGAAGGTGCCTTTGTATCGCACGTCTAGAACAACGTCCGCAAGAAGATATTCCTCGGGAATCGCGTCCCTCTCATCGAATTTTGGCAGCAGGTTCGCGCCGTCGTTGCGCTTGGGAAAGGCATTGCGCATTACCCCATTGGTCGCTCCACAGACCCAAGGGCCGGGCTTCCACTCGCAGTGGGCATATGACTGAGACGCCCACTTGACGAGATACTCCTTGGCATCTTCTACCAGATCCAGGGTAGTCTGGCCAGCAACGTAAGAATCACGGTCCATAGGCCGCCAGGCCACGAGGGTGTCGACCTTGTTCGGCATGTCAAGGCAATTGTTGCATTTCCAGTGGAGGGAATACTTGGCCAAGCGATCAGCTCGAACATCGCCTCCAACGATTCTATGGTTGTTAGGCGAGGGAAGGTGCTCGAAGTGGTAAGCGCAGTGACAAGCGATGCACCGAAAGAGGACGTTGGCAGCGTTGTTAATGAGCTCTCGGTCCACTGGGACAATCGGGTCCTCTCCGCCGTTCTCTTCGCGCAGCTTCTGCTCTTGCACAGCCGTGCGCTTGGGTGCGAAAGGATCGCATGCCTGACCCTTAGTCCGGCAAACTTGGCAGATTTCCAGGCTCGGAGCGCGGATATCTTTCTTCTTGCGAACACCAATGCAGTGCCGACACTGTAGGACGAATTGTTCCGGTCCAACCTTTGTCACGAGATGGTCTCGAGTGCTGCGGAACCCAAGACAGGTCTTATGGTAAGCCATTGCGCAGCCCTGACAGTAGACCATGATGCCTTTATTTGGGGCAACGGGACCATTGCCACAGGTATCGCATGTGTTGCAGTGCGACTGTTTGAACGGACCATCCGAGATTGACGTGAAGGCTTCTTTAGCTCCAGACACCCTCGGAGCTGCTGGGATTTTGTCATCTTCGGGGGCGTAAGTCTCCTCCTCCCATCCGACTTCAGCCATCACGACATTGGTCTTGTTCTTTCTGTCCGAACGCCGAGGTGGCTCGAAAGTGATGTCATCATCATCCCGATTGGCAAAGAGCGAGGGTCTGCCGCGACGAAGACCTCGAGTATTGCCACCACGTCTTCGTGACTTTCTCTCAGGTACGAGGTCTGACTTGACCATGAACACGCCATCGTCGTCGTCCTCATTCTGGAGTTCGTCAACATCATCCTCAAATATTGAAGACGACGTCTTGGACCGAAGAAGATTAGTAGTCTTTCGCAAGCTCCGCTTATTCCTGCCTTGTCTGTCGGACTCATCGCCGGACTGGTTGCCGTCTTCATTGTAGTTGACCTGTGGCTGGAACAGCCGATTACGGTCGCTGCCACGTGTCCGAGAAGAGGGACCAAACGAGCTGTTCCGTAGCTTCTGTTTGATGCGACGGTGACCAGGATGTAGTGGGACATCGTCATCGTCGTCCATATCGTCCTCATAGGCATCTATCATGGCCTCGTCCTCATCAGCGTCTGCATTGCCCTCGTAGTCAGGGTCCTGGGTAGAAGCCTTGCGCTTCTTTGGACGTCCTGTGAAGCCAATGTTCTGATAATCGTCTGGATCAGAATCCATGGTCTTTGGCTTTTTGAAGTGCGCAAGAGCTTGACGCCCGTTTGGATAGCTCGAAAGCTGGTCAAAAGCGATCTGATGGGGTTGAGATTAGCTCGGTGCTTGCGATTAGATCGAAAACCAGTAGGTAGGCCTTGATGAATTCGAAAGTTCCAATGAGATAGGAAAAGTTCAAGGGCTTGGCGTTGCCAGAAGGTTTTCACTTTGGTAGGTGGTGAGGGAATGTACGGCAAAGGAAAGAGCCTGGGGAGCGAAAGAGGAACGAAGACCTGTGGACGTGAGAGTTGCAAATGTTGTCTGCTGGGGACTTTGTCAAGAGATGCAGGCAGCGACAATATGTGGGTTGCTGTGCCTGCCCAAAGCGGACAACGGGGAGTCAGGGACGAAAAGTGTAGAGTGAGGGTTTGGTTTTCCACGACCCAAAAGTAAATCAACTGAGTGATGGCAAAAATGAAAAGTAGGTCTGATTTCCATACCATTCCTGATTAAGACAGCTAACACTTGGCTGCTCGAGAAACGCCTCGGCCGCGTGATTGCTCCTCTGTACCAGCTCTGATGGCAATGACCAAAGATGAAGGGCAGGGTAGCACGATCCAAATTTGTGAAAGTGTGAAACCAACGAGATAGTGGATGATAAGTGATCTCGGATGCCAAGTTGTGCTCGAGGCGATGCTTGTCTGAGAGTTTTTATTGAGAAATGCAGTAACGGAACTGGAAGAATAGACCAAAAGCCGTAACGCACAGCTCGGTATTGGGCCGTTGGAACGCATGTAGTGGGAAAAGGTTGGGGAGGGGGGTATTTCTGCAGCAGGGAGGAAGAAAGTGAATATCCGGGCAGCCCAAGGGGGTATGGAGTATATGACAGCTTTCCACTTGGCTTGTTACCAGACAGTTTGTGTTGAGGCACGGATAGGAAAGTGGGAATGAACAACACTGTTCGCCTTGGAACAATCCATTTTACAATTGCTGCTTACCTGGTCTACACGGCCGTCCTCAAATTCCACCAACAGCCACGATTCCCGAGGAACATCTGTTTTGATAACCTCCAACACACGGTATATTTCGTCACCCGGGGGCACTTTGGTATACTCTTGAGTTGCTGAAGGTGACAAAGGTTTGATCACGACTTCAAAATTCCAACCTCCCGATGGCGATTCTGCCTCCAGATCCGTAGACTCCCCGGTCGACCGCCTTGTATGCCTCTTCCCGGGTTTGACTTGACTTCCACCGTCTACTTCGACGTCGTCTTCCGGGTCTGACTTGGACTCGGCTCGCTTCTTGGCTGAAGACGTGGCGAACCTCTTCAAGAGTTCTGCAGCGCTCTCGTAGGGCGACTCGGCGCCGCCCTCCTTTCTTTGCACGGGCTTTGCGCGGCTTCTGGTTGGACGTTTGGCTGGGCTCTTGCGGGCGGGTTTCGGTGCCTCATACTCTATCTCGTCATCGTCCTGCGCCTCTCCGATCTCGTCCTCCTTATGCCCGTTCGTTTCGGGTGGCGGCAAGCTCGCAACACCATTAGGCTCTTTCATCGGCGCCGCAGGAGCCATAGGGGCCACAGGAGCCACAGTGGTTATGGGAGCCATGGGAGCCATGGGAGCAGGCGGCGCTGGCCCTGGAATTGGCTCTTGATCGACATCGTCATCGGACGAATCGGCGAAATGACGGAGCCGCCTCTCGAAGGTGAACTCATCTGGCGTCGTCAGGGGCTGAAGCAAAGCCAGCAATTCTTCGTCGGAGTTATGCGACTCGTCCATGACGTGGGGGTCGTAGCCAGCTTCTATCGTCGCAAATCTATCTTCAAGGCAGACCTCGGGAACTCGAGTGATACATCTACAGCATTGTCGCAATTAGGGAGTCCGCGGGCAATCAAGGTTCTGTCACCGCCAGTATGGTCGCATACCTTCAAAAAAACGCATTCTAGCCTGAACAAACTCGTCTTTTTGCTTATTGGGCGCGGTCGGGCGCAAAATCGTCGGTCGATTGACGTTGACTTTCGGTCGGAACTCTGTAAGCGTAAACTAATTAAAACAGCGAGACGCGTCCGAGACCGCGCGCCGCCGCTGGACTGGGCACATCCCTGCACTACAGCTAATCCCTGCAAAAATTTGGGAACATCAAAAGCTAACAGCAGATCTCCTCCACTCCAGTACTTCCCATTCAAGAAGCCTGCATACCACAACAAACCTTTGTCTGCAGTGTTGAGGTGCAAGACAAAACCAACAACAATGCGATGAGCTTCGTTGCAAAACTGCCCTTGCTAGGACGCAATCCTGCAGTCTGCTTCTCCCTCCTGCCCTCGTCCCGGCGATGCGCCTCCCGTCTGTCTGCCATCCACCAGGGCCTCAACCGGTCCGAAAGAGCACGACCACGAGGCTCCTCCCCTCGAAAGGAGATTCGCCAAGGCCCCAATGATGATCCGTATCTAAGCCCCGCAGAGCGCCGGCGGGCGAGGGCAATCGCGCGGCAGCAAGACCCCATAAACTACAAGATTCGGAAGGGGAAGAAAGACATCACCGAAGAGCCAGGACCGCCGCGCAAGTCGAAACGCGCCCGATTCAACGACCCACGAGATCCCATGGGCGAGAGAAGTCTAGTCAAAAAATTCAGGACTGGGCAGCTGTTTGATGGGCTGGACGAGGGCTATGGAGGAGACAAGGAAGGCAACCTGCAGCATGACGACTTCGTGAGGCAGATGTCAGGAGATGCGCAGGACCGATCGGGCCCTCGAAATCGCGAACGTGAGCCACGGAGCGGTCCACCTCGAAAGTTGGGGAACAGCCAACGATCTGGGACTTTCGTAAGGAACACGGGCGTCCGCGAAAGCCGACCCCGGCGAGAACAAGAGCCTAGAGAGAACTTTAGGTCTGGTTCAGGCATGAGAGACCAGAGAAGCGACAAGCGAGAACCCGAAGACACTCACAATAACAGTTTTGATCGACGCGCACGCGATAGTCGTGTGCCGTCCGACTCACCGGGCCGCGATCAGAGACCAGCGACAGCATATGGTTCAGAAGGAACGAGACAATTCGGTTCTTCAGGGCGAGATCGAAGGTCAAGATCATCCTATGGCTCAGAGAGAACAAGACCCACCGAGCCAAGGTCGGACGACGCAGGTGACGCAAAGGCGTGGAAGCCTAAGAGAAACGATGGACCAGTGTCAATACCATATGCCACTGCCGCGTCGCAATTCTTATACGGGACGTCGGCTGTGGAGGCTGCGTTGAAAGCTGGCCACCGGAAGTTGTATAAACTTTACATCTATCGGGGAAAAGGCCGCGGCAGCAGAACTTCGGAAAAAGACAGCATGCTAGGTGACTTGGCGAGAAGGAAAGGCGTCAAAGTCGAATATCTCGAAGAGGAATCGCTACCTATGCTGAACAAGATGAGCGAGAGCCGTCCACATAACGGTCACGTTCTTGAAGCATCACCATTACCCCAACTCCCAACCACCGCCCTGGAGGAATTCTCCGAAGATCAGGATCAAACGGGCTTCAAGGTGGCTGTGGGACATCAGTCATACGAGGAAACCCAAATCAACGGCACAAACGGGTTCGTGAGAACCCAACCTAGCTCGCGCAAGCCGCTCGTCATGGTCGTGGACCAAGTTCTCGACCCAGGAAACCTGGGCGCGATCCTCAGGACAGCTAGCTTCATGGGAGTTACGGCAGTAGCAGTCTCGAAGAAGGGCTCCGCGCCCGTGACACCGGTCGTGCTGAAGGCCTCGGCCGGAGCTGCCGAGGACCTGAACATGCTGTCGGTCGACTCGGTCGAAGACTTCCTGCAGAACTCCAAGGAGAACGGCTGGAAGGTGTACGCCGCTTGCCCTCCCAAGTCCGAGTCCAAGCAGCTGCAGATCGACACCATAGACCTGGAGAGGGATGACCCGCTCCTCAGGGACCCCTGCATCCTCCTCGTGGGCAGCGAGGGCGAGGGATTGTCTCGGTCGCTGAGGAGGGTTGCTAACGTCGAGGTCAGCATTCCGAACCTGTCTGGGTCGGATGTTGTGGACAGCTTGAACGTCAGTGTGGCCACTGGCTTGCTATGCTCGGCGTTCTTGAGGGGCAAGGCGAAGGCACGTGGGAGCAGTGCCAGCGATCCAGGGGCATTGTTCTAGAGATAAATATTATACCATGTACAACTACTGTCTCGCATGAGGCAGATCAAATATATACCCCTATCACCATTTGTCTTCAGCGCGAACCTGGATGGCTTCGGCCTGTGACTGAATTTGCTGATTAAAGATCAAGGACTCTGAATGATACCAGTTCCCTGGTACATTAGTGGCCCATCTCTGATCTTTGAGGCATTTGAAAATCTTGTCACGTACGAGTCGGCCCATGCAAGATGTAAACGTAGAGTGAATTGTAAGAAAGGAAACGCCGTGCTGTAACAAATCACGCGGATTGACCTCAGCACATTCTGCACAAATCAGTATGTCCGGCATCCGTTCCGCAGTATGTCCTTTGGAGAACTCTCGAGCCAAATAATTGTGTTGACAACATGTTAAGATTGCCATCCAGAGATCCCTGGTCCACATCAAAGATCCACTCATCTCTTTGTCGCAGGTCTGGCCTAGGAAGACGACACCGTCTCCGAGCCGCCACTGCAGATGACGATACTGTGATCCCAATGCCCCAAAGGGGCCCTGCCGCCTCACTTTCCGCAGTGGTGATCCGTGTCTAACTTCATTATACCTCACTGGATGATCCTGGCGCCGGTGGACCCTTGATGCCACACCGAGACCATCTGTCAGCTGTGTGTGCGTGAAAGAGAATTTTGGTCCGGTTGTTATCTCAAGCCTTGAAACAGAGGAAGCAGCATCGGGGCAAATGACACGGCAAACGAGTGTCCATCCGTATATCTTATGCCTCGAACTCTTCCATTTTCGGACTCCTACAAGCATGCTAACATCAATTGTCCCCACCGTGGTAGTATGGCCGCTCACTTTCCATGCTGAACTGCTTTTGTGGAATGGCTGTCGAAACGGTAGGAAATCAAAAGCCCCGCGGTTGGATGTCGCATGGTTTCTCGTCTATGCGGGCGACAACTGCGATTGATGTGAACTGGAATCCATAAGCACGAGCCGCTGCACAGCCCCCGTTGTGCGACCTCGAGTTCTTACGAGCACAATGGTTCCCTGGGAGGAACGTCCGCCGTCATCCCTCTCTCCCGACCGGCCTGTGTGACCAACTGAAAGACATGGTGGGACATCATTAGCCAGGGCCGAGTTGGGGTCCATGTTTAAATGCTGTCAATGGGGATATGTAGCGGGCGTCGGATTTGATCTGATCTGATCTGATCTGATCTAACACCCCCTCCACACCAATCACCATGTCCTCCACCACATGCACTTTGTTATCCCTGCCATTTTTCGTCCCCTGCACCCCTTCTCCCCAGAGAGAGACAGACGGATGGACACAGTGAGCGCATCGGGCGCACAATAAAACTCGCCAACAATCGCCGCATGTCCTTTCTACCCAACATCTTTGTTCATAATTCCTAGATAGCATCTCAACTATCACATTGCCATATTACCCATTATTCTCTACGTCTACCTCAGGCTAAGCGTTTCCTTTATAGAATAAGGTTCACTCTACTTAGAACTTGTGATGCCACAGAGGTTTATCGAAAGCTTAGGGCAGGCCCTCTTCATCATCCAGTCCATCGTTGCATTCGTCATATTCTTGTTCGCCAGTCAGCTGCAGGCATTTTCGTGGGCCGTCTGGGCGACCAGCAGGTGCGTCTCCTTGTCTAGGTCGGAATTCTCAAGAGTATTTGTTGTTTTTGGGGAGGGATACAGGGCTGTTCTAATACAATTGGTGTCTCCAGTGGTCTGGCCCTGTGGGCCGCCCTCGGTGTCCCCCTGCTTGTCATCAATAGACAGCCTCTATACCAGTATGTCTGCCCCAACAGGGGCACATGGAACTTGCTGATGGTCAACAGGAACCTTCCTTGGTCGATTCTGGTTCCCCTCAAGTTCTTCTTTCTCTTCGCTGGAATCCCTCCATCCGACCTAATACAGGCCGGTCTTTTGGTGCCATTGTCTATTACCATTGGACTCATTTGCATTATGAGCTATAATGGAAACATCACAGCTGCCCCGGCAAATGAAATACTCGGAGATGACAAGGGCCAAGGCGACTATCAGGTATGATCGGCCTGCATGCCTTCGATGGTTCCTGCGAAATTCAAACAAGCCAGCATGTCACATCTCAGGGATCAAAGTTGACCCGCACAATGATTCTGTCGCCAAAGCGAAGAACAACGACCATTCGTTTCTGGCTACTTATCTGGCCGATGCTCATGATAGATGCTTGGGGATGGTCTCGAACTTCTTTGCCTAACTGCACAATGAAACTTTTGTGGGTACTCCTGTGAGATGCTCAACCTGTGATTGTGGCTGTCTATGTTGTAGGCAAAAACACTGGAGAGCATCTGGCGGATAGGGTAGTTCAATGTGATCCCTTGGCAGCACCAGCGGACGATTTTCCATTCTCCTGTCTTGGCGGGCTTGAGGTTGGCTTGGTTTCACAAGGGTGATTTGGGTCGACGCATTTCCCAACAGGGCACAGAAAACTTGCCACGCTGTGCGCAGGAAATCTAGAGGCTTTAAATCGCCATTTTTGTATGATAATTGATGCCGCTCTACTACAAACGAGCGATTTTAAATGTAGGCTTGATAAAGGGTTGTGGCCACACTGACTCGCTTGTGTGCTCATTTATGCGGACTATATTGTAAGTGACCAAGATAACTGAAGACCGTAGATGAGTTGCAAGTGTGCGACTGTCGAAATTTGTCATTTAATTCGAGGTTAGCTAATAGCAATGAGGACGTTGATCCATAGGCAAAAACTGCCAGCCAAGCCGTTCACCATATTTTGGTGATCGTCATGGAGCTGATGTATGAAATGTCAAAGTCAATACTACTGCCCTAGACTCTGCTAGATGGAATCGATGTAGCAACAAGTGCTCAGCACTTCAAAATGTGCACTTCATAGACTATTGTGTCAAGGGAAGTTGGAAACTCTGGCTATAAGCATCAAAACCACGCTCAGAGGTGTGGATGCATGCATTTTCCTCTGTAGGCAAGCCCGGTGTACCCATTATACGAATACGAATAAGAGGGCCCCCAACAGGAGGGAAAGACTCGTCAAAGAATTCGAATTGAAATAGATCTTTGCTACTGAACTGTGATGTATCGGGTAAGTCATGTGATGGCTGGCAGGGAGCAGGAGCAGAACAATAAAGACCGGCCCCTCTCTTTTTTAGATCCAAGGAAGGACTACGTAGAGTCGCGGGACACAAGAACTTGGAGACAAACCGATGGGCTTAGCTTCGTCGTTTAGCTATTGGTCCTAGATAGGAAATTCGATACTTGAAACTTACATGGGCGGAGGCCGGGTGAACGGCTTGATAGCGCATGGGGTTGCAGTGACGCTAATGATCTCCAACACGTTCTGTCTACGTGAAATATATTGGGTATCAAGTGTTCATGTCAGCATGAACATTGCGACAATACCTTCAAGTCGTTGCAAATTCCTTCAAGCCTGAAATCAATAAACTATCCTAGTTCTAGATACGAGCGCGCCCGACAGTGCAAGGAGCGTATGCCAGCCGGCAAGCAATGGCAACAGAGGTTGCAGCTGCTAAGGAATTCACTCATGGCCAGCCTGCTGATCTGGATGGGCAAGGGGTAGTTGTCGTGACGGGCGCAGCGGGCGGGATGGGAAGAGCAATCGCGGACGCCTTCGCAGACCAAGGGCGAGCTCTTCTCCTGTGCGACCTGGTGCCTCTGGCCGAGACACAAGCATCCATCACGGAGTCGCGGCCGCCGCTTCCGCTTATCACGACGGTGACGGGGGATATCTCGGACCCAGCATTCGGCGACAAGGTCATCTCTGCTCTCAATGGGCGCAAAGTCAGCGTTCTCGCGCATGCCGCTGGTGTGGCGCCCTCCTTCCAGAACGGCCAACGTATCTTCGACATCAACTTCACCGCCAGCAAGACCCTGGTTGAGAAGATGCAGCCACACTTGGAAGCCGATGGCGCCGTCATCCTGGTGGCGTCGCTGTCGGGAACATTCATCTCCACCTTTGCGATTGACATGGCAGTCAAGAGACATCTCAAGGGGCGCTGGTCACCCACGGTGTGGCTCATGAAAAAGTGGGCCTACACGTCGTATTCCATCTCGAAACGCTGCGTGCAGCTCTACGTGCAGAGCATGGCTACAAGGCTCGCAGAGCAGAGGGTGCGGATCGTCAGTGTGTCGCCCGGGGTAATTGACACGGCCATGATGACGAATTATGCTGAGCAGCCGGCTCTGGCTACGTTTGTGGGGTCCTCGGGACTAAAAAGGATGGGAAGGCCGGCGGAGATCGCCTCAGTGGTCGCGTTCCTTGCATCGCCTGGTGCGAGCTACTGCACTGGGATTGACGTGCTGGTCGATGGTGGTTTGACTGCGCAGAAACGAAGGGCCATTTGGACAACCCTGCGGACTCTGCGCAAGTCACGGTCTGCTGGGTAGAAGAAGCGAGTCTTCCACGTATCTTCCGTCCATGCAATTCTTTTTTCTTCGAATACCTCCATGGCACTGTAATCAATGGGAGGGTTGTCTTTGTTAGGCGCTATTCACTTCTTTCGTGGCTGGGCCTTGCCCTTCGAGGCGTAATTTCGAGTCGACTGGGGTATCTTTCACAGATGTATGCGAAGATCATTATGGTTGGCTTTGGAGTGTTGAACAAACGAGTACACTATTGTTGGTGGTTTAGGAACGAGTGTATTATGAAGCAGACAGTGATGAGACATTGAACAAGTCAATTGGAGGATGGAAGAAAGCTCAGGCAGAAACGATTTTGAGCTCTTAGTGCATGGTCGAAGCCTGCAGAAAGATTTCAACGGAGCTCCATCGCCCGCTAGCATGCGGTGATAAATCCACTTCAATATCGACCCTTGGTCTTGAGTAGGGTGGTATGACGGGTTGAAAACAGGGACAGGATCCAGATCAACGCTACTCTTTGTGTTGAAGGTCTGAAGCAGTCACACGTAAGCCAACAACCACTGACCATATGACCACCTTCACATTTCTTACTACTTTGTTTGGGCATCGACCACAATTTCTTCGAGATTTTATCACTAAGGTTTCGGGAGTCAACCAAGAGAAGATCAAAAAAAAAAAAAAAAAAAAAAAAAAACTCCAGCACCCAGGGACATCGTATTCATCAAGCTTTCTACTCACATTTGCAGCTAATCAGGCACGCCGACCTCAGAAAACACTCAAACGCGTCGATACTTAGCTGTAAGAGTACATATCTTATTCATGGAGGTCTAAGCTGGCAGAGACACGGAACCCCTTCGGCAGAGACACGGAACCCCTTCGGCAGAGACACGGAACCCCTTCCTGTGATAGCTCGAAGTCTAATGTAGGGCTAGTTGCAGTGCTAGGATCTTTCGTTTACGACAATAGCTTGGAGATGCAACATCAGTTTTCATGCATCTCAAGAGTTTGGATACTTCAGGTACACGCATTTAACCTAATTCGCCAGACTTGCGCTCCTATGTCGCGCGAAGTTTCTAGCACTTGGTTGTTAGAATCAGGACGTTTATTTTTCCTGATCCAGTGTTGATTTCTCTTATGACAGCTCGCTAGCGGAAGCCAGCGATCCTGCAAATTTGTGGAGCTGCTGAATATGACGGTAGCCGGTCGATGGCACTGTTGGCATCGCAACAGCTGCGGAGCACACATTCTTGCCTTCTCCACATGCAGGATCCTGCTTGTTACAGCATAATTCACGTTTGCTGTAGTCAAGCGGCGCAGCAATGTGGGTTGGTCGACGAGCCAACAGTAGCCCGACACCTGCAGGGCCAAGCATGTATACCAACGTCTCCCACTCTGGCCGATTCCCCTTGAATCTCCCACATGCAATCTTTCCTCTTCAGTCATACAGCTGCTATCACTGCACGTGTTTGCAGATCCCATAGACTGTGATACGCTCTTATCGACCCAACTGTCTTCAGAACCTTCATATACTTTACGCCACGATGGGTCTCTACAAAAGTCTTCCAGAGGAAATTCGAGAAGTCGACATTCTTGTAGTAGGGGGTATGTAGCCCCCTAAGTCCATTGAAAGATGCAAATGCTAAACATCTGGCCACAGGCGGCGCCGCTGGATGCATTGTTGCCGGAAGACTGGCCGAGGCGGACCCAAGCCTTTCTGTTCTGGTCGTTGAGAGCGGCCCGGACAACTATGGCGACCCGGCCGTGGTGGTTCCAGCATTCTGGCTGTCACACATGGACCCGAATGACAAGTTCATTTTGCCGTACAAGTCGAGCGCGTCAAGCTACCTTGCTGGGAGAGAGGTCGTGGTGCCTACAAGCCGTGTCCTAGGCGGAGGTTCGTCCGTGAACATGCTCTTGTATAGCCGACCGCAACGTTCCGAGCTGGACGCCTGGGGAACTCCAGGTTGGTCGGCTGACGAGATACTGGAGTATATGAACAAGGTAAGTATGGCCCATACCAAAAAAAAAAAAAAGATGGCTATGACAATTTGCGACTGATGCAATAGCAGCTTGAGTCCTACCATGGCCCAGGTCTGAAAGAGCGCCATGGTCACGACGGGCCCATCTATGTAGGGCCCGGCAACTATCGCTCTTCGAAGCTCGAGAGCGATTTTATCAACTCAACGAGCCGTTGCGGATGGCCAGAGGTGGAGGATATTAACAATCTAGACACTATCAATGGCTCGATGCGCGCTCTGCGATACGTCAGCCCTGACGGCAAGCGCGAGGATGTAGCACACAAATACCTGCACCCTAAATTACGAAGCGATAAGTTCCCGAACCTCCATGTCCTTGTTGAGACTGACATAGAACGTGTTTTATTTGACGATGAGAAACATATAACCGGTGTAACTTTTCGTCCATGTCCAAAATTTCAGCCAGACAGGGAAGGGGAACCAGTCAGGAGCATCAAAGTGAGAAAGACGGTCGTTCTGTCGGCAGGAGCCCTCGGGACGCCTGGGATTCTAGAGAGATCCGGAATCGGCAGCCCTAGGATTCTGGAACGCGCCCAAATTCTACTCGTGGCTACAGTGCCCGGGGTAGGGGAGAATTACCAGGACCATCATATTATGCTGTACCCCTACAAGGCCAATCTCGGACCACATGAGACCATGGACGAACTCCTCGGTGGGCGCCTTGATGTAGGGGAACTGATATCCAAGAACGATCCGATCCTTAGTTATAACGGGGTAGACGTCCAATGTAAGCTTCGGCCCAGCACTGCCGATGTCGTCTCCCTAGGGCCCGAATTCGAGGCGGCGTGGAACAAGGACTTCAAAGACTACCCAGATAAGCCCATGATGATCATATCTCCTGTTGCCTGTTTCCCGGGCGATCCCTCCTCGGTACCAGTGGGTCAATATTTTGGGATCGCGACCTTCAGTCTTCACCCCTACTCCCGTGGCCGCATCCATATCTCAGGTCCTGATATAAGCGATGAGATCTTCATGGATGCCTGGGCGGACCCAAATGAGCTCGATTTGAAGAAACATGTTTGGATGTACAAGAAGCAGCGCGAGAGTATGCACCCCTCCCTTGTTATTTTACTTCCAGCTTTCCCCTACATTTGCACGACCAATATATCAGTGACTGATCTCATGGCGCTTAAGTTGTCCGACGAATGGATGCATTCGATGGTGAGATAGCGGCCGGCCACCCGCAGTTTCCCAGTGGATCCAAGGCTGCCACGGCCGACACGAAAGCCAAAGCAGCACAAGACGTCTATTATACGTCCGAGGACGACAAGGCGATTGAGAATTGGCTGAGGGACCACGTCGCCAGCTGCTGGCATTCGATGGGCACCTGCAAGATGGCGCCTTTTGATGACGGCGGTGTCGTAGATCCGAATCTCAATGTTTATGGGGTCCGAGGACTGAAGGTCGCGGACCTCAGCATCGTCCCTAGCAACTTGGGAGCCAATACCTGTAGCACGGCGAGTAAGTATATCCTGTAGCCCCCGCTCGTCTTTGCCGATTCTCCCAAGTTATAGAATGGCTGACACTTGATGCTACAGTGGCTATCGGCGAGAAGGCCGCCGATATCGTTATTCAGGAACTTGGCATTGCAAGATAGAGATGCCACAACACAATCCTTCAGAACATTATGCATGACTTGACAAGCAGAGCCAGAGAAACGACTTTGTGTGTAGCGATAGGACGGAATACAATTCTTTGGTGTACATGACATCGTCTGGCTGCGAGCTTTACTCAATCGGCCTAAGATTGACCCGTTGTTAGCCATGCCTTAAGACCAAGCATCCCCGCGTCGATACCTTAGACTGAATGACCTCAGGTCAAGCTTCATGTCTCAACCTTTGCCTAACTAAATAGACGTCAAGCCAGCCGCCCCCCACTCTGAAATCAGCAGGCCAGCAGTCGCTTTCAAGACTGCCTGGCTAGGCACACCCTCCAACCAAGAGACGTAAGAGTCGCCCTAGGGATTCAAATCAAGAGGTGTGAGGCCTCAAAGTACAATTATTATGACCCAACTCCTCCATGTCAACTCTCACTAATCTTTACAGTGTCTTTCTTCGTGTCTCCTTCAGCTATGTGGCCAGAATTCTCGACGTCCTTCCCATGGAGAACGGGTGGCCGGACATCGAAGTCATCATCGAAAAGCATACCCAACTCCTCCAAAGAGTATCCTTTAGTCTCAGGAAACGTGAAGTAGATGAGGGCCACACCAAGGAACAACATGCCGAGGTAGAAAATGAAGTAGTTATATCCGATTCGTTCCAGCGCGATAGGGTTGACGTACTGATTCACCGTCAGCATGATCTGGCTAGACAGTATTTGCAGCGCCAGTCCCTTGCTGCGGATGCTGTACGGTAGGATCTCTGGAGTGTAGCAATATAGCAACGGGTTGCATGCGATATTAAAAGCGGCGTTGTACAAGAATAGAAAGACTACCGTCCCGTACGCTGCTGTCTGAGAGCCGTGTTTCGCGTACACAGCGCTTGTGATAGTTAGGGGCACATTGGCGCAGATCATTCCGATGAAGGACGCGAGCCATAGCTTCCGACGGCCGATCTTGTCAGCCAAGAAGGCGCCAGTGACAGAGCAGATGAGGTTCCATATGGCCATACCGCCGTTGATTCCGGTTTGCTGTGTTGTGTTTGTAATGCCGATAGAGTCCAGAATGGGCGAGAAGTAATATGAGATGACGCCCTGTCCGTTCCAGAGTGTGAGAACAGATACCGAGACACATATGCCGAGGCGTCGTCGGTTAGCCTTGGACTTGAGCAGGTTGGACCAGGTGTACATTTTGCTCTGCTCTTCCAATTTCAGAGCTGCCGTAATTTCGTGCATCTCCAGCTCGACCGTAGGGTCGCTTTGATCGCCGTTGGCATGATATTTGACTAGGAAATCTCTCGCCTCTCTTTGGCGCCCTTTCGAGCAAAGCCATCGAGGTGATTCCGGAATGAAGACGGTGGCTATCATTAGGAGCAAGGGAAACGTGGCCTGCACGATGGATGGAATACGCCAGGACCACGAAGTCGAGAGATGGCCAGTTCCGAATGTCAACCACGAGGCGATTATAGAGCCGAGATACCAGAGCACATTGAACTATTCGGACAGAAGACTCAGCATCCATTCATGAGCGCAAAGCATGGACAGAACGATTGTCTTACCATCGAAGCCATCTTTCCACGCAACCGTGGATGGGCCAACTCGGTCAACAGATTGGGTCCGGCCGTCGTGGTGAAGGACAGGCCAACACCAAGAACAGCACGTCCTCCAATGAAGACGCCCCTGTTGGGAGAAGCAGCTTGCATCACTGATCCAACAAACCCCAAGAACGACCCAATCTGAATCGCACAGCGTCGGCCGTAGCGGTCTGCCGGTGTCGCCGCGAAGATTGCACCGACCAACCCACCCACAAAGACTATGCAAGTAATAAGACCCAAAATCTCAGCAGATGGGTTTCCCATAGCTGTACAACTGTTTAGCACAGTAAAATAGCATCAATGGCTAAGAAGCAGCTTACCATCCTGCCAGGGCTGCAATGCCTGGAAAGAACCAACGATGACTTCATCGTACCCGACTGTGATCTGAGCAACTAGAATGCATGTTTGCCAGAAAATGAGCTTTCTCAGACCGCCGTCTTTCCACCAAGGCAACGTGGGGGTGCCTGCGAGATCCAGCAGCCCGGGCTCGGCTGTGGCCGTCAGAGGATTTGCCATGACTGCGGAGATTGAATTGAGAAGATCTGGGGTGGCGTGACATTACGAAGAATTTGGTTGGCAGTTGCCGCAAGAAAGCCCTCTTTATAGATGGTTGCAACGTTCAGGTAATTGTTGATGGAAATGCATTATCATCTGCAGAGCTCTCATTGCTCAATACGGTTGCAGGCGTCGAAAACTCACCCGTGACTCGCCCGGCCCGCGCGATAAGGCTGCATGAAGGGAACCCCGTGTGATTCGGGGTTTCGCCCGAGAGTCATCCGGCTGGAGGTCAATCTCTGCCATATTCAGATCGTGGAAAATGCTACCCGATCATTGATATGACACAACGGAATGGTATTGGATGGCAGCATGTCAGCAACTTATTGAGGATACATAAGGTGGCCACCACTGTCTTTCGACTTACAATTCCACGAAACAGCGTCAACTGCCTTCCATTCCATCATTGTCTCCATCCTCAGACTTACATAATGGGCAGCATCAGTTACGAGAACGAGCCTCAGCTCGACACTTCTACGAACTTCGGGGACTGGAGAGATCAACTTATCAATGACGGTTATGTTGTGCTGAAGGGTGTTATCTCGCCAGAGAGAGCAGGATACTACCTCGATAGTCTCTTTGACTGGCTTGAGACTTTTCCATACGGCTTCCGGAAGGACGATTCCTCAACCTGGGGGCCTCCAAATCTACCGGCGCACATCAAGTTCGTTTCCAGAAGACACCATCAACTGCCTACTGATATTGATTCAAATTCAGGGGCGGAATGTACCACGCTTACTCGGTAGCGCACGAGAGATTCTTCTGGGAAGCTCGAATGTACGCCAACTTGAATCATTCTTAGAACACAATGATCATTACTAATCTTGCGCCACAGGGAGCCCACGATCCTCAATGCCTACGCCAAGCTCTGGCAAACCGAAGACCTTCTTGTATCATTCGATGGTGCAAACTTGACCCTCCCAACGAAAGACCGAGAGCCCGTCGGTGCATGGCCGCACGTCGATCAAAGTCCTCACCGCAAAGGACTGCAGTGCGTCCAAGGGATACTCAACCTTGCCCCGAACGGTCCCAAGGACGGAGGTCTCATCGTCTTGAAGGGATCAAGTGCCCTCAACGAGGCCTTCTTCAAGACTCACGACACGGAGCGAGAGACTTGGGGTCCAGCCGACTGGTTCGGATTTAAACCAGAAGAAGTTGAGTGGTTCAAGGAGAGAGGCTGCGAGGCCATCAAGGTCTGCGCTGAGCCGGGCGATCTCATCTTGTGGGATTCTAGAACTGTTCATTACAACTGCTTGCCAGAGAGTGATGCGGTTCGCTCTGTATTGTGTAAGAAACCAGACCCCAATTTCTTCACGTGAAATATGATTGACTAACCTCTTTTCTGATAGACATGTGTTACTCTCCCGCTTCCTACGCGAGTGCAGAAGACCTACAGATGAAAGCACAATTGTTCAAAGATCGAAAGGGCACCGTAAGTCAAATGATTAGATAACCCCAAACGCCGACATAGCATCTCTGACACAATTGTTGGCATAGACCCATTGGCCTCACGCCAACATCTTCCGTAACGAGCGCAAGGTGATTCGACTTGGGCAGGAAGAAACGTACAAGAGAGACAGACCGGTTCAAGAGCCTGTAGAAACTGAGAAGCTGCTAAAGCTTGCAGGAGTGGTGTCTTATGGGTCGTGAGGACAGGTAGTGTTACGCGTCGTTAGCCATGGTTAGGAATGAAGGTTAAATGAGACCTATTTATGCTATGCACTGTGTGTTTACTTCCACTCCAGGTGCAGTAGAAGCTGAACTTCACTGCGAATTGGGCGAAAACTTGAATAGCACCTAATCCTGTGCAAACTATGCATTCGTTCAAATTCACCCATGAATCACAAACATGTGACCTTCAAGCCCACACATCCTAATAAGGGTGGACAGATTGATAGAGATTCTGGAATTACAGTTGCGATATGGAAAACAGGGAGAACAGCCACGGCAGTGGCAAAACGAACAACGACCACAAGATCTAGCTGTCTTGAATGATGTTCCTCAAGAATTTTATCGCCTTCTCAGCAACGAGGTTCTGGGCTTGAACTTGCTCGAGGAAGTCCACGCCCTGTTGTATTTCGGCAGAGAAGTCCTCTTCTGTATGCAGAGATTCCAGTGCGAGGACAGCAGATGCAGCGAAGATATTCATGGTAATTGCCCTGTAAAAGTTTCAGTACTTTCCTTGAGGTCGCTCACTAGGAATGACTTACCAGGGGCGGAGTTTGGATGCATCCACAGTCTCCGTGAGAGTTGAATGAATCAGCCCTTGGGCGGAAGACATACAGATGGCCCTCGTCCGAGCACCGTCAGTTGACCCGTCTAGCCAATGTTCCTGCAGGTGGCTGCTAATTGCCATCCGATAGTAGAGCAGAACTTTTGCCAGACTCTTTTTCTGCCAAGGAATGAAGGGATATTGGCGGTCGCGTGCTTCGGTGGCTGTTGTCGACTCCTTATCGAATTGAAGATATGAAGGTAGGTCGGTGATCAGGTTTGCCAGCTGCTCATCTGCATTGAAGACAAACTGGGCTACATCCTCAGTCTTCCACTCGCGTAGGCTTAGTATATAACGAAGCTGATAGTAGACTTTTGAGACCTGTGCCATGGCAATGTGGTATCTCACCGGCCGTGGCTTGGACCTAGGAAGTCTTGAACTCCCTGATGCGGTCTCCAGCTCTTCATCGGCGATCTCATCTGGAAACTTACAGGAGAAGTCAATCGCATGCAAACAGGGGGCCCTGTAGGGGATGGGCAACCATTCGCAAATCGTCAATGTCCACCACAGTCTCCGTCTTATCTGCTGCTCGCAATACGATTCGTCTGTATTTTCCTCGTCCGAGCCCAAACCTAGCTGCTGGGCCTGACGGATTGCGACCGTCCACAAATTTTGGTGACGGTGCACATCACCCACGTTGTTGAATACGATGTGGAGAATGGCAATGGCTTGAGGAGTACGCACGTCCGGCTTTTTCATATAGTCGGCCCTGTCAAGGAACAATAGCGCAGATTCGTACCAGTTTCGAAGAAGGCTCGTGAAATCGACACCAGCTGGCCGTATGTCGACAGTTTCCTGCTCATCCGTGAACATAAGTGTCGAGGCCAAGACGCTGAAGTATATTGCCATCCAGGCCGGATCCATGTCTGCAAGAGATTTTTTCGCTAGCAATCGATCGCAAAACTCCTCATGTTCGCGTCGGAACTTCGGAATGAAGAGTGCGAAGTGAATCCAAGAGGTCCACTGAACAGCATTTTCGATCATGCTGTGACTGAAATCTCGAGAAGGTAAAATGATGTCTGTCAACTCAAACACAGTCCGCGGCTGTGATGACATCCCAATCTCGTCAAACAGACGCCACTCTACTTCCTCGGTGCGACTTCTGCCATGTGCACGCAGCCTCGGCGTATCTTTTCTGTCTGTCTCGGAGGTGCCAACATTTCCCCGCGCATCTTGGCCGGCGAGTAGAGCACGAAGAATAGCATTCTCCTGAAGAAGCTCTGCGTAGTTCTGGTTGTCATTTGACCCTGGATCTTTGACCAAATTACCCCTCACCCGAACAAGCTCTCGTTTACATTGGTGTGCTTGTCCTCGATCAACACATTGCTGGCACGGCGATCTCTTATCGCATCGTACTTTTCGCTTCGTACAGTTAATACAGGTCCTCGGAGGCCTTTGGGTAGCACGAATGTTTGTTTGCATGGTTTTACAAAAGACTGATGCTAAATTGGATCTAGGTCTAGAAGCTCAATGTCACGACGCTGACAGAAATAGGACCAACAATTGGTCAGGAAAGGGTTCAAGCCTGCTGCATGCTGGGCGCAGCGCATAAGGAACGGGAGCGGCACCTCCCACATGTCCTACATCCCCGCGCACTGCGGGTCCCACTTCACATGGACGGGCTACTGCCCGCTGGGTCCTATCTGCAAAAGTCATAGGAAGTCTAAAAGTTAACTTCCCAACCCGAAGGGTTGTTGAGTTTCCAGCCAAAATGAGCTCCGCACGACCAACTGACAGTGGGAAGTGTAGTTATTATATTCTTAAACATTCAATATATTGATTTATTCATTTATTAGATTTATATGTAAGTCTTACTGGTATAAATGAGAGTGATATACATTGTTGATACCGATCGTTTGTAATACAGGGCAAGTTGTCATTTTGATACCAATAGCTCGTATTCCAATAATGATCCGCTGCGATTTCTTTCTTTGTAAAGAGTCTTAAAAGCTGTGTCGCTTCATGAAGAAAACTATGATGCTAGTGATTGCCCTTGGACACTCTCGGAAGCCCGGGAACGTGATCTGTTAGACCTATCAAACGGCGATCATGATGATTATGATGACGTTGAAAAGGCAGGGGAAAACCCGAATCTTGTCCAAGTCAGCGTATGTTTGCAAACTTACCAATATACGCTCGACGCATCTCCCTTGCACGACGAGAGCATTCGCAACACTCGGCGGGAGCAATTCATCACCTCAACTCTTATCTGCGGGGAACTCTTGGTATCACACCATGGGAACAGCATATTGTTCAACATTCACACCGAGATCGGAGAAACGTTGGCTTCACGATGCCGACTTGCCTACATAGGACAGGATCTACTCCAACGCCAAGAACCAGACTTCGATGTATAATTAAGTCTTTACTCTACCAGTCGATATTCCAGTCCGCCCTTTGCCAGTACCAAAGAGATGAATGCACAAAATCCCCTCATCTCCGGAGAATCAAGGATGAGCGTACAGACTAGCCCAAACATCGCCGTCGTCGGCGGCGGTATCGTCGGCGCCTCTATCGCCTGGCACCTGTCACACGAGGCGAATGTCACCATCGTGGCCCAAGACATCGGCGGCACGGCGACGCCGAACTCGTTCGCCTGGCTCAACGCGGCCGCCGGCAACCCCAAATTCTACTACCACTTCCGGCACCGCTCGATGGAACGGTGGAGGGAGATGGCTGCCGAACTTCCGGACCTACCTATCCACTGGGGCGGGTCGCTCAACTGGAACATGTCGCCCGAGGAGCTGGAGGCATACTTCGACGAGCATTCGGCATGGGGCTACGATATTGTGCGCGTGAACCGGACCGAGATTCAGCAACGAGAGCCCGCCCTGCAGGACAGCGTCCTTCCGGAGTGGGGGCTCTACGTCGCCGAGGAAGGCGCCGTCGAGGCGCACGTTGCCGCGCGCCAGCTCATCGCTGACGCGGAGGCCAGGGGTGCCACGCTGCTGAATGACAAGGTCACCGGATTTATTAAGCAGGACGGCCGCATCTCGGGTGTCGTCACGGCCGCCGGTGTGGAGGCTCGCGCCGATCATGTCGTCCTCGCGGCGGGTGTCGGCAGCGTGCCGCTGCTTGCTGCTGAGAACGTCAGTCTGCCTGTGACGGGCGTGGCGGGCTTGCTAGTAAACTCGCGGCCGACGCAGACGGGGCTGTTGAACGGCATCGTCAACGCGGAGCAACTGCACTTGCGGCAGACTCTGGACGGCCGCATCCGGTCCGGGTCGGAGTTCTCAGGCGGGGATCCTGGCGACGATCCACAGAAAACGGCCGAGGAGCTGTTCGGTAGGGTCCAGGAGGCGGTGGTAGGGGGCGATGAGCTGGTGTTCGATTATTACACTGTAGGATACAGACCGACACCAGAAGATGGCTTGCCAATTCTTGGGTCGACGGGACTGGATGGCCTTACTGTTGCCGTTATGCACTCCGGGGTTACAAATGCGGCCATAGTGGGTCAATTGCTGAGCCAGCAGATTCTGACGGGTGTCAGTGACCCGGCCTTGTCTAATTTTGAGCTTGGTCGATTCGCTCAAAATCGTGAATAGATAGTACATTTAGATGTGAGCCTGAATTAGGGTTGTACAGTGCGACAATTCTACCTACCGTGTGTTCAAGCCATGAGCGAGCTCCAGCTTTTTCCAGTCCTAGATATTTGTAATTTGAAAGGGTGGGAAAATAAATGCCCTATAATACATATGCTAGGTGATTGGAATTAAGAGCTGGTCGGATTAGGGTCCACCCACGTTAGTGCTGCATTTTCAATCTTCAGATCCAAGATACTTGAGGTACAAGTCCGTTGTATTCGAACACGGTCTTAGTCTCTGGGTGTAGTATTTACTTGTTGAGGTAATCGCTTTTTGAGGCCGTAGTGCTCCGTTTCGCGGTGCTAAAACCAATAACCGGCATCACTCAATCGCACCTTTGTCTTAGAGCTATTCCTTTATGGGCATGCGATATAGACAGGCCTATAGAGGCGCTGGTGGTGCTCTTCTTGCACCAAGGATATTCTCCACCCCACGAGCCAACTCAAGTAAATGCTGCTCTTGATACTCCAAGCCGACGAGTTCCATACCTACCGGAAGCCCGTCATCTGTGAATCCCGCGGGAACTGAGATGGCTGGCAGGAGAGCCACGCTGGCTAAGAATGTATTGACTGGGAAGCTGAAGGATCCATTATCCATAAATCTTCCATTCGTCGCGTCTGCGATTAGTGGAGGAGGGACCCGAACATCCGGCAGCATGAGCGCGTCTAGGTCAAGCGACGCAACAACGCAGTCGATTTTGCGCTTAAAATCATCTCGCTGTAGTATCCTGTCAACAAAGGTAGGGTCGTCCTTAGGGTCTCGGGGCCCATGCATGGTCTGGCATAGCGTGGTGAGGTAATCCCTGTCTGCCACCTCGGGCACAAAATCCGCAATGTCCTGTGGAAGATGCGGTTTTGTCATCAGGAAGCTGTTGATATCGCTACGGGACCTCTGTACATATACGAGCGGGTAATGAAGATAGTGCTGGAGGTTGTCGATGTGTACGTCCACAAAGGTTGTTCCGGCGCCTTGTAATTTGTCCATGGCCTCTCGCATCACTTTATTCACTGCCTTGCAGTACGGGTCGGAGTCCGAGCCAAACTGCTCCCTGACCACACCGATCCTAGCAACTTTCATCTTTTTTGGTCCATTCTGGAGGGAAGACGCATAACTGCCGCCTCGAGGCAGCCCCAGGGCAGTCGCGGTAGCCGCAAAGCCTGTATATTCATCTTTTGGATCAAACCCAACAATGCAGTCTAGCATTAGGGCACAATCCATAACTGTTCGTGCCATGGGACCAGGGGTATCCTGATGCTTGAGAAGTGGACAGAAACCCGTTCGAGAAATAAGACCTGGTGTCGGACGGAGACCGACAAGATTACAGAATGACGAAGGTACTCGAATAGATCCGCCGGTATCTTCTCCAACGGCCAGGATGGAGAAGTTAGCGCTCAAAGCAGCAGCGGAGCCTCCTGAGGAAGCTCCCACATCGTATATATGATTATAGGGATTTTTGGTAAACTCGTAGTCAGTCGCGCCGTTCGCGCTTACCCAGACGGATGCCCACTCGGCCATGGTGGTCTTGCCTAGGATCAAGGCGCCAGCCTCCTTCAGTTTCGTTACAACAGTAGCGTCCTCATCAGGAACGTTCTCTTTGGCCACGGTCGAACCATACGTAGTTATCATCCCTTTTGTGTCGGCCTGAGGGTTGTATTTGTTAGCCCAATTTTGACAGACAGCAGATTTATCCTTACTTGATCTTTGACGAGGACGGGAATGCCGTGCAGCTTTCCCTTAAGTTGACTCTTTTCTTCCAAGTAAGCGTCAAGAGCGGCAGCTTCATCGAGCACCGTTGTCGATAAAGCCATTGTGGAGTTGATGCGGGGGCCATTTTTATCCAGAGTCGCAATACGGTCAAGAAATGCCGACGTCAACTCGTGTGCGGTGAACTTCTTGGTCTTGAATCCATCCTGGGCGTGAGCGATGGTCATCTCTCGTACGTCTAACATCTCTTCGGTAATGCCGCCAGAACTAGTTGCCGTAGTCAAGCAGCTGCAGTGTAAAGGAGTAGTATAGACAGAGTCCTCTTTTGGGAACTTGGAGAATTCCATGGGAAAGACATGCCCAGAACAGAGCGAGCCGGGGGTGAGATCGACCCAGATAACACTATTTCGGCAAGAAAAGGTAAGGCGTAAGCGTATCAATAACCTTTGACCGCGACTCCGGTCCCGTTCGTGCAATCTATTGTAGGCCGAGGCCTTTCCCTAGGAAACATAATAGAGATTTTCTCTTCCCTGTACAAATCGTGTCAATTATAAAATATTATTTAAAATCTATGTAGAATATCTAATTTTAAAATGTAAATATTATATTAAAGTTTTAATTATATAACTAGTAAATAATTTATGGTGCAGCACTTGGGGGGGTGCATTTGGAGGAAGCCTTATCAGTGACTAGATAAGCCGATTAGATTAGATAAGAGAGGAGATAAGGCCAGGGGTTGCAGCAACCTCCGCAGCCCACAGCCTTCGCTGCCTTTTCTTTCCTCTATATGCTACGAATACAAACCCTACTGTTTACCCACATACTGTTTCCTTCACCAGAAATTAAAAAAGTTAGATTTATTGAAAATCTAATTTTAAGAAAGAGTTTTAGGATAAAAGACTTAATTATAAGCTGTGATGTAGCATTATATGACAACTGCTTTGTTTTATAGTAGTTCTTCGTCAGTTGTCTTGCCCGGCATGTCGAAGAGCGAAGTTGCCTATCCAGGCGTGAGGGTTCTAGGCTATCTTGAGCTTGCAACCCAGCCCCCCGGCCCGTGGGGACCCCACTCAGCTTACAGTACAGCGGGAAAGCGGCAGCCCATTTTCAGCACCCTCCTCTATATGCACCAAAGGACGGAAAGTGGCCGGATCTGAATGCGGCAGACCATATTGCACACGGTCTGCCCGTTGGCCCCCAAGAAGAACTCTTCCGGAGAACGGCTCAAGACATCTGGAATGCCGATGCAGAACTCTTTGCCAGGGTGGAAAAGGCCGGTTTTAAGATTTGGCGTGGCCAACGCGACACCGGGCCTCTGGCTTATACCAGAAATGGTGCCTTTTACTTTGACGCTGGAGCCTGCAAAGCTGTCATTAACGGTGATATCAAGATCGAACAATGGTTCATCTCTCATTTCACTGACAGCCATGTATTTCTCAATGGTGAACGCGAGAGACAGTATGACCTTGTGGTCTTGGCTACTGGATTCTCCAATACTGTCGAGTCGGTTGCCACAGGATATGGGAGGTGTGATTGACACGGAACTTAGAGTGTACGGCGTTGAGGCTCAGCGTGTGGTGGATGCGAGCACCAGCCCCTCATTCCGCAGGCAAACATCCAGACAACGGTCCACGCTGTCGCGGAAAAGGCCGCAGACTTGATCAAGCATAGCTACGGTCTTTGAGATTTATGTCATGTAAAAATTCAAAATCGCGTGCCATGAGATTCGCTTTTTGATATATTTCTAGTAGTATTATCTCAGAAGCCGATTAGTTTTTTAGACTAAGATAGCTAATATCTGAGCGTAGTTACTTAAGTATTTGAAGTAATTAGTGTCATTGGTGACATATCGACCTTGGTTCTGAGCTGGCCGCTTCTATCAAATTTGACATCGTCTTGTACCTGCAGCTCAACCCGGCTTCACGCAATGGCACACTAAATATATCAGAATGTCTTCGCTATGTGACCTATATTACTTCTTGCGCCGCTCCGGCAGCCTCCTTCTCCTTGTCCGCCTTCAATTTCATGGCTCTCTGGCAAGCGTCCAAGCTGGACGGGATGCTCCAGTTGAAGAACATTTTGACGTTCTTTGGGTGATATCTCACTTTTTCGATTAGCTCCTCGAAAAGGATGGAAATGCTTGGAGCTGGGTGGCCACGCAATCCAAATCCGAAGATAATTCCGTCGACATGTTCCGCTGCGTCGAGCTTGTCGAGGGTTTCCTTGCAGCCGAGCCTAGGCGAAACGAGAGTCACTTGAACAGAGTCAGCCAGTAATTCTAGAATATGTTGTTTCATGAGGACCTCCAATCAAAGTCAAAGCCGTTGTCGTTGAGCGACTTCTTCATCTTTTCGACCTCGTCGCGGGCTTCTTCCGCCTTCAGGTGGAAGACCTGCTCGACCTCCAAGTCTTGCTGGGCCATGTCATCGGCTGGCAGAGCGGAGATGATAAAGTAGGGCCTGCGAGTAGTCGACATGTCTAAAGTTTGGTCGATGGGTTGTTTGCTCAATTGTGAGGGATTCTGCTGGATGGCTTTATTTTGAGTTCGTTGAGTACATTCAACCTACGCATTTGAAGTTATACACGGACTTGTTCGGTCATTATGTGTTCTGAAGGGTTTGGAGGTTGTGGGGCCAAAACGTCCGACCGGATTACCGAAACCCCCGGGCTTCCGTCAGATTGGTCATCGAGGCCCTACTACTACGGAGTATGTGAAGAGGACAAAGCTTACAGGTCTCTCCCATGGGTAACTTGACGTTTGACCCCGCCAACCTTGGCTGTTCGAAATGGAGCGATGATGTGCTCCCTGACAAATCCTACTCGACTTGCCGGCGTGTACATCTGCCCGACCAGCGAGCCGGCAGCCGGGAGTCCCGACTCTTTGCTAAACGATCTCCACCTCCAATGCAGTGAGAATATAGCTCGACACAGCACCCACAAGAAGCCTCCCAGGGGATCTTTGACTGTGCAATTGGCTCGCACTCGCTATTCTGATGTATTTTTGGCAAGGGTGAACGTAGCTGCATCGAAAGTTGCATGCTGATGCATTGTCGTTATTTGCCCCCCCCCCCAATCCCTGCTAGCACAATGAAAACAGCATTAGTCACTCCAGCGGAGGTGTAGATCTTATTGAATCACCAGGAAGTATAAAGTGAGGCGGGTACATCTTCAATATCGAGCTGGTGTTTTCGTAGATCCCACTCCGTAATCCACGCTTCTCAATAAATCGACTTCTCCGCAATAAGCAATGGCTTCCTACTTCATTACCGGCGCATCTCGTGGCCTTGGTCTCCAGCTGACCACAACGCTTGCGTCCCGACCTTCATCAGAAGTTTCCAAAATTTTTGCAGCTGCTCGCAAGCAGTCGGATGATCTAAAGAAGCTGACCGAAGAGTCCAACGGTCGCGTTCAATTCGTCTTTCTCGAGGTCACATCCCAGCAGAGCGCAGAAGAGGCCGCTCGGACGGTGGAGAAGTCTCTCAATGGCCAAGGCCTCGACTATCTTATCAACAATGCCGGCATCATGAACACAACTCCGAATGGAATCGTGGACATGTCAGTATCCTCACTCTTTCCGCATGCGTAATCGTTGCCTGACTGATCGCCGAACAGGAAGGACTTGGGCGAACACTTGAACACCAACGTCATAGGAGTAAACAATGTTATCACCGCCTTGTTGCCCTTGGTGAGGAAGAGTAATTTGAAGAAGATCATCAACATGTAAGACCCTGAACAATCTGCACGGCTCGCCTAGGCCCATAAATGAATACTGACCGCTCTCAGAACTTCGACCATGGGATCCCTGACAATGTCTTCGCACTTCCAGCAACTGCCCACACCAGCGTATAAAATCTCCAAGACGGCGTTGAACATGCTGACGGTGCAGTACGCTGAGGCATTCCGAGACGAGGGCGTGACCTTTATTGCCCTCTGCCCTGGTGTATGTCTTCACGCTCCGCCATTGCTGCGCAAACATTTCATGCTGACAATTCTTTCATAGTGGGTAAAGACAGATATGGGAGGCAAAGACTATGCCGATCTAACCCCCGAAGAGGCCATCGCGGGTATTCTCGAGATCGCTGATAAGGTTGACGTCAAGGACACCGGCAAATTCCTGACAGTCAGGGTACCCGGATGGGAAAATCACGAAAAGCGGTACGATGGTTCCGTAAGGCCTTGGTAGTCAAGGAGGTCATAGCTGCCCTTTGATGAAGCGAGTTGGATGATTTCATACGCTTTGCACCAAAAAGGTCCTAATTTACCATCAAAACGGCGTCAAAGGAGAATTTCAATTGGTCTACTGCGTCCAAGATAAACAATACATATCCTAGCATTGTGACTGTCATTGCCTCTCACGACCCTCCCACAAGCCTCACTACAACATCCGATTCTAAGGTCACATTCAAATGTGATGCCTCTCTACATTCTTTCTGCCTGAGTATCTACCTGAGGACTCTACTCTGGCAGCCGGAAAACGTGCTCTATTTGAGGCACTGTTGCCGCCCAATGTGGCTTTGAAGGGAGAATTGCATACTATGGCCCCGGGCTCTATACGAGACGCTTGAATTATTTTTGAGGAAGCATGATCGGATTTGCTTAAAGCATTAGGCTACGTTTGGCCAAGTTTCCTTCACCTTTTCTCCTTCAATCTGTATTCATTGATTGCCGTGGAAAGTACATTTCTCAACGTTCAGCCCCTTTGTATATTGATATAGTCCGAACCCAGCTACTTCCACCTGCCCGGACTGAAGCAGGAGATGTAATTTCCTCAACGGACCACTCAACATTGCTTATTACATTGATAGAAGGCAGCTGAGAAGAGCAAAAGATGTGAAAACCGCAGAGACGATAAGGAGGCGTGTAAAAGTATGTCGCAAAGGTTGGATGTGGTTGAGAGCGTTTTTGAACGCCCCGATAGGCTGCCTGAAACCAGAAAGCGTGCAAGTGCGGATGCAATTATGTTCATCTTCTTTTGTGTGCGTACCTATGTGGGCTACAAACACTGTTCCCGGATCTATGCCGGCTGAATAATCGGACCTGACCGGTAGAAATGTGCACGAGGAGAGAGAATTTTGTACATATTGTATCAGAGATTTACCCAATTTCTGGAGAGAAACCTCTAGGGGAGCTATCTATCCAGAGCGCCTGGCATCAAGTCATGTGCCTTGACATGCATTCTCATTGGGGTCCAAAGGATGTTGATTCATATGCATTCAATATTTATGCTGACCCTTGGAGTAGAAGCGCCTGTGCACAAATAAATTCAAACTGATACCATAATCTGCCCAGTACTAGAAGACGCATTGCACGCAATTGTTTGGCCGGCCATTTTTTCATGTGAAGTCTAGCGTGGGGCCAATTTTAGTGTAAGGGTCTCCCATGCGGCAGCAGATCCATGCAGCTTTTCCCCACATCCGACTGAGATGGTGGGGGACGACGACAATTTTCAGTGCCTTGCCAGCTCCAGCTCCAAATTCCGCGACACAACCAAACCACACACGCCGCAAAGAGTCATACTCGCCTCCCACACAAACCCTCCCAAGGCAGTAACAGCCACACCAAACAGCAAATGCCCTCTCGATAGCAATGCGATCATACAATAGGAAACCGCAGCCTGGACCGTGACGAAAACTTTACAGTCGCGAATTGCGACCAGCGACAAGTAATATCGACGTCGATCGCGACCACAGCATTATCCCCTCTCCGCAGCCGGACTCTCTATTTGGAGCCTTTCTCTCAAGATGGCAGCTCGAGGCCAGCATGCGCCTGCTCCCATGAAGGAGCAGGTTGTTGACAATCTACCCAAGCGCTTCAAGGAGATGAAATTTGGTGTACAGTGCGGCTTACTCCCTCCTCTCTTCTTCCTGCCTGATCGACGCACGCGCTGACATGGCATGCCCTCAGATCGATCCAAGATGTTGTTAGCCAAGGCGTTCTCGAAGTCTCTCAGCGCACCCTCTACGATATGGACAACAACCGAGCTCCTGTCGCGAACGGCGCCCTCGACCCTCGACTTGGTATATCCAGCAAGATTGGCAAATGTTCCACTTGCAATCTTCCTCTTCAGAACTGTGTTGGCCATTGGGGTCACGTCAGACTTGCCCTACCAGCGTTCCATATCGGCTATCTTCGATTCACCCAGACAATACTTCAGAACATTTGCAAAGAGTGCGCGAAAGTCCTCCTGACGGAAGACGAGCGACGGGAATTTCTGAAGGAGTTGAGACGACCAGGTATCGATAACCTCAGGCGGACAATGATTTGCAAGAAGATCAACGAGCAGTGCAGGAAATGCAAGGAATGTCCCTACTGTGGGGCCATCAACGGGCAGATTCGCAAGCTTGGAGTAATCAAGCTGGCACACGACAAGTTCGCAACCTTCAATAAGTCCACAGCGCAGAAAAAGGTGGCACCAGAGAGCAAGCTTCAATATGATGCTTCTTTCAAGGAAGCTAAGAAGTCAAATCCCGACCTCGAAAAGCACGTTAAGAAAGCTATGGAAGATTTGAATCCCCTGAGGGTGTTGAACCTTTTCAAGCTGATCAGTCCGAGGGACTGCGAACTGCTGGGAATGGATCCTGCCGAAGGCCGGCCAGAAATGTTCTTGTGGCAGTTCATTCCCGCGCCTCCGATTTGTATCAGACCATCCGTGCAGCAGGATAGCTCGAGTACTGAGGACGACCTTACCGCTAAACTTGCAGAGATCGTCTATATAAGTGGCCTTATCCGCGCGGCTCTCGATAGGGGACAACCAATCACAACTATCATGGAACAGTGGGAATATCTGCAACTGCAGATCGCCATGTACGTTAACAGTGATGTGCCGGGTCTGGTGCAGCCTGGCTTCGGCAAGGCTGTTCGGGGCTTTTGTCAGCGTCTGAAGGGAAAGCAAGGTCGTTTTCGCGGAAACTTGTCTGGAAAGCGTGTCGATTTCTCTGGCCGAACTGTCATCTCTCCAGACCCCAACCTAGGAATTGACCAAGTCGCGGTACCTCAGCTTGTGGCCAAGAACATGACGTATCCGGAGCGCGTGAATTCTACGAACATCGAAGTCATGAGACAGGCCGTCAGAAACGGCACCAAGGAGTGGCCAGGAGCCAACGGCATTATCAAAAAGGATGGCGGGTATAAGGTAAACTTGAAGTTCGGAAACAGGGACCTGATCGCGAATGACCTCTCGGTGGGAGACGTTGTGGAGCGCCACCTTGTTGACGGAGATGTCGCTCTCTTCAACCGACAGCCATCCCTGCACAAGTTGAGTATCATGAGCCATTTGGTCAAGGTTCGGCCGTGGAGGACCTTCCGGCTTAACGAGTGTGTGTGTACGCCATACAATGCTGATTTCGACGGCGATGAGATGAACTTGCATATTCCGCAAACAGAAGAGGCCAGAGCTGAAGCAATAACCCTCATGGGCGTCAAACACAATCTGGCCACGCCCAAGAATGGAGAGCCCATCATCGCGGCCACACAAGATTTCATCACGGCGGCGTATCTTCTCAGCAGCAAGGACAGATTCTTCGACCGAAAGTCATTCACATATATGTGCGAAATGATGCTGGAGGGTAGTGGGCATCTCGACCTTCCGCCTCCTGCCATTCTAAAACCCACGGCTTTGTGGACCGGCAAGCAGATCTTCAACATTCTTATTCGGCCAAACCTGCAGTCTCCAGTCAAGGTCAATCTAGACGCCAAGTGCAGAGAATACAAGCCACGGCCTGGAATGGCCCCTGACATGTGTCCGAATGACGGCTGGTTGGTAATCCGAAACTCCGAGATCATGTGTGGAGTCATGGACAAATCGACTGTTGGATCTGGAAAAAAGGACTCGATTTTCTATGTGATTTTACGAGACTACGGCCCGGATGCCGCGGCAGGCGCCATGAACCGACTTGCGAGGCTATGCGCGAGATCCTTGACGAACCAAGGCTTCTCGATCGGGGTTGGCGATGTCTTCCCCATTAACGGTCTGACTGAGTCCAAAGATCAGCTTGTGGAGGCTGCTTACAAGAAGTGTGACGAGCTTATCGCAACATACAAAGCTGGAAAGCTGGACAAGGCTCCCGGATGCGACATGGAGCAGACCCTGGAAAATTCGATCTCAGGTATTCTTAGTAAGGTCCGTCAAGAAGCTGGTCAACAGTGTGTGGATACTTTGAGCCACAACAACGCACCGCTTACCATGGCCAACTCGGGTTCCAAGGGTTCCGCCATCAACGTCGCACAAATGGTTGCCTGTGTCGGGCAGCAAATTATTGGAGGGCAGCGTGTGCCGGATGGTTTTCAGGACCGGAGTCTTCCCCATTTCCACAAGAACGCTCGCCAGCCCAACTCAAAGGGTTTCGTCCGTAACAGTTTCTACACTGGCTTGGTCCCATCTGAATTCCTCTTCCACGCCATCTCAGGAAGAGAAGGTCTAGTTGATACCGCCGTCAAGACGGCTGAAACTGGATACATGTCGAGACGACTCATGAAATCTCTGGAAGATTTGTCCACGGGCTACGATGAAACGGTACGGACTTCAAATGGCGGAATCGTGCAGTTCCAATTCGGAGCGGACAACTTAGATCCCGTCGACATGGAGGCCTCTGGAAAGCCCGTCCACTTCGATCGCACGTGGACACATGCCGAGACTTTGACGTGGGATAACAAGGAGTCAACATTGCTGCCCCATGAGATCATGGAAGTCTGCAAATCGATGTTGGATATTGAGCGTGCCAAGTATGTGAGACGGCGAATGACCGACGGCCAGGTACTTGACTACGATGATGACAGCAACATGTCGATTGATGAGCATGAGAGTGCCCGAATTTTCCTCAGAGATGTAGAAAGCTATGTGACAGCTCGCGCAAAAAAGCTATCAAGAGCTCGAGGAGAAGTTGGACTGGACCCAGACGACGGCGATGCAATGGAGATCGACACGGCTTCTGAGGACAAGATCAGCCTAGCACGCGTTGAGCGCGTGGCGAAGGTCTCCCGGACTACTTTGCAAAAGTTCATCCGCCTCTGTCTAGACAAATACAAACAGGCGCATGTCGAACCTGGGCATGCGGTCGGTGCTGTTGGAGCCCACTCTATCGGAGAACCAGGAACCCAGATGACGCTTAAGACGTTCCATTTCGCTGGTGTCGCCGGTATGAGTATCACGCAGGGTGTGCCTCGTATTAAGGAAATTATCAACGCCTCCAAAAACATCAGCACGCCTGTCATCACATGTCCTTTGGAAAACAAGAAGCAGATCGAGGTGGCCAAGGTCGTCAAGGCCCGTATTGAGAAGACATTCATCTCGGATGTGATTAAGCACATTGAAGACGAGTGGCTTTCTGACCGAGGATTAATCGTCCTTGAAGTCGACATGGACGCCTTGCAGGATATGCACCTGGGCATCGGTCCAAGAGACATTGCCGAGGCTGTCGTCAAGCACAAGAAGCTGAAGGTCCTACGAGAAGACATAAATGTCGGTCCATCCTATATCGAGATCAGCGTACGCAATACTTGGACAGACATCGCTGAGCAGAAGCGGCTGGCCCGGAATGGTAAGTCCAGTACCGTGATTGAGAGCGCCTCAGATCTCCTGCTCCGAGTCAACTACCTCCGCCGCATGCTTCCAACTGTCGCCATCTCGGGCTACCCTGATGCCACCCGAGCCATCATTCAAACATCGGAAAACTTGGAGCACACCGTTCTAGTCGAAGGCTATGGACTGCGCGCGTGCATGACGACGGAGGGTGTCATCGGCACCAAGACGCGATCCAACAACGTGATGGAGTGTCGCGACATTCTCGGCATTGAAGCAGCACGTACTACTATCGCGAATGAAATTGCAGAAGTCATGGGCGACATGGGTATCGACCCGCGTCACATGCAGCTGCTCGCCGACGTGATGACATACAAGGGCGACGTCCTGGGTATCACCCGTTTCGGCCTGCAGAAGATGCGCGACTCGGTGCTGCAGCTCGCGTCGTTCGAGAAGACGGCCGATCACCTGTTCGAGGCGGCGGCAGCAATGAAGACGGACAAGATCGAGGGCGTGTCCGAGTCCATCATCATGGGCCAATCCATGTCCATCGGCACGGGGTCATTCAACGTCGTCCGCAGGATGGGCCTGCCGGAGTGGTTCCTGGAGAAGAAGCCGACGCTGTTCGAGGATGCGTGGGGCAAGAATGTGAAGACCAAGAAGGAGGCGAGGGCTGCCAGGGCGGCGGCGGCGCGCAGTAATGGGGATGCGCTGAGGGCGGTGGCTGCTGCTGCGTAGGAAGTGTCAGCAGTGCTTAGGGCCCGCGTGCTGTAAACTGCCGGGTGGTGCGTCGCTTTGGACAAGCATGAGGGTGTGAACTTGGATGAGTGAAAGCGATCAACAGTTCGCACCACTGCGATAAGGGTTTAGGTGTCCTTGCTACAGGAATAAATAAATATGTTCAAGCCCACTTCGTAACCATCCTTGTGACTTTGACCCCTGTATGAGAATTCATTTGAATGTGCGTGTAGCACTTGTTTGATAATATACGTTAGACATGAATATGTACAAAGAATTCTTTTGCATCCACTCGTCCACTCCAGCTCGTCTTGCCTGGTCCTCCTCATCAAGAAGCCAGTGCCAAGATCTTCGCCGCCGCATGCTCAGCAGCAATGACAATGGTCGCGGACGGGTTCCCAGTCAGCTGGCCAGGGAAGATACTAGCATCCAGCACAAACACATTATCCGTACCGTACACCTTAGCATTGGTATCAACAACCGCCGTGCCGTTGCCAGACCCAACCCGCCCATCATCAAGCCCCATCTTGGCCGTGCCCATCCAGTGATTCGCGCGGCGCCCGTTGGCCGTGACCAGCAGCGAGTCGACGTAGTCCTCAGCTGTCTGGTTGGCGCGCGGGCGCACCCACTCCAGGCCCTTGATCCCGCGAAGCGACTCCTGCAGGCTGCGGACCCCGGCCACCACCGCCTGCCGGTCCCCGTCGTTGTGCAGGAACGGCTGCGTCGACACCGTCATCGACAGGCTGCTCGTGATGGTCGCGCGCCCGCGCGACTGCTGGCCCCGCCCCAGGTACTGTGATATCGTCATGGCGTGCGTCGAGTTGGTCGCGGCCGAGTCGCCCTCCACGCGCGACGTCCACTGCAGCTGCCGCGTGATGCCGTCGGACCCCTTGATCTCCTCCCACAGCATGGGGCCGATGTTCGGCGCGGCCTGCGCGAGGATCCCGGTGCGGTTGGATAGGTAGGCTTGCTTGTCGGACGGGATGGGCTCGTTCCAGGCGGCGTAGAAGTCGTAGAAGACTACGTCCGGGTGCGTGACAATCACGTCGGTCTGTTAAACGAAGTCAGCTGAGGAGTAATTCAAGGGTTTGTTGTGGACGGTAGTTTGGCTTACATTCATCTGCTCGACGAGATTAGACCCAACTGGCAGCTCAATCCACGAGTCGTTGCTGATCATCTTGGCCCCGTCGCCCGACGCCTGCACGATGGCGAGCTGGTCCGCGGGCCCAATGCCGCTCCTGAACAGCAGCTTCGGTGTTCCGAACGCGCCCGCTGACACGATCACCCGCCCGGTGCCGGGCGTCAGGTTCACGGTGCCAGAGTACCCCGACCCGGCAGAGCACGAGACCTCGACGCTGGTGGCGTGGGCCCCAGTGCGCACGATACGGTTGACCGCGGTGTCGGTCCACAGCGAGAAGACATCTTTGCGAGCCGCGGCGGTGGCGAGGTAGGTGGCAAGGGGTCCACTGCGCTCACCATGGCTGAACATGAACTGGCCGTGGCCGTAGGTGCGGTTCTTCTTGTCGGGGGCGTCGTTGCCGACGACGTACTCCCACCCGCTCGACTTGAGTCCCGACGTCAGCACGTCGTAGCCTTGGTGCAGGTAGAGCTGGCCGTCCATCGAGGGCTGCCATGTGCCCGGGATGCGCTTGAACGCGCGCTCCGTGGCCTCCGCGACGTCTGAGGCGTGCCACCCTGCTGGGAAGTTCTCGTTCCAGTCGGCCGGGTTGGGCTGGTTGTGGGTGTTAGTTATGGGTACATAAGGACACAGCAGGAGGGTTATGAGTTCTCACCTTCCACCACAACCCTGCGTTCACGGCCGTGCCTCCGCCCAGCACACAGCCCGCCATTTGGTCGGTGTCGGAGCACGCGATACCGGTTGAGTCCACCCAGATCTGGTTACAGAGACCAGGTACGTCAAACCGGGTCAAGCCCGTGCCGTTCAGCCATTTTGGTCCCAGGGAGCCGCCCCATTCCCCAGTAGAAGCAGGCCCCTTCTCAATAAGCAGCACAGAGTGGCCCGCCTCGCTCAGCTTGTCAGCCATGGGGATACCTCCCGCGCCGCCACCGACAACGACGTAGTCCCACGTCTTGTTCGCAGGGATGCTCTTGCACACAGCAGTAGGCGTCGCAGTAGGCAGACTCGTGGTGGTCGTAGCGTTGCCAGTTGGGGTAGCGCCAGCACAAGTCGTGGCGGTCGTGGTAGGCTTGGGAGGCAGCGCCGCGTACTTGGAGTAAGAAGCCACGGTTGCGTTAGCAAACGAGGCTCCATACTGCCCGAACAAGCGGCGATGGTATGGGATCGTAATATCTTTCGGGCAGCCCGGGTTGCCAGGGGCCTCGTTCGATGCGGCGCGGCCTAGAACCGTGGACCCCGTGCTCGTCGAAACCTGGCCATCCGCGCCGTCCTGGCTCCACTTGAAGCAGTTCTCACACCGGTAGACGATTTCGAACGCGGTGTCGTTGACTGATGAGGCGAGGGTTGTGAGGGTTGCATTGCCGGTGTATGCTGCTGGTTCCGAGTACCCTGTGGCGAAGCGGAACGAGGTGAGGACTTGGCTTTCATAGGGCCATGCCATGAGAAGAAGCGCCTGCACCATCTGGCCGGATTGGCCGTGGGACAGGCCGCAGTATGCTGCACCTGCTCCGGATGGGGTTGTGCAGCTCTGGCTCTTCGTTAGCGTGGAGTATACGCATCAATTGCATGGTACAAAATCTTACAAGATATCCAATGTACTCGTAGCTGTCAGTGGTCAGGGCCGTGTCTGGCACCACCAGACCGAATGTATACCCGGCGCCATCCGTCCATGTTGGGAACGTGATGTTTGTCGACGGATCTGTGTACATAACGGGACCTTGTGCCCAGCATCGCTGTCCATCTGGTCGTTGTCAGTTAAACTGTCGAGTAAGAATCACTGGCTGTGGACTAGGGACTTACAAAAGGCAACCGCGGTCAACGCGATGCCGATATGTTTTGGGAACTGCATCGTGAAGCCGTCGTCACCTATTCTACTGTCGATCCAGTAGTGTGATGCCCAAACATTTTCAGTCGGCGAAGGGCAGACATGTGAGACTAAATACGACCGGCCATGTCGGCATCGTTATAGACCTCCTGGAGGCCAAGAGTGACAAGAATCCCCTGTGATGAGGGGCTTATTCGGTTCGAAGGAGGGAGTGGTCATTTGCGATGGTTAATCACCGATAGGTCAGCCCCTGGGCTACACAGCGGAGTGGAGCAATGCCAGCCCTGGCACAAGATTATATTGCGGCAGAGGAGCAAGCCACATCGCGGAAACCATAACTAGGTTCCATGCCTTCGGGAGACGGACGTGTGGCCCTGATTGCCGGGATATACTCGGGGCGTATAGCCTCAATCCTTGGCTCGAGAGTCATGGCGGCTCCCCTCCAATATGCTTCGGGCGTGGCGGGCTTGACTCTCCTCAGCCGCCGGGATAAGCTCGAGCCTATCCGTCCCATGTCACCGCGCCATGGTCTTATCTTTATGAGCATCTTCCATATAAGGCCATGCGAAGCGATCTTTTTAGACTTTGTCCTGCTGCAGTCGCTAAGGCGCTTACCCTACGGGTGATTGAACTTCGATGTGAAGTTCGAGCGCATAAGGCCAAGCCCGTTGGTCCAGGGGACTGGGAAGCAAGAAGCGACTACTCCTCTGCATATAGCTGAACTCTGTTGCCTCCTTCTCTGAAGAAGGATTCTCTGCCGCAGTCATGCTGGGCAGGCGTGGGTATTCTGTTTGAGATTAAGATACCGAGTCCGGGGTATTGGGGTGACGTTGGAATAAGGTGCAGTGATCGGCACCCAACATCCCTGCAGCGGAGGCCGTTCTGTTCTGTTTCTCCTTGGCGCCGGATTCCACAACGGGGTGCCAACTCCGCCCGTCGACTTTGGATAAATGATGATCTCTTGGCAGGTTGGCTCCTTTTCCTCTCCTGTCCTCTTAACCTGGTCTCTCATCTACCCTCGACAGGAACCAACACCCACGCACGCATTACTCAGGCCAACTGCTCGTCATAAAACCACCCTTCAGCCTATGCAGTCTGATTGCTCAGCATGCCTCTGCTGGGGGATCTTATTTTTATACACTCAAACACGCCAAGAATCCCGTTCATCCAGAGTACTGTCAAGGGTGAGATCCATCCCGAGGCCTTCAATATCCACCTGTCATGAGCAATCGATCTGCTCCAATTGGCCCTTCAATGGAGCCCCTCAGCTGAGTTTGTTCCTGACATTTCGTTCCCCTGTAATAAGCGCGACGGAATTGTACACATCTCGATCCTGATTGACTGCAGATTTCACAATCGCCCACAGCGCTTCTTCTCGGCTGTCGTGGGTCGATGGCCACTGTCAGCAGCAACGTTCAGTCTTGCTTTCCGTCTGGGCCGTCGAGCCGTCCAACCGATATGGCGGCTGATCCTTGTCTTCGACCCGACCCAATATCTAATTTCTTATGCTCAAGCTGCCTTTGTTTAAAACCCCACTTCTAGCTTTAGCCTTGGTTCTCGTCCATATTCTTTTCAATTATGTTTTGATTGCCCTTGGAAACGCTTGATATCAGCGCGTTTGTTTGCTTGACAGCGGCGAAGCGAAATTGTCGTGCTAAACCTCTACAGGTCTTGGGTTAAGGCCTGTTGCTTAAACAGGTTGAAGATCTCTGCTGAATGTACGATCGGGAGTCGGAAATGAGAGGTCCCTTAAATTCAGCTGCAGTCCGAGGGATGTAGAGAGAGTGTTGCTTTCGTCGAGGATCGAGTGGTACTAGGGTGGGTAGACTGACGGGCAGTGCTGAGGTGCATTTGGGAAGGGCATTCATTCACTTAGCCACCGCCCTTCACTTATCGACCACCCTTCACCAGAGTTTGGACCCCAATTCGAAGACATATAGGTGGGTCGATTCGTCCTGTCATCAACCGGAGCACCTCCCACACTGTTACCAAACAGCTCAGTGGTCGAGTTGAGGTGTCTCCGACCGGAGGGTCGTTCGTTCAACCCGAGCCCGGCAGAAAAGATTCTCAGGAAGTTTCCATGGAATACCAGAGGACAGTACGCTCAATGAGGCGGAAGTTCCCTCTGTCAGTACATCGGCACTGGAAGAAAGAGTAAAAACCACAACGGCATCACAAAAAAAAAGATGGGGTTTTCCGCCTAGCAAGGTTCTTTTTGCTTGTGTCAACGCCGTCAAACGCAAGATGATGATCATGTCTGAATTGATTGCAGTCACTAACACCCACGTTGACAGTCAATGAATTTTGCCCCTCTCGTATTCAGTTCAATTCCTGTTGCTTTGGGGATGCAGGCATAGGATTGAGCCTAATTTGAGTAGACTGCTTACATTTGGTGAGGTCTGTCCGCTGCAGAAGCCACTAGACTCCCACCGCGGATCAGGTTGACTGACCTATCGGTCACGGCATATGATGCATTTTTCGTGTCTCGTGGTAGTAATGACGACTTATATGGAGTTGAGATCTAAACAATGTTTGTAGATGAGTAACTGGGAATGCAATCATCTTGCCATCATGTCAACACTTGTATTCCGATTGGCTTAGGCCTGATCACACTTGTGCGCCTTCATAACTTTCATCTGCTTCACAATGCCTCATTTCGATTCTTTACGGGATACCGACTCCCTCGTTATCACGCCGGGCTGTCTTATACAAGCGAGTCTAAGTCGATGACTGCTTAGTGGCGCTCATGGCAAGCGACCAAGCCTGAGAAGAGACAGGGCTGCTGAATCTCGATGCATGGTAAGCCAGAAAAGTATTTGGGTCAAAACTAGATACCTGAGAGGAGCAAGTCTGGTATCTCTTAAGAAATAATGAAATATTATAAGGCTACTTATGTATACTTGCCGTATATAGCACTTTCTAAAGACCTTTTGTTCAAGGTGAACATTGTTGACAGAAAATCCGGAACCAGCAGCATCATCATGCGCAGACCCAAGCGCATTCGCCGCAGCAAAGCTGAAGCAAAGCTGAGGATTCGTAAACAAAGTGCGGATCATGGTTGACTTTAGATGCATCATTAATTGATTAAACTGTAAAAAGCTGATGGCAGTGAGATTTTGATGGACAGTTTGAATGTGTTCTTTCCATTAATTTCGTCCATTTGCGTCTGAGATGTGATCCTTGACGTTGCGGTTCCATAACTCGAATAACCAGAGCAACCATCTAGATTTCACATGACCACCAGGATCTTTGTATCATTGTTCCTTGCGCCAGTTGTCAGGTAGATTGGGGATCTTTAGTACACAAGCTTCTAATTTTGAAGAAGAAGATAGCACAAGAACTAAGCCACCGAAGATGTGTCCTAAGCGGGGCTCTTCGCCAGTTCATGACACGCACATATCGAGGTTTATGGTAGCGAACATTAACAACCGTCAATCCACGGAGGCAGGTCCCCGAGAAACAAGCTCGGTGGCTTGCGTCTGCCGCAGAGCCGTCCTCCCGTTTTACCCGTTTTGGGAACCCACCCCTGTGCGTCCGAGATCTGCACAGTGGAGATTCGGTTGCAGCTGTCAATCTGGGGCACCAGACCCCTGGCTTAGCTCGTGATATTATCATGCTCATCCTATGAACGCGCTCTCATAACAATGTGCTAAAAGCTTCCATCATGCCTGTAGTGACAGGTTCGATTCCAGGCCGATCCTTGAGAAACCTTAGGTGCTTACCACCATCTGATTGCCCGCGTGCCTGGTCCTCATGATTGCTACCCCTGATGAATGCTTCCGGTCTTAATAACTGTCACAAAGCGGATAAGCTTGACCACAAGCCTGAGCGGGATCTGCCACGCTACCCACAGTTCTTAACTCATTGAACGGAACCTCGGGCCTGTGTGCAGCGAAAACTGCGATGTCTGGTGCCTGGCTCAACAAGCGAGCCAAAATATCTCATTCAAGAATGGAGGGAACGCGGAGGCAGGTGTATATATGCTCTTCTTATCCCCCAAGTTGGGTGCCTGATATGTGGTTGGAAGGCTAGCTTGAATAGTTTCTTCCCTTTTTCTTGTCTTTGATCCGCACTGAATCAGCCCGTCGCCAAGATGTATCCGACTCTTGCTATAGTATTACAGCTGACATTGTCAACTCTGGGATTTGCAGCAAGCCTACCAAATGTTGTGCTTCCAAGGCAGAACTCCCTGCGTTATGGTGTGTGAAGCAAACAGCCGCATAGAGTTATGGAGGATATTGACTGACCGCATCTCACAGTGGGAACCAACATCGCCGGTTTCGACTTTGGATGTGCCACTGATGGCACCTGCACAACCTCCAAGGCATATCCTCCGCTCTCGTCACTTGGAGGAGCAGATGGGTAAACCTCGCTTATTCTCCCCCCAACCCAATTTCACGACACACACACTAACCCCAAACTTCCATAGTGTCGGCCAGATGCAACATTTCGCCAACGACGACAAGTTCAACATCTTCCGGCTGCCAGTAGGATGGCAATACCTAGTCAACAACAATCTAGGAGGCAACCTTGACTCAGGCAACCTGGGCCGCTACGACCAGCTGGTCCAAGCCTGCCTCGCAACAGGTGCGACCTGCATCATCGACATCCACAACTACGCGCGCTATAACGGCAAGATCATCGGGTCTTCAGGCGGGCCCACGGACGACCAATTCGTCAGCCTGTGGCGGCAGCTGGCGACCAAGTACGGCAGCAACTCGAAGATGGTGTTCGGGATCATGAACGAGCCGCACGACCTGTCGTCCGTCGACACGTGGGTGGCCACCGTGCAGAAGGTTGTGACCGCCATTCGCGCCGTTGCGCCGACGAGCATGCTCCTCATCCCCGGCAGCAGCTGGTCGTCCGCGCAGCAGCTGCCCACCGAGGCGGGGCCGGCGCTGCTCAAAGTGACTAACCCGGATGGATCGACGGATAACATCATTTTCGATGTTCACAAGTACCTGGACAGCGATAACTCGGGCACGCACACTGAGTGCGTCACGAACAATATCGACAATGCGTTCCAGCCGCTTGCAACCTGGCTCAGGCAGAATAAGCGGCTGGCAATCAACACCGAGACTGGTGGCGGGAACACTGCTAGCTGCCAGAAGTACCTGTGCGAGCAGGTCGCTTTCTTGAAGCAAAACTCGGATGTGTTTATTGGTATTGTGGGCTGGTCTGCTGGTGGGTTTGACCAGACGTATGAGTTGGTGGAGACGCCCACGCGAAATGGGAATGGCTGGACTGATACCTCGCTTGTTAAGTCTTGCTTGGTGAACACTTAATCGGTTGGAAATCCTTTGTATGGTTCGAAGCGTTGTGGTCTGGATGCATTGCGCTCTGAATCCTCCCATAGTCTGATCATCACACTTTGCAGATCTTCTGAAACCCAGGCTGTCGAAATGCGGTCCTGAGCCCATGTAATATTATTTTCTGCCCTTTTGTCTTGAGTAATGTCATGGCATACCAACCGCCTTTCACACTCGAGACCATTTTCGATTCTTCAGCATTTTGCTTGTCCATCCTGCGCGACTCTTCCATGTGATGTCCTAATTCACCTCGAAGAGCTGTTCCTCACGCCGCATTCCTGCGCCTTGCGCAGTCCAAAAATCTCTGTGCCAAAATTTCCTGTGCTTTCGCAGCTGCTAAATCAATGCCAGTCCAAAAGTAAAGCCTAGAACGGCGGGTATCATCATGAATCTCATCATCATTCCATCGCTTTTGCTTCCTGCACCACTGTTGCCGGGCAGCTCCTTGGCCACGCTGGCCGTCGCGCTACCAGTAGCTAGGAAACAGCTAGCCGTGCCGCAATTATACCCAGTTGGACAGCAACCTGCAGTGGCGCCCGCGTCCGAAGGGCACAGGGACCAGCCGCCGGCACATGTCCCCGTCGAGGTGGTGGTAGGGACCGCCGTCACAGGCACGACTACTGTCTCGTCGCCAGAGATAATGGTGGTGGATGCTGTAGACGGGCACGAAGTCACGTGGCAGTCGCGGCCGGTCTGGCAGCAGCCTCCACCGTAGACGGCCGAGCATGCATAGAATCCCGTGGGGCAATAACCGGGGGGCGTGGTCAAGGTGCTGATCGAGGTTGGGCGGACAGGCGCTCCTGGAGCAGAGGACGTCTCGGTTGACGTTGCTGACGTCGAGCTGGCAGTTGTGGAGGTCTCGCTCGTAGAAGTCGAACTTGAGCTTGTCCTGGTGCTCGTTCTTGTTGTGCTTGCAGATGAAGACGGAGGAACGGTAAGGGTGACCACGGTTGTGGTTGGAGAGCCGTTGGTCGTCGAGGTCATGGTGCTTGTGTGCGTCACAACGGTCGCCGTAGCGGTCGCACTCTGGACACCTATGAGTTTTGTTAGCAGCCGACTCACTATACCCCTTGGATATCCAATGCGCTTGTCCCACTCACATCCAATACTGGCACACACGAAGCCAGGGATACAGCACCCGCCACCAATGTCTGAAGGGCACCCTTGCTGAGATCCTGAGCAGGCAATTGACCCAGTGCAACTTATGCCATCTGGGCAACATCCCACTGGCCCCAGGCCGGTGTCGGTGATCTGCACGCATTCTGTTCCCGCCTGGCAACAGCTGTTAGGGAAGCCGATAGCCGAGCAGTCTGACGTCCCAGTCGGACAGGCGAACTGCCTCTTCTCCAGTCTCGCAATAACACTCCTGCCCCTTTGGAACAGGTGCCAGCCACTTGCACCATCCTCATTCCCCCTCGTCGCCAAGCGTGAGTCAAAATGTGGTGCGAAAGGCGCGCGGTAAGATATCGAAGCCGACGAATTGGCCGCCAAGAGCTCCTCTTCTTCCACCTCCAAGACTCCCTTTGCTAGCACGGCGGCTTGGGCTTGGGTTCCAATCTGCGATACCTCTTCCTCCTGGGCAAACGCGTAGTACTCATGCAGCAGCTTCTCGCCTGCGTCGGGGCTCATCTTCCGAATAGCCGTTGGGAGCCGCTGTGCCTCAGCCGAGCCCTTCCCGACCTGAGCCGCCACGAGGAGCAGCAGTGAGGCGGGCAGCCTCGCAAGAAGTGTGAATGGCTGCATGTTGAGAACCGCCCAGGCTCTGACTGCAAGTCCAGCACAGGCGATGCAGGAAGGTGAGGTAATGGTTATCTCAGGCCTGAGAACGGCGACTGCGTCGATTGCTCCCCCGAAAATCCGTGTCACGTTTGGTTCTAGCCCATAGAACTGTCCATGGTAGATGTTCGGAGATGCAGATTTCTGAGTAAAATGATTATGAAAGTAAGATGGATGTCTCCGATGATGAGGTGGCAGTGTGGCAGCAAGCTTCTGAGGTGCGTTAGCGGGCAAACCGGGACCTTACGAGGTGGCTGGGAGAAGTGACCATGAGTGGATCATCAGCACTCTGACGTTTCACCGCTACCAATGTAGAAGCATGCTTGAATAAGTACTGTCTTGTGTCAAGAATGCCAATTTGCCTGGAGAATTGCAACGGTCGATAAACAAAAATCCGACATTCAACGACGTCTCTCTTCTTGCATGTGCAGGTGCAGCTGCAGCTAGCTGCAGGGGTTGACGATCGCGACATGGGGGCTGGAGGCGCCCCGGGATGGCGTCTTGGTCCTAACCCTTGCTTATTCACTAGGAGGGGGGCTGGATGGGGTAGGCACCGAGGCAATCGCTTATCATCAGTATCACATATTGGTTATATGTCTTGCTAGACTGCATGGTGTCATCTCTTGGGGCTGACACATTATTTGGTTTGGTAATCCCCAACTTGGCGATGCAATTCTTCTAGCTTATCCTGCCAACATAGCGATCAATCTTTGCAAGACTACCTGTGTATAGCTCTTTCGATAATTCCAGCTGCCGCTCTTCCCACGTAGATTGCAAATCTGAGAACATTATTACCCAGTATTTTTCTCACAGTACTGTTTATATAGAATTTTTTATAAGTAAAGTCTAGACAACGTCTCGGAATATTCCTTAAACTACATCCAACATTCTGACAGGCTACCACTAGCGTTGTTTCTAGTAGCCAGCTGTCCAGTCCTGAGGTGCGCTTCATCATCCCCTCGTTCACTCATGGGAGGACAGGCAGTTGCATTTTGAAATGTGGAACTCTGTGGCTCGGCAGCTATTTGCCTGTGTACCGACTCACAGCTCAATGTTTCACGAGTTTGCCCTGTGCAGCCTCATTTGTGTTCCCTCATTCCACATCATAGAAAATGGTTGAACCCATCCTCCAATTTCGGCTCATGACCTCTTCTCATTGCCTTCCTACTACATGGCTCGATGAATAACCACTTGCCACTCTTGACGGCCATACGAATATGTCTACTCTTGTACCTCAGCCGCTGGGAAACGCTGCAAAGAAGCATACCTCATGGCGGACTTATCTCCTCCAGGGTCAGCCTCTCGACCCCGAGTCCAGTCTCGAGCTCAACAAACTGTGCGAATACTGCCAAGCGATCTGGACGCAGTCAATTGTGTCGAACGACTTGCGGTGGTGTGACATTATCCGCATCACGCCTATCGCGTATACAGATTTCTTGCTCGTCTGCTCCAGCGGGGACCACACAGATTCGGGCAAGTCAGCATTACTCGTGAACTAACACCAAGTAGCAAACTTTGGTCCTTTCATGAGTCAAGACCTGTGATTTAATAGTGGGAAAAGCCTCTACCAGTCTCTGCACAGAATCAGAAGCTACTTTCGACCTGGCGCACTTATGGATTAGAGCCTCTCAGGAAGGGCCTGCCCTTTACTCACTCACCATTATCGAGACCAGCTTCTTGCTTTTAAGGCTAGTCGATGTTGGACTTGAAGGTTCTACGAGTCCAAAACTCCAAATTTGCAATCCAAACCCGGACAAGATTGAAGATTTGACCCCATGTTGGGGAGACAAGCCGCTTTAGAGCCTCACAGGAGAGAACTTTGGCAGTCTACAGAACTGCATACCTCTAGAAGAATTCTCACAGAACTTTCAAGACACCATAAGCACTTGTCGCAGAATTTTTACACCTGGATCGACTCGCTGTGCATTATCCAAGACTCCCCCCGTGACTGGGAAGAACAATCGATCGCCAGAATAATGATCTGAGCCAACTCCTGTTGTACAATTGCGGCTCTTGGTGCAGGGGATAGCACTCAAGGGCTCATCAGAAACGAAACCTCCACCTTGTACACTTGTGTCGCTTGCCTGTGAAGGAGCCGCTCTATGGAGTGTCAGAGGCTCGCATCTCTGGCTTTCCTTTCGGTATTACATGCACGCTTTACAGCCGTGCTTGAGTACTCTAAGAGAGGTGTCTGTGGAATGTGTGGAGTTGAATTGACTTTCCGTGGAGTTGACACACTGCCCCTGGTTTCGATTCATTGAGTGAATTAACTGCAGTCGAATTTGTGGCCATAATTTGACTCACTCAAGAACCACCAATGTCAGAAGCACGTCAGAATGTCTAGGGTTCCATTGTCAATATTTTAGTATGTTTCTTTGACATGCTACTGTTTCCTCAACTTTTTCTTTAAATTATGCGGTGGGAGGCGGGGATTGAACCATGCGTTTGGAGATCAGTTTTCGTAGCTTGCATAATCTCGGTCAGGATGTCAAGTTGACTGGCACAGATTCAAGTACCGAGAGATGTCAATGAACCCATTTTACTTAGCGGCTCCCTGCACCATTTACAGCGAACAATTCCAAGGGACATCTTTTATCACCACCATTGATGCTCCACAGAAGAAATGTCTGAAGATTATGAGTCAAATCTGATGCGGTGTAGAAGTGCATCTATTAAAACACCCTTAGCCCTGTTCACTTTACCCTCATTATTTCCTGCAGAAATCTCTGCCGTTATCTAAGCACAGAAAGTTGGTCGAACTCAAGTTTCAGGTTAGGCCGAATTGTTAGAAGGGTAGCGACCGCACCATGCTTGCCACTATCCCTTAGCTTTGCGAGAACCTTAAGCACATACCGGTCCCCGAGCGAACCTTGAATAGTCGGATGAGTAAATGCTGCGTGAATGAGTTTGCGCTCTTCGTCACGAGACAAGACATCTGTACATATCCTATGTATCAGAATCTCCATAGGTTCATACCCTGACGTGTGATGCGGCGTGGTGATATTGGCTCCTAAGTCGAGGAGCATGATGATGGTATTGACAGTAGAGGGCATGGCAATGGTACTCAAGCTTTGAAGATATTGGGCCAGGATATCTCCCAGCTCTTGGTCATATATACTCTCGTGCAATTTGAGTGCTTGCACGAGTTCGACGACCTGGCATGGGCGTAGACTGGTTTTGGGGAGGATATTACGGAACAGCGATCCGTGAGCTTGTTTGACTGCCCACAGCAGTGCCGGAAATGAGTCTTCCTCGAGATTTGGACACGGCGGTTTGACCGCAGCCACGTCACCATACAGTAACCGCCACCAAAGGTTCCAGCTCTTCCGACAGTCTTGGTTCTCCTCATTGAAGAATCTTGTGTGAAAGATCCAATGACTTGTAGCATAATGCGCGAAGCAAAGAGTGTCTATGTCCTCCTGTATGCAAGCAGTCTGCATCTGTGTGACAATTTGTCCGATATCAATTTGAGAAGGTCGGGCTTGTTTGTGTTTCCGCGATTTGATGTGTTGAACCAAGCGACTGACAACCGGGAGAGATTGCCGGGTTGTTTTGACCACTTCATCCAACAAATGCTGGCTTTGGAGATTCTTTGTTACCGACAACCGTGAATCTAAAATAGGCAAATTGAGATATGTAACGCATATAGCTCCCATGAAGTTTTCGGCATCGTCGCTAGCGAAATGATATGGCATCGTCCTTCGACTCGCAGCCGGCGAGAGGAGGTGTTGGATGACGCTATGGTGAATAAATCGAACTTTTTCGTCCTCTTCGTCGAGGTCCAGTAGATTACCTCCACAGAGAGTGATAAGCTGCCTGCCGTCCTTCGCTATCTCTTCAGGATGCAAGACCGACGCGCCGGGAACAACACAAAGCGCAACTCTCATCTCATAAAGATCGAGAGGAGTGACAGCGGACAAAACAAGCTTCATGATCCTACCTTGGTACCGGCAATCGAGAACATTCTCGAGCGCTCTCTCAAAAGCCTCGGGTAAATTCCTTGGAAGATGTGTAATGAGGCGCAGTATCTGCCTATCCGTGAGGACGACTTTCGAGTCGATTGGAAAGATTGTGTCGAGCTGAAGTGAGACCCATAAATACCTGCAGACATTTATTTAGCAGAAACAATCTTTGCGAGGCTTGTGCTGCCCTTCGTAAGGGGTTCTCGGTCACTAACATTCCCTGTGCCCCTCCGATGAGCTGCTTCTTGACAAATTCTTCTAGGTCGGGGCTGAGTTGTCTAGTTGCATTCCTTCGCGCAATCTCTTTCACAATATAAGCCTCAAGCTCTTCGTCATGCTTGTAGTCATCGTGAGAAACCAAGAATCTCGGTGCGAGACGACGCTTTGCAATGTCCTGAAACCTTGAATCAGAACGACTAGAATAACACAACAGAACAAGCCGGTGTTGCATCAGACGACGGAGACCATTTATCACATCAAATATATCGTCATCTGAACAATCTTCGAGGCCATCTGCGATAATGACGTATGTTCTGTCCTTGGGAAGAAGATCCAGAACGAAGTCGACAATGCTCTCCGGATCAAAAGCGTTGATTCTCTCTTTGCTTTTCTCGACTTCTTTCCAGACTATGGCCTCTGTTGGCAAGTCATCCAGCAGATTGAAAGCAATACTTCCCAGAATGTTAGTGGCCTTGAGACTGATGGGTTCCTGGGCTGCACAGAATACGTAGGCGCAGGATTGTACAAGGTCCATTCGGGCGACAATATTTGCCATGGAAACCGTTTTCCCACTACCTAATTTACCACTGACGCAAATTGAGGTCGATATCTGCATGGCCTGCCAGTCCTTGAAGCTCTGGGTGTCAAATATCCATTCGCAGGTTCCTTTTCTGCGCTGGCGTCTCCACCTTGTTTCAAAGTCGTTCTGATAAGGCGAAAGCTGCCGCAATATTCGTTGCTTCAAGTCGTGGAATCTGTCTTTTTCTGCGCCGGCAGCCATTTTCGTGGCTAGAAGTTTAGTTTGTTGCTGGATCAGATAGCCCCACTGATCCAACTCCTTTTGAGTAGATCCAAATTCCGAATCGAAAGAAGAGCCAATAGACGAGAATAATTGGGCACTGGTATTTTTCTGACCGAAAGCAATGATCTTGTTGCACAGTCTCAAGAGGACGACACAGTATTCGCAGAAAAATGTCTGGAGCACTTCTGACTGGGGAAAGATTTGAGCGAAGTCTTCATGAAGAGCCCAGGAAGTGCCAAGCCTCATGAAAAGTGTCGAGAGCTTCTCAAAATAGTTCAAGTAGTTCGTGGCGATCTCCTGCATGTTAACGAAGAGGACTGTAGAAATTCTCAAGATCGACTTACAGTCAATGACAATCTCACGGCACTCCACACCCCTGTCGCAATGAGATTCTGAGACCCCCCTATCAGAACATCGCCAATGCTAGCGAACGTCTGAATGCGGGACAAGAAGCCCCCAACTTTGGTCCCATGCGGCCTCCATGACCGGTGGCGGCGTGCACCCTCTTGGTTGATCTCTTCCGTCACTTTGATGACGTCCCGGCCTGAAATTTGGGTGCATTTCGCAGACTGCATGCTTTGAAACTCTCTCCTTTGCTCCGAGTTAAGGGACTGTGCGAATTCCGAGATGGCCAGCCCCAGGCGCGCCTCGGGCTTCAATCGGCCGCTTAAGGCAAGCTGCTTCGACACAAGCTCCATTGGCCTCGCGACAAGCTCCGGAAATCTGCCTTCGGGCCAGCACGGTATAATTCGTAGATGACGACTTTCGATTTCGGACAATGCGCTGTAAGAGACGATGTTTGAACGAATTCCGGCAGCCCTTGTTGACCCGCGCGTCGAATGTTGAGCAACTCATGGGACAGAGATGTGGAGTCTGCCTGATAGGACTTCTCTAGGGAAGCTGATCAGGGGTGGCTACGTTTATCTGCCAATTTAGTTAGGCTCCGGCCAGGCTTGCGACCTATGGTGTGTGAAATGCTGACTGCATGCGCGGGCTGTACGCGAGCGCCCTGCGAGTTGGTTGGCTGCTACGTGCAGGATCAAGTGTGGGTAGGACCTCTCGCATGCTCCATTGCAGCATCTGGGGGCCGCAGCTTGCAGTGAGGTCTCTTCGAAAGCCTTGTCGGCCAAATCAGCAGATGATGGAGCCGCAACCATTTCAGACCCAATGTTAGGAGCCTTTCATTCGCAGCAGTGAAGCTTCTATGGCGGCAAAAGTAGAACGCGCTCATCGAAATGGCCATGCACCTAGGAGACCACGCGTGGCTGCGGATGGAGGCAAACGGCGAAACTCCTGCCGCATATGGCAATGGAAAAGCTGGTTCTTGGCAAGGCAGATTCCAAGCAATTCAAAACGCGGGAAAGGGCTGGCACCAGAACGGATGTGCATGTAATAATTACACCGCGCGAAATGATGCCTGGATCGCCCAGCTAGGATTGCTTTTTCTGCAAGAGGTATTGCCGCGGATACTAAACAAACAAGATATCTATCTCATCGCGAAAGGGGGCAAAGGACACGTCAAAAGAGCCCGAGAACGCTACCAACGAAACTCTCCCCCTAATTTTTGATTCCATCTCCCCAAAAGAAAAATGCACTTGTCCATCTCCTCAACTTCATGTGTAACACACTACTGCATCTTCTCGTGAGTGGCCATGAGAGAGCCTGGGGGCACGTTGTTAGTCATTATGTTCCCAAAAAAGGTCCACAGGGGCAAATAGCTTACCAATAAAGGTCGTAACCAGACGTGATCGGACTTGGCAAATATCCTCGGGCACGAGCCAGATGGTGGCGCCCATCTTTCTCGCAATCGAGATGCTTAGCTTGGCGTTGAGATACGCGTCGTCGTCCGTGCGGCCGGGCGTGACGAGGTCGTAGTCGACATAGCTGCTCTTCATACCGTTGAGCACGTCCAGCAGGAAGACACCGGTGCCGATATTGCCATCCTTGAAGGAGCGAATGGCCGAGTTCTTGCCACCCTTGCGGGACATGTCGTTGGCCCACTTGACCATTTCTTGGTCAGTGATCTCGCGCTTGCCCAGCCGTTGTGCGAGGGCGCCTAGCGTGACGGTGATGTTCTTGCGCATGAGTTGCCACACCAGGCCAAGGGTGAGGGTCTTTTGCCCATCGGTGATATCGGCGCCTTGGATACCAACCAAGGAGAAGCCGTTCTGCTTTCCTAGCTCTATCGCGTAGTTCGTGTTCTCGACAGCCTTGAACCGCATCAACTCGCCGCCATTTGCAGGGGGCTTGTTGACGTGCCGCCAGTTGACCGAGCCCTTGATAACCTTATCGTAAGCTTGCAGGAGCACTGAGCCGTCGCGCAAATCGTCGAAGAAGGATTGGACAGCAGGTTGGACATCCAGACTGTTGAGCCACAGGGTAAAGACTCTGGCTTCGCGCTCGCCCTCGGCATCGAAGTCGTCCACTTGCTGTTTCTCCTCTTCCGTGATAGGGTCGAGGCAAGGGTGAGTGTTGAACAGGTTTGCGACGAAGGCAAGGTTAAGCTTGGGGTTTCCAGCGACGAGGGATTTGGGAGTCAAGAACTTGCGGCAGCTCAGCTTGTCGGCATCTTGAAGGACCTCTTCTGCACGCTGCAGTAGATCCCGTGTTTGCAGAGGGGCTCTTGTGCAACCGTACTCAGAGCCAATTTGTGCCATGAGCACAGCGTAGTTCTCGCCATCCTTGACGTCGGTTGAAAAGTTGTTCACACGGCGAGGCCAGTTGGCGGCCTTGAGATGGTAGTTGAACCAGCGCAAAAGAATTTGCTCTGGGGGCAGCCTCAAAAACTGCTCCAAAGTCTCGTCCTCTTCCAACAGCCGGTACAGCTCGGGGTGTAGCTTGATGTCAATCTTGCCCAGAAGACCCCTTCGGATGATCTGCCAGATCAGGCCCAGGATGAGATGTTCGCGAACCTCGATGATGTCTCCACTGCCAATGTTGACGACTGAGCAGCCGATACCCTTGGCAGACTCAATGACTATGTTGTTGTTCTCGGTCATGTGGAAAGCGTTTAGCTTCTTGATCTTCCTGCCGGCAACGTTGAGCACACGTTCGTCGATGGTATCCGGTACGCTGTCGTTGATGAGCTTGGCCAGGACCAAGCCATCGCGGCACTCGTCGAACATCTCGAAGGTGTCGGTGGGGAAGGGCAGGCGGTCGCCAATGTCGGCATCTCCGGCAAGGACGGCGTTGATGTGGCGGGTGAACTCAGTGCGCTCGTCCTCGTTGATGGTGTGAGTGATGTTGGCATTCGAGCCTTGAACGTGGATCTTGCCGCTGATACTGGACTTGGAAGCGTGACCGCCGCCGACGGCACCGCCGGTGCGTTGTGCGACGACGCTGCTGGGAGAGGCGGGGGCAGCACCTCCTGTGCGCATGGCGACCTGGGCGGGAGAGGATTCTCGGAGTTTCGCGATGAGCTATTATCCGGTCAGCAGCGGAAAACTGGCTTGGACGGCTGCCTCTGCATCTTTTTCTGTACGTACGCCAACATAATCCTCCAGCTCGACTCGCCTGGAGGAGTCGAGTTCGACCTCCTTCAGCGCTTGTCGCACGACATCGTATGGCTGTCTCTCGCTGGTCTGGGTTGCCTTGATGGCAGTGGCCTCGTCTAGGTAACCCTTGTCGTCGACGTCGAGCTTGCGGAAGGCGTCCGCCAGGCCGAATATGTCGTTCTGCTGGAACTGGGGGAACTTCCTGAGTTGGTGGTGAGATGGTCAGCCCCTTGGTCGCGATGTCTTCGCCCAGCTCAGGCGTTCCTGCGCGGGGAGACGGGGGGACAGGGGATGGGGGTTGAGGCTCCTACCTCTGCAGCTTGAGGACGTTCATGATTGCTTGTGTTTGCACTCTATGTTATTGCTGATTGGAGATGCTGGATATGAGGAGGGTGTGGAAAGAGAAGGGCAGCTCGTTCAGCGTGTAAGGTAAAAGGAAATACGCAGCCCAAGGAGGTCGGTCGTGAAGTCGGGTCGAGTCGCAATGTGGGGGGGAAGTAAGCTGGAGGAGGGATCAATTACTGTGTAATCACCCACTCACTCGCCTAGGAGCTCTCGGGTAGACAGGGTGACTGACTGGCGGGGCACAGAGGAGCAAGGCGGCATATTATGACGTCTCTTCGCAAGCCCAAGGTTTGGAGATGAGCCAGGGGCAGCAATCAAGCTTGCTGCCGCGCTGCTTGGTTAGGCACCTCTGACCAGCAATGCGCACCAGCCACAGCGGGTTTACGCGTACCACGTTCTACCCGCAGCAGGTCAAGCGGGTTGCCAAGAGGCCCTGACGACGCATGGTTAGGCAGTCATTTTTTCTGGATCTGACCAATTTTAGGTTCGCATCAACCAAACCCAACTCAATGCCGCCCAGCGATGCATATAAGATAGCAGGGTACTTTAGCAGCGCTGAGACTCCTCCGCAATTCTCTTAGTATTGAGGTACCTCCCTATCTGCATGAATCCTGATTGACGACGACCTCACTTGCGCTACTACCGCTCTTCAGAGTTTTCGGCTCGCGATTCGGTACGAGAGACTCACACACTCACAGTCTCTGCTCTTGTCCAAAATTGGACAGAAACATCTTGAACTCATCGCAGGTAAATCCAAGTGTTGTTTCCATGAAGTATCGAAGTCGATATGAAGTTGTAGAGTACATAGACCAATTTCTTTCATGAGCGAACTCTGACGTCTTGCATTCTGTTCACCAGGCTCAGTGGCCAAAGACTCGACATTTTCCACCGGTCCAGTATGTTCCAATCGTCGCGATAGCCTCATCCGACTGATACTCTGTTTCTCACGTGCAAAGATTTACCCGCAATCTTAGTTGTGTCCGCCATCATCAGCCCTTTCGTGTGGACCGAATCCTCCCTGGATAGCGAAGTTTGTCCCGTTTTGGCTGGCTGGAGTCAATATTCTATACGAATTTTTGCTTACTTACTCGCTCTCGTGGGCTTTTCTCCTTTCCCCGTATTGTCTGGCACCTCAATCCTAACAGAGTGACCAGAATCACCCAGCTTGAATCTTTAGAATGGCAAGCAGCAGCAGAGCCCCGCTCTGCAAAGTCTGCGAGGACCCCCTCGTAACACAAGTCGACGACGGCGAGGCCCCCATCCAGGACGATCTAGAACTACCCTGCGGCTGCCACTACCACTGGCAGTGCCTCCTCGACCAGGCGAGTCACATAGCACTGACACTCACCTGCCCGTCGTGCGACAAGTACCTCCCGTCCAACAGCCCCGGGCCATCCGTGACCAACCCGGTGCACCACACAGCGCAGAACCAACCCACCATCAACACGCGCTACGCCTCGGAAGATGGCGTCGAGGAAAATTACGACATCCTGCCCACACTAACGGAGGAGGCCTACCTGGAATCCCACCCAGACGAGCGGCGGCCGCGCGCCTTCCACACCATGTGCGGCGAGGGCGACGTGCTGGGCGCGGTGGAGCTGCTGAGCGACGCCGCGGCGGACGGCGACGACGTCGCCGCCATCCTGCTGTACCGCGACTCGCTCGCGCGCGGCCGCACCGCCCTGCACCTCGCCGTCGAGAAGGCCCAGGAGGAGGCCGTCTGGCTGCTGCTGTTCCTCGGCAGCCCGGGCCTGTCGCTCGACAACTTCCCGCAGGAGGCGCTCGCCGCCGCGCAGGGCATGGGCCTCGACCGCATGCCTGCCCGCGGCGAGGACGTCCGCGCTGCTCGGGATGATGACGGGCGGACGCCGGAGGACTATGCTAGGGCTTTGCCGCATCAGTGGGAGCGGTTGGTGAATGCTGGTGTGCTGCGGCCTTGAGGGAGTATGGGTACAGCCTAGCCAAACGGCGCGTGGCAGCATTCGATGAGTACCGAGGGGTTAGAAATCGCCGGTACAACGCAACGGCTTGTTCTAGATGGGCTATGACGGCCGATTGCTTTAGCTCGGGGCTATTGAGCTACCTTGTTGGATCTTTGTATTATCAGACTCCAGAGATACCAAAATGTTGTATGACAAGAGAGGACGAAATCCAGATATATTTCTGAGTTGGCTTATTTGCAGCCATCAAGCCATACCACAAGGATCATCATATTGCAGGGATCGTATTGGAGCCGTATTGCATGGGTCGTATTACAGGCCACTGTACGAGACCATGCTCAAATCGATCTCCCTTCTCATGCTACCTAGCAGGGGAGTATTGGCATCGAGTCACTAGTCACAATCCGAACTTACTCGTCTTGATAACACTGCTTGTACACAATGCAGCAGACTCCTGCTTGTGAGCCAGATCGAATTGCCATTCCCCTGGTGATCTAACGCATCTCAAGAATAACGCCGACTCAGCAAAGCACCCAAAAGACAAAGCCCGCAGTATCTGTGCTTCCGAAGCCCGTGCAAGAGCAAAACGCCCATTCGCCGCCCGCCACTACCTGTGGCCCAATCTCATCTAATAGCCCTAGCCCACTGTCTAAATGGATATACTGCGTCTTTGCGGAATCCCGCCCCAGCCTTCAAAATAAAGAATGAAGAGGAAAAAAGAATGATAAAGTCCACTACTTCCGTTCCCTGTCCCGGCCCTCCGCCTTCCTGGACAAAAGCTGGCTCACGAGGAAGTGCGCGACGTCCTCATCAGCCCAGTACGCCATGTGGCTGGCGATGGTGTTGATGGGGTTGAAGTCCAGCGCGCCCTCCTGGATACTGTAGTCGACCCGCCCGTTCCTGTTGAGCGCCCGCACCTTCAGCTCCTCCCGCCGGACTTTCGCCGCCTTGTTCTCCTGCGCAAGCCAGTCCTCTCTCTCCTTCTCGTCTTGCACCCCGCCCTCCTCCTTGATCGCGTCCGCCCTGCCCTTTTGGAACTTGCTGTACAGCGTCTCCAGGTCGTCGTCCAGCAGCGTCATGTCGTTACCGCTAATACTCTTGCGACCGCCCTGCTCCTCAGCCAGCTGTCTCTTGCGCTCCGCGGCTTTCTGGCTGAGACTTGTCGTTGAGTCCTGCCGGGAGATGACGCCAGACGAAGTGGAGATGTTTGTTCCGGCCCCCGGGCTCGGCGTGTGATGCTGCTGTTGTTGCTGCTGTTGCTGCGAGGCGGTAATTTGCGCAACATCCTCTGGTGTCAACCCTAAGCTGCGATTGAGTAGGTTGTTGGCCAGTCCTGCGCTGATGTTTGCCCACAGCCCACTGACACTCTGCCCAACCTTGGCACCGATGCCCGAAATACCCTGGGGAGCCACATTGCCGAAGATACCCTTCTTGGTATAGGGCAGGTTCTGGGGCTTCAGAGACGACATGGCGGGTGAGATAAGGGGCTCGATGCGATAGGATATAGGATCGGAGGGATAGAAGATGTTGAACATTTGAGACAGCTTAGGTGAAGACACAGAATAGGGCAAGCCCGTGACAGGTGAGATGCGGTGGGGCTCGACTCCTAGGGATGCGGTGCGGAAGGGATCGTCGACTAGGTCTGGGTCAAAAGGACTGTTCGCTGGTAGGCCGTCCGTGAGATGGCGCGCACCGATCGTTCTGGTGCCATTAGCGATATGCAACATGGCCGAGCTATTGGGTCAGGGCACTTACCGTCCTTTCAGCATCTGAAATAGTCCGATCGGAGAGCCAAGGCAGTAAAAATCGTCAACTTCGAAGTCGAATGTCAAATCTCGCGGATCTTTTGTCGCGGGCTTCCGGGTTTCAGATGGCCATATTCTGAGTGGGTTCTTAGACTGCTCAGATTCTTTCTTCAGTTCCTGCTGGCGACAAAGAATATCAAACATAATGGCAGACCCGAGAGAATGGCCCATGATGTGGACTTTTCCCTTGAAACCAGGATTTCTCTCAACGAAAAGATTGTATATCCTGTTGGCCTCCTTGAAGACGATCTCGGATATCTGCTCTCTGTAAGCGCTCTGGTAGAGGAGGACATCCAGTGCCAGGTCAGAGATGAGTGATCGCGCAAATGCCACGCCTTCTACCGTTATATCGTCAAGGGAAGGGTCTATGGCCTGAGTTAGCACTTATTCTTCATGTGAGTAACTGACACTTACATTCGTCTTCTTCAGTTGTCGCAAGGCCGATGTCCTGCTCGCTCTTTTTCTCTTCACGTTTTCTGGGAAAGTCCAACAAGTGACGCCAGCACACGGGCAGCACTTGCACACGAGAATTTCCAGGACCTCCGCCGATCTCTGAGTTGAGCGCCCTGAGATCCTCAGAAGTGGTGTAGACCGATTTGATCGTCTTTCGCAACGTATTGACATCGTGGACGAAATTGACACTCTCCATTCGCAGTCCAAGCAACTGGCCAATGCCATGTGTAATCAGGACAAGATGCTCGATTTCGCGTCCCTGCGTTTCCCCGGCTGGCGCATTATAATCGTCCTGTATTTCTTTTTCCTCTCGTTTCCTGACAGCTTCTTCCTCTTGGTCGACATCGCGGTTTTCGCTTTCAAGCAATGACGAAATCTGCTGCTTGAGACTATCACCTCGGCTTTCAATCACTGTTTTGCCTGCTTCTTCCTGCTCTTCGCTCGAGCGTGCGAAGTCAATAGAGTCGGACCTAGTCGTCGGTGGCGCTGATCTTCGTTTTCGTGCCTTGTCAAGTTGTTCCTCGGTATTCTTCATGTCAGTCGATATATCGGGATTCTTCTCATCTTTTGAGGACTCTGGCTTTGGCTTGGTCTTGCCAGGCTCTGTGTAGCCACGGACGAGCTTGACGCCACTCATATAGCCCCCACCAGCGAAGCGTTCGTACATTGTCGAGGTCACCCATGATAGCACGCCGTCGGAATTGAGCCAAGCTGTCGTAGAATCCTGATATGTTGCCACGGAACTCATCCAGGCACCAAACAGCCGGTGTGTTTGGGGCTGGGGAGGTGGTCCCATCGGCTTCAGAGACGAATCGGCTTGTGCGGCGGCCTGCGCCCTGAGGTTATCAACAGATGCCTTCGGGGTCACGTCTCCCTTCTTCGATTTCGACTCGCTTCGGATTCTTGGGGCTAACCAGGAGTTAATTCTCCGTCGCTTGCTGGGCCGCTCTTCCAACTCACCAGGATAGAGCCATGGTTTGCATTTGAGATAGCCCTCTTCTAACTGCGCAGCGAGGTTCTCCTCGCAGGGACGAAGGGTGGAGCCTTCTTGATAGAACCAGCTCCCACGGCGCACGTCGTAGACAGGACCCAGCCAGTACACTGGTGCGAGCTCTCTCTTTTCTATGTCGACATCGAAGAGAAAGTCTTCGTTAACCGGAACTTTGGTTCCACTCTGTGCGTCGCTTTCCTCCGTCTCTGAAGTGAAGGCCTTCCGTGGCCCTGAGAAGTTTCTGGTTGGGCCCGAGTTGCTTCGGTCTCGCTCGCTTTCCGTGCCCTCCAGGACGCCCTGGTATGCAGCCTCGATGGATCGCGTGTCATTGTTGGTGAACGGTACCCATTTCTTAGGGGGTTGGGGTGGTTTTTCGTCGGGCTTCTTCTTGCCCTTGATCAGTTGTGGCTTCCGCTTCGGGATCTGGAATTGTAAATGTCAGCTATTTGCCGGCGGTGATGGGCATGGAAACCTACATCGACAGCATGGAACCACTGAACCTTCAACGGAGGACAGTCGGGAGGGTATCTCCTGGAACTGATGCCGTATATGGGGTTGATGCTGTGGTCGCCTCCCTGGTTTGTTGGTTTGGGTGCAGGAGGCGCTGGTGGCTCTCTGGGGGTCGGCGTCGAGCTTCGGCTGACAGACCATGGATTGATTGATTCCACCGCAGAAGCCCAAGTTGACTTCTCTGCCTTCTTGTCGGCAGCGGATCCAGAGGCCATGTTCTTATGCCATGCGGAAGAAGCTTGTGAGGAGGACCAGCTCCTGACAGAGTGGCGCCTGGCGTGCCTCCCTATCACCCGCCTCCAGGCGATGGACACGGCAGGATTCTGCGGCGCCAACTTGGGATGCGAGGGCACGTAGTAGTACGGCCGTGATCGAATGGGATGTGTAAGGGTCGCGATTCGCAAAGTCCGCGCGGACGGCTGAGTCGTGTACGGAGGGGTTTCGTTGCTGTCAAGTCGTCGAGGTAGCTACTGTAGCTAGCTGTTGGCGAATGACGACAAGTGACGGGGGCAGCTGGGAGGAGGGAAGGCAGCATGAATCAACTTGACGTGGCGTCACAGAAGAGAACACGTGCGTTTGACAAGGCAGAGATGCGAGTATTATGCGAGGATCCTCAGGTTAAGAAATCATGCTATGGCCACCTTGGTTTGTCGAAGGTCATAAATAGAAGTCGGGAAGATGGCTGTCTCACTCGCAGGCCGCGCCGGCCCCCAATGAGGACCTTGGGATGCGACCACGCGGCGCCTCCATCGGCTGGGGGTGGGATGAGTCTGGCAGTTCCGTAGGAGCTATGACGTCCCTGCACTTCGGCCCGCCACCTACCATTTCAGGGGTAGATCGCCCGGCAGCAACCGAGCTGTAAAAGGCACCCAGGCACCCTGCCACCCTAGCAGTAGCACTCAGCTTGACAGCCGTCGGTCGCATACCGCGTTGATCAATTTCGTATTGAGTCTGCCCACCGTTTTCCGAGGGGTTTTAATGTTAAAGATTTCCACCGATTTCCACAGACTTCCCACTTACAATTCGCAACAGCGAATCATCTCTCTCATCCAAGCCGCTTGGCTATGGAAGCATACCGCGATGCCCGAACCTTCCGAGCCTGCACTCAGCTGACAATGGCTATCCAACCCACCGTTGCCAAGCTCTCTTTTCTCTGGTAGTGTCCCGTGTTGATATGGTCGATTCTAATCCACGTGCATTTGGACGCACTTGTGTCTTCTGAGGATGAATTCAATCTCTCAAGATTGACGCCTTTTGTTGCAGAACGCGGCCCAGATTTTCTGAGATGCATCGAGACTACTGTGAAGAACGGAAAGCGGCCGAAAGGGGGGCCACACGTCCCATGCTCGATATCGGCAAAGCGACATCCCCTTGAGTCTCATATATAGTGCAGCGTCTTTTACGTCTCGCCTGCTTTTCTTGCAATAGGAGTATACGCCAAATCAACAGTCTATTTCTCTCGACGCCAGGCAATATTCAATTTCTCTATCTCCAATACTTCATACCTATCCAAATTTGCTCCTTAACTACATCGCACTCCTACAGCCAGGACGGAGCCTGCCAGCTCTTTCCCGCTTTGAATACGGGTAACAAATCTGGACTGAATTCATGTTTTCTCAAGTGTCTGGGCTTGGCCATGATCACCTGAAGAACTATCAGATGAGGACTTCGCATTGCCTCTGTGACAGTTGTGAGACGCCCTGTACATGGCTTTACATGATCGACCCACTTTAGTATGGAGCATCACAAGTCTGATATGAGGAACAAATTATCCTCTCCCAATAACTTTCATCCGCCATGGTCATGATACGCTTTTCTAGTGTTCGGAAGTAAGACCAGAGAGTAATTGATTCAATCGGATCATCAGCTTAGCAAGCTTATTTCAGTTTCTATGTTTCGGGAAGCACTCCGCATTGCGGTCCGGAATACATTGGGCAATGATTGAGAAGAGCAGACCACGCAGATGATTGTAGCAATGTCGTCACAGCTACACGTACAATTCACCAAACTCAGTCTCGCGGTGAGGATTCCGATTTACCACATATTAAATTTTGCATAAAAATTTCGTAGGAACTGATACGATTCAAATCATAGTTTCAAATGGCATTTTCTTTCTAACACTTGAGCTATGCATGGGCGCTTCGTTGTATGAATCATATGCATTCAATACATTAGACTCATTTTGTGTTTTTGCGCCTAATTTATACGTGGAGGAATTTAAGTGCAAGTCAGTGGCTTTATGGCGGTAAGGAAAACCAAAGGGCGTGACTTCAAAATTGACAATGCCGTTACAGGCATCTATCAGTTCAGCCAGTGTAGCGTCACGCACCTCCCAGCACCTCGCGATTGGCCATCTTGATCTGTAACGACACACGCGGTCTCGTATTTCAAAAGTCTTCCACAAAGACTAAAGGAGGAAAGGAACAGTCTGTGGTTCTGACTTTGAACTGATTTGGGTTCGCTCGCGGCACTGTTACAGATGATGTCACCGAAGTCCCGTGACATGGCGTCGATATCGCGAAAGGGATCCCTGCCTGCCGAAGGTTGAACCACTCCAAACCACGAACCTCCGACTTCTTGTCCAAACGCGACCTCATTGAACTGGACAGCATCGATGGAATAGATGCGACTTGTCTACGGCATGAAATTTAATCCACAAAAAGGGCCGTGAAAATGTGCGGAAGATATGCCCTCGCCCTGGTATGATTTCAACGACTCCTGTTCCTCGAAAGCCAGTGGCAAACTAACCAGGTCAACGCAGCGCCCGTCGCAGGTGCGCCGTATGCTACAGGACGATGATATGCCAGTATGGGATGCTCCTGCTGACGAGGGTGATGGCGCTCCACGCCAGAGCTACAACTTTGCGCCTGGGTACCACGGCATCGTGTATCGCGCGGATGTGCCCGACTGGGGAGCCGGTCCGCGTCGCGAGGCCAAATCCAGCAAGGGCGCAAAAGCCGCGGCAGAGGACCCGTCTGCAGATTCAGAGACCGCAACTCATGATGAACCTGCTGAGATAGAGGCCGATGGCAACGGGGAAAGCGGCGAGACGCACTATAAGCTCCAGTCGATGAAGTGGGGCCTTATCCCCTTCTGGACGAAGCGGAACCCAGACTATGGGGCGATGATGAAGACGATCAATTGCCGAGATGACTCCCTTGCCCAATCAGGTGGAATGTGGAGCTCTATGAAGGGCCGTAAGAGGTGTATCGTCGTGGCGCAGGGGTTCTACGAATGGCTGAAGAATGGCAAGGACAAGATGCCGCACTTTGTGAAGCGCAAAGACGGGCGTCTGATGTGCTTTGCTGGGCTTTGGGACTGCGTACAGTATGATGGTAAGCTGCTTCCAATTGGTTCGTTTCCATGTCTACAAGAGACTGGACAGGTTCTTTCTCAAAGCCTAGAAGGTGGTCTGACCGGTGTAGATGACGACCAAAAACACTACACTTACACTATCATCACGACCGACTCGAATAAACAGCTCAAATTCCTTCATGACCGCATGCCTGTCATCCTAGATCCCGCCTCGGACAAGATGAAGACTTGGCTCGATCCTCAACGTTTCGAGTGGTCGAAAGGTCTGCAGGACTGTCTCAAACCATTCGACGGTGAGTTGGAATGCTACCCTGTGAGTAAGGAGGTGGGTAAAGTTGGGAATAATTCTCCCACGTTCATCATCCCTATCGCGAGCAAGGAGAATAAGAGCAATATCGCCAACTTCTTCGCCAATGCCAAGGCGAAGAAGGAGGCACCCCAGGCCGATGTGGAGGTCAAGAAGGAGGAAGAAGGCAAGGAGGAGACTAGTGAGACAAAGACAGTAGAGGATCTCGCTGAGACGGTGAATGATGGCGGAATGGGCATCTCAGCTTCCCCAGGAACGAAGAGGAAAGCAGACCCAGGTTCAGAAGATGAGCAAGGTCCTCCGTCCAAAAAGGCGCCTATTTCTACGTCTCCAGCAAAGGTCACAACGTCTCCCTCTCCTTCTCCGAGCAAGGCGGCCCAGAAGAGCACCAGAGTCATCAGTGCGACGAGCAATGGCACCAAGAGTCCTGCTAAAGCAAAGTCGAGTGGGACGCAGAAGATCACGAAGTTCTTTGGTAACAGTGCTTGATAACTTTTTTGATCCAGGTGCCTTGTCTTCGGTACCTATGTTCTTGGTGTTTGGCGTTTAGGGCTTGAAAATACTCAAGGAACAAGGGCAGGAATGCGAGTCTTTCAATTTAGTTTGTTCATTGGAATATGCAAAGTGAGAATGACCTGGTTCATTTTGAAAATTTGAGAATCTCAAGACATAAGTGGCGAAGATTGCAGCAAAGGATTGCCCCAAGCCATTACCCTTCACATAACAACTTTCGAGCACGTAATTGAAGGCTGTTGAGAGGAATCTGACCGAGCCATTCCCAAAAGTTACAGATCAGTTTGCGCAAGTTTGTTTGATTTCCCTTTCAAAGGTAACGCTGACCAATCTTGGAAGGTTGGGAGCAACTTTCAGGCTCCGCACTTCCTCCTTCCTTTTGGACGGCCATCATACTCTCATCCTCGCAACTTCTACTTTCATTTTGATTGCATCAAGTCATACCGGCGGCTGATTCACCGTCTTCATTGCCGACCTGCGTCTTGCCACTGCCACGATCGAAACCTTTGTTCGAGGCCTGAACTGCGAACACTAGAACTGCTATTCCCCGGTTGTCTCGGCTTGCAAAGACCTCTTTCGAACCCTCAGTTATCCCGATCAAAATAAATCGCCTGTGGCCAAGATGGTGGGTCTTCTTGACTTACCGCTCGAGCTGCGAGAGCCAATCCTCCTCGGCGTGGTTCTTGACACCATTCAGCAGCAGCCAGAGGGCCCTCTCTCGATCTACGGTGAACCATCCAGTCGGCATGTTCCAGTACTCGAGCCTTCGTTGGAGTTCCGCAGGACCTTTTGCAGACCTCTTCAGCGCCATGCATCGCCCTTGCTTCTCATAAATCACCAGATCCGTAACGAGGTCACTCATCTCGTGCTCCAGCGACTGGGCCAACGGATCAATGACGCTAAACTGGACTTCGTGTGCATGGACCGGAAGGGTCTTTGGGCGACTTGGCTCTCAGCACCGTTTCCCGCCACTCACCTACACACTGTGAACGCTCAAGTTCGAAACTTCACGAGGATCGTCCCATCTCTGGCTCGTGCAGCACGGTCCAGACTTATCAGCACCAGCATCGGGCAGGACGATGATTGGCAAGGGGAACGACAAGTTGCTGAGATGATGCGGGACTTCCTTGCGAACTTTCTACGAGGCCAAAGGGCAGCCACCATACTCTGGGACACGCAGAGTGCCAGAAGCTATTCTGAAAGTGGGGCAGCCAGTCGAACGATTCAAAATCTTGTCATCGACCTTCCCTTCGAGTCGGATCCACGGTATTCGCCTCGTGAGCCTGCACTTGCTTGCCACAACATGTACCGCGATGGTATGTACTGCATGCTCCCATTCGAAAAACGCACCGCCTTACTTTTCGCCCGATCTTTGCATGCTCAAATGCTGAAGACCTTTGGCGTGTTGCCCCGACATGGGATTTACAACCATTTCCCCGATATTGTTTTCGAAGGAATCGGTGTCATCGACATACGAGTCGGCGGTGTTCAATTTCGAACCTTGGACGTGGGTCAACTCCTCGCAGAGCTGCCCCACAGTGAGGACTGGCTAGCACGCTACGTCAACAGGAGCGAGTTTTTCAAACTGAAGAGAATTGTGGAAGAGAAGCGAAAGGCCGCCGGCTTCCGAGTGATGAAAAGGTCGAACCAGGAACACGAGATCGTGGGAGCTGCAGGAGCGATAGCCGCCATACTGGCGGGAAGAGATGAGAGCCTTGTGGATAAGGCGGCGGCGCTCCGAGATGACACGACGCCTCCTAGACAGCCAAAGACGGGCGAATCTGTTGCCTTCATGGGTAAGACTGTGTTTGTCCGAAACGATGGCACTGTCCTCTCCGGTCAAGCAACGTTTTACTCTTCTGACTTACGGGACTTTATGGAACTTGATTGGATGCTGCGTGGACAGTTCGAAAACCATGTTGGAGGACCGCGGTCGGATGTTGAGGTTGCACTCTTCAAAAGCGAAGCCATATTCATTGGGAGAAACACCATCACTTCTGGAGACGCCACTTTCTACGGCCGAGCAAAGCAAAGAAAATGATTTTCAGTAGGCTGTCTCCAACGAAGTGACTACTCCCAAGAGGCATGCGATGATCATCGGCCTTGAAACTGATGGATCCTTCACGTGTTCTTTAATTAAGGTATTCTGGTCACGTTGGGGAGATCCTACCTGCATCGGCCTGTCCGCTGTGTCACGCATGGAACAGGCTCAGTGTGCGGTCAAAGTTGAGCACCCACCATGGGTTTTGCCTCTTAGACATGCTCTTTAGTGGGCTTGCGTCTTTAAAACTAGGCCGATAGCTCAGTGCTGTCTGGCATCCCACAACTTTGCGTGCTATGCGCAAGCTAAACTATCACCAGATCATTCCACCGTGTCAAGAAAAAAAAAAAAAAAAAACTAAAAATAAAAAAAAATAAAATAAAAAAAACTCGAGCATTGCGCACGACAGCTAATCATGAACGAAGGACGAAGAAATTGCGCGCGCTCAAGGGGTAAAGATGAGAAATGGGTGCTGCCGCATTGGCCACTCGACTCAGCGCAAAAAGCACAAGACGTACATCATGGAGCAGCAATGATTTCCCTTTCACCATACATAGTCATCATGAAACAGCACAAAAGCTCATCACACACAACACTAATGATTCCCCCCTTCACCTTCCATAGCCAGTCTAATATCAATCAATTCAGTCTGAAAGTCGTGCCCCCACACACACCGGCTTGGATAAGGTACAGTCGTGCTGGGCCCTTCCATATTGCATCGAGGACCCATCCAAACCCAAAAATGGTGATCCTGTACTTGAAATGGAAAATATTTCAGGAAGCAGCGAAATCTTTACAAGGCTTTCAGTGACTGATAACCAACAATCACGAGTGAGAAGATAGGGCCAAGTTCGAATGGTGTTGTCTCTATGCAGGGTATCTCAGGATAAGTATACAATAATAACAGGACAAGGTCCTCTACCCATTTCCGCATATGCAAAATCTAAGCCTTCGATTGCTCTCGATCGTCCTGGCCCTGTGGCTCAGACTCTGCAGCGTGGTCCCACAAGAGGGCGTCCCAGGCACCAAGATCCGGCTTCGGGGCGGTATGTGCCTTGGCAACGGGCTTCGGGGCCTCTCCTTGATGCGGCTTTGACGCCCCTCCAGGCCCAGGCCGCGATTCTTTCGCAGGCCTACCCAATTTCTCATCTTCTGGTCGTGCCTCCCCGGCCGGTGATGGCTGTTCCTCTTGGAGCGGATGCCGGCGGATCTCCTCTTCAATATCTCGCAGTTCCTGCAGAGCAAAAGAGCCGTCTTCTTCTAGTTCACTCTCCCTCGTCTCAAGGATATCCGCCTTTTCTCGTTGATGCTGCTCCTGCTCCTTCTCTTGCTGCTCAATCGCCTCTTTTGTTAATTTGTTCTGCTCGACTGTCTGCTCCATCAGCTTGATCGCCTTGGCCTTGTCGCTGATGCGGGAGAATGCACGCATAGTCCAGTCGTCGCTCTTGAAGCCCGCAGCCTCGAGGCGCCGCATAGCCTCTACGGCCTGTTTTGTATTACCGAGCCTGGCATATCCTGTAGCGAGGGTATTCCAAGTGACGCGGTTGGGCTTCACCCCATGTAGTTGCATAAGTTTCAGGATGTGCTCGGCTTCTTTTGTCCGGCTGTTCGTCATGAAAGCCTTAATAAGAATGCTCCAGGTATGCACGCTAGGGTGAGGGTGGCGGATGGGAGATCTTGCCTCTCCACGGTAATTTTCTGTGTCGGACATGCCAGTATGTGGCCTCGAGTTTCCCCCAATCGTTACTCCTCGATCTATACCGGTGCCATCAGCGGAAGCGTCTGTGGTGTCTGTTTCCTGCTTCGCTAATGCCGAGTCGAAGGCGGAAACTGCTTCCTTTGTAGCCGGATTCAAGGACGTTTTTTTACTGGTCTGCGGCGAAGTTGCGTACAACGAGGCGGGGGCTGGCACAGCTGTGGCTTGAGCGGAATCCGGCATCATGTCTCTGGTTATATCCAGCATGATACGCAGCGTGCCTTTCCACTTGAGCAAGGCTCTGAGAACAATGTCATGGACAATGGATCCCTGCTCCTGGACAAGACTTTGCGCCACCGGATTCCCTTCTCTGAGCAGCGTTTTGAACTGGTCATAGAACAGAACAACATCGTAAGGCCTGGGAAGGTGTCGAACAAAACCCATGATCATAAGACTCAATGTCGAAGAGGTTGGCTGGATGACTTCTTTGGGGGGCAGAGGCGAAATCTCGTAGAAGGCCCCCTTCATTTTACTCGGAATGAATCCCCGCAGCTCCATGAACTCGCGGACGTCAGTCAAACGCGGCGTTATGAGAGTTTTCAGGGGCTCGGTGTTGAACAATCGCGAGAAGATTGCGTTCATCGGGCCCCAGACCATACATCTCGGCCGATTCCGTGCACCTGGGACGCGTGGCTCTTTCAAACAGGCGAGAAATGTGGCATGGATAATGTCATTCCAGACCACGGGATCTTGTATGCCAGCAGCACGAGCATCGTGTGCGAAGCGCAGCATTGCATCGAAATCTCCACATGCCTTGCAGCCGTTCATCATGACTGAGTAAGTGTGTCCATCGGGTTGCACACCGTGTTGCTTCATTACCTCGAAGACCTCTACCGCCGTGCGTAACTCCTTCTTGACGCAGAGGCTATGAATGATGGTTGTATAAGTGATGACGTTCGGTATCAATCCCAAATCGAGAAGAGAATGGAAGAGATCGGGAGGCGTCACTAATCTCTCGTCCGGTGCCTGCAAATCACCCTTCTCAAAGGTGAGTAAAGAGGTGCACAGACTTGTGCCAACAGGTGTGTTGATATCCAGTAACTTGTTCCCGCACAAATCCCGACAGATATCGAGTGACAGATCCTTCGTTGCTGACATCTTGGCGAAGCGACTCGCGAACTGAAGCAATGTGTATTTATGCAGCGGAACCTCATGCGCCATGAGCTGATGAAACCAATCTTCAAGTTGAGTTGATGGGAGGGCATCTAGAATAGAGTAAATGGCGTTCTGAGTTAGGCGGATATGACCCTTCTTGCCGATTTGAGAAGCTCGAACGGCCATATCGGCCAGATCCTGGGCACAGTTCTGCCTCATGCCAGAATCCATCTGTCTAAGATGATAGGCCAGAAATCCAAGGCTGTCTTCGATCATGTAAAAGGGCAGGTATGAGTCTGACATTAACGCTTGTAGCACCATTGCACCCTTTTCAGGAGCGCGTCGCAACGTAGTGTAAAGCAGAATCCTGTTCCTCGCCTTCTGTTTGTGGATAGGTGACGAGTAGTTGAGGAAAGACCTGATGGAGTCCACGCTATCAAGGGCGAGGACACCATTCAGCATCTGGCGTTCAGTGGATGACGGGTTTTTGCTCTCAGGGTTCAACACTTCTTGTAGTAATCTTTTCCATGAAATGAAGTCTGCGGATGGCTTCGCGAAGTTGCTCCGTTGTTTTTGGTTCATAAGTCGCAGGTACTCGAATTGACCCTTGTCTCTTCGGCCCAGAAGCACTGGAGCTGCTCGACGGTTTGAACTGACGTCGGCTTGCTGTGAGGGGTTTTCATTGACCTGCTGTCTTGCTGGTAGACCATGCGACGCCTGTGACTCTTCTTGCGCGACATGTTTGTGATGTACCACTTCGATGACACCGTCCAATGCCTCATCAACCGCCACAGCCTCGGTGTCTTCTTCCATTGGCTGCCATACTCGGTCAAGGGGTCGTTGTCCCGCCTCGATTTGGGACTTCGGAAAAGTCGTCGACACGTTTCTAAAGGCAAACAAAGGCGGCGAAGCAAGTTTTAAGAGCTCGTCAAGGCCTCGGGCACTCGGAGCCTCGGGAGAGCTGGCGGCTGGCGAATTACTGTCCGTGGTCCAAAATCGATCGGCGTCGCGGTGATCTTGAGCCACATGGTTCTCGTGATCCTTGCCGGAGCTGCTGCTATCGCCGGAAAGGCTTGTTGTATAGTTCATTTGCCAGCAGAGCTGAAGCGAAGGCTGGCGCCATTGTCGCTGCTGTGCAAGAGATCGCCATGGTTGCCCGAGACGCAGTGAGCAGTGGCGGCAAACGTACTGCATACTCCTCTGCGGGTCTTCGTTGCTGAACGCCGTCTACTCAACGGCAGTGTCCCTTTCATATCGTTGTCGTTGGTCGCAGCATGGCTCCGAAGCAGGGATCGGATGCCCAGTCTTGACAGATTGCTCGTTCGGAGAGTGGGTGTTGGCAGTCTGAGTTGGTGGGGGTTGATGCACGAAAAGGAATGCGACAGTTGCAAAGCTCCAAACTTTTTCCCTGATGTCGTCGTCCTGTCGCGCTAGTGCAGGCGCTCGGACCATCTGCCTGCCACCCCGTCGTCTGGAAGAGCCGATGATGATGGACATCTGGGGAATATCTCTTGGCGAGACCCTGGCAAAACACGCCCCTGCGGCTTAGAAGCATATTTGTTTCGTTTCCTTTGCCGATGGCTCATGTAGACTCGAACATATTGCCTTGGCTCAAAGATAGCCTAACCACACGTCCACTCGTCTTTGGGTCATCTACATAACACCGAAGCGCCTCCTGCACTCAGCTCTTGAATCCATCGAGGTTCTACGGAGTATGCAGGTGTCCCATCGATGCCACTAAAAAACTTCATGGTGTTATAAAATTTCGGGAGGACGCTGAACTAAATGAAGTTACCTGTTCGACACTCGCTAACTCTGTCGTGTATATGTAGCCTCTAGAGACGCACTCGGCCGATCGAACTGCAATCTTTCGGCCCAGCGTGCAGTCCCCGTCCACACATCGGACGTTGCTGCATGATTTGTTGTCCCAGGTGGTTAGATCGTTGTCATTTTCCCCCTGTGCTGAGCTCCAGTTAGCAAGTAATGCGAACCATCCTAGCAGGGACAGTGGATGATTATGGACTCTGTAATTAATTCGGGGTTGTGGCTACAAGACGTTGTCTCCAGACAACTAGGAACTACTCAGTGCTGATTACGGCTCGGATTCACCTTGATGTGTGTGTCGCGCGGCTCGGGGACGTGGCCGCGTCTCGAGGGCTTCTGGACTCACCAGCTGACTGCAGCTCGAACTTGACGTCCGCCGTCTTGCTTCTCCACAGCGGATGCGGAGAAATGGGAAGTGGACATCAGAACAATCTCAACTCTGTGTCTCTTCTGCGAAAAGTCCCTCAGCGATATTCCGCAGGCATGTTGTATGATTCTGAGATCCAATTGTGACATCACGAGACGTTTCTGAGAGGAGAATCAGGAAACCTGGCACTGAAGTCTGGTTTTCAAAACTTGAGCCGGGGCTCCTCACTAGAGTATGTCTAAGGTCCAACCAAGTTGTCGCCCCCCGTACGGGTGACAAGCTCCCATGGTTAAATGCTGTCCGGCATCTTCTCGCCCATAAGCTTGTCCTTATACTGAGCGGCGCCCTCCAAAGGTTTCTCCCACTTCTGTCTGTTCTTCGCGAAGCACTCCCATTCAGGCTCCCTGTTTTGAGCGTCATCACTCGTTAGCGAGGTTTGATGCAGTCAAGATTGGGACGTTATCAGTGACGCCGGTATATGCTGAGTGAACTCACGGAACAGTTGGATAGATTCCTAATTTGAGTATGATCATGCCTTCGAATAGTGGTGTCTGGCTGAAGATCGGACATCCGCATGTCCCGCAAAAGGCCCTGTTCAAGGGTGTCCCGCTCAATGTATCTGTGTCCTACATATTATTCAATGAGATTAGAGAGACTGCCCAGTCAATATTGACTTTATAATGAAGTCAAATCTATACCACAAAGACTTTGACGTTCTCCTTCCCATTCGGAAATTCGACCTTGCTTTCCTCAATCCGGAGATTAAAGCCAACTAGAGGGCAATAAGGGTAAGGATCAGTCTGCAGTTCTTGGAAATGTGACCTGTGAGACGGGCAAGCATACAGATCCCGCCAGCTACCTTACGACAATTGAAACAGTGGCAGAAGTAGCCACGGCGTTCGCCCGATAACAGCTTGTCGTCGGTCACGCGGACTTTAACCGCTATACGGTGAGGCCAGGCTGTCAATAGGTGCATCATTTTCTCAGAAACGCAGGCGTACCTTTGCAGAGACAGTCCCCTTCCATGTGGACGAGGGCCAGTGAGTAACAGAAACAGTGGGTCCGCGTATGTCCTTGTACAAAAGTTTAGTGAGTTGTGATCGACAACTCCGACTGGCAACGCAGGTGCGACAGCTTCATTAGGGGACACAACCTCTATTTGTAATGCCAACGAGACTGCCGAGAAATATTCAACCCAATAATGACGTAGGTAACATTGTTTCGAAAATCATTATCTGTACTTAGTAAGTACAAAGCCGTAACAGACAATCCGATTGAACAACATGGCAGTTGATCGAAAGCGGGGAATACGATGTATCGACTACATCGCTGACCTTTGGCCGGAGGGTGCCCAGAGAGGGGAACCATACCGGTGCAAGCTTTCCAGTGGCCCGACAGTGTAACGGGTTCATGAGAGGGGTTGGGGCTGGGCGTAATCATGTCAATCTTATGTCCGGGGTCGATAAGCTGGCCGGACTTGTGATCTTTCTTTCTATCACATACAATTCTTCCAAAGCAATATGGCCTCAGATTCGAGTGTATACGACCTTGTGGTGGTGGGAAGCGGCTTGTGAGCACTACCAAGTCCTCGTTCCAGTCTGCCTTACTGACTCCGCAATATTTAGTGCCGGTTCCATGACGACTCTTAATTTTCTAGAGGAATGCAAGCGACAGGATAAGAAAGGGACTGTGGCACTGATTGAGGCTGGCCAGGATGGGGAACGCTGTGGAGCATCCCGCTGGACGATGGCGTACCTCCGGCTCGACAAGGACAACCACTTTGACGACAAGTGGAAAGACGAGATGGCTCTTGTCAGCAATGGCCTCGCGGATCAGGACTACTGCCGCAAGATGGAGCAAGAAGTACCGGATACGGCGCAGTATCTTCTCGATCACGGAGTGAAGCTGAACCACTACGATGAACCAAACGTGCTATTGGAATTCAACACCAAACAGCACTTCGTGTCGCCCGAGGGAGGCGGTCACGCTATTATCAATGCCCTATTCAGCCACATCCGGAAATTTGACAATGTGAACATCATCTGGGAGACAATGGCCGAAAAATTGCTGACTACCGAGGAAGGCGAAGTATGTGGTGTGAAAGTGAGGAGACCGGATGGTAAATTGGCGAATATCCATGGGAAGCGGGTCATGCTTGCATGTGGCGGCTTTGAGGGCAACAAAGAACAGCCAGTTTTCACAAACCCCAACGTGCTGTGAGCATCAAATACTGACTCATCACAGACTCGCCCGCTATGTAGGCCCCCGAACCGAGCATCTCGAGCTCATCGCGCCAGGACTCAAGTACAACACGGGCCGAGGGCTCCAGATGGCCCTCGACGTAGGAGCGGCGACGGCAGGCTCCATGAGCGGCATGCACTGCGAACTAGTGGACGCGCGGGCGAGTAAGCCCGATGCCGTCATCTGGGGCCACAACTACGGTATCGTGGTGGACAGGGAGTGCCGACGCTTCTTCGATGAGGGCAGGCGGCACCTCTTCGCGACTTTTGAGATGATCGCGCTCGAGACGTGGCGTCATCATGACAGCAAAGCGTACTTTGTCACCGACGCGCCCATCATGGAGCGCTTCCGTCCCGGATGGGTTTATGAGACGACGGACAGGGAGCCTGAGCAGGCAGATACCGTCGAGGAGCTGGCTGTCAAGCTAGGGCTGGAGCCGCAGAAGCTGAAGGCCACTGTGGACGAGTTTAATGCTGCTGTGAACAGGGACAAACCATTCGACCTAATGGCGCTGGATGGGAAGGCTACTACGGGTTTGTCACTGAATAAGACGAACTGGGCGAATCCTGTCGAGACGCCGCCATTCTATGGTTATCCCCTGAAGCCGCAGCTTACGTTTACGTACGGCGGTCTCAAGTGTGATCTTGATTCGCGAGTGCTGGCTACGAATGATGCACCGATACCTAATTTGTATTGTGCGGGAGAGTTGTCGGGTCTTTGTAAGTCTCCCCCTTCTCAAATCCACGTTGGAGCAATTTTGTGATCCCAGTCACCGGGGAAAAGCCTTTGATTTTGATGCCAACATTATTTTCTATTAGTCTACAACGAGTACCCTCCCGCAACCTCAGTGCTTCGGTCTCTCACATTCGGGCGCCTTGCTGGCACAGCTGCCGCTCGGGAATTGTAAGGCGATATATGGTATGTACTTCTGGGAGGCTGAATCAGGACGGCGCATTATTTCGGAACACGAACAGTGTAACGAGGTACCACATCTTTGACAGTCCCGGAGCAAGTAGCATACTCATGCGATTCTAATCCTGTTCATTTGAAGCTTCATATGCATTATGTACATGCAGTATAAACCACACATCATCTTAGGCGCCTATCAGTTGGGATGTCTGCGAAGCATTACCTGCAAAATAAAATACGACACCACACCCGTAAAACACATCCCACTGATGACTCCAAATCCCATGAGGTACTTCGGCGCATCAGAGTCAGGAAACAAATATGCCCCATAAATCTGCGCCAGATTTCCCATCGCGTTAACGATGGCTAGGCTGATTCCCCTGACCTCATGGTTCATCGACCCAAAGGTTGTAGACGCATACGCCAAGGACAGCGCGTTGGACGCCCATAGCGCACTCGCCATGATGACAAGCAGGGCGTACCGCGCATGAAAGTTGTACACAGCGCACGTGACGATACTGCAGACCATGGCGACGGTCATCCAAATCGCCAGAGAAAGGCCGCGGTACTGTGGTACACGGTCCATGAAGATGCTGTTGAAGAAGGTGCATATGAACGCAGCAATGTAGATTGGCACGGTCATGTACTGCGTCACGGAGCCGGCGTAGCCGAGGCCCTGGACCAGGGTAGGGTAGAAATAGGAGAGGGTCGAGGAACCCACGATGGCCATGTAGCCGACGACAAAGACCCAGGTGCGCCAGTCCACGACGGCGCGCTTCAGGGCTTGCACGTGGCCGAGCTTCTCTTCATGGTCCTGGGTGTTTGGACGGGCGTACTGAAGGCGCTTGATTGCCAATTGGCGTTCGCTGTCTGTGAGACGCTTGTCGTTCTCGGGGAAGTCTAGGAGAAGGAAGGAGGCTACTAGGGAGAAGCCTGCTGTAGCGGAGCCTTCAACCTGTTGTGATAGGGTATCAGAATGCGGAGTCCATGTCCAAGTGCTTGTCTTGGCGGGTGATAGTACTTACGATAAACAACCACTTCCATCCAGGAAGTCCATGGGCGCCATCAAGTCCATCCTCAATAGCCCCTGCGATGAGCCCTCCAAAAGCTCCCGACAAAATAGCAGCCGAGATGTAAACGCCAAATCTTTTCGCCTGCTCGTTAGGTTTGTACCAGCTCGACAACGTAAGCAGCACACCAGGAGCGAACCCGGCCTCAAGCACGCCCACGACGATCCGCAGTCCGATGAGAGCCTTGTAGTTTGGAACCCAAGCCATGGCGATGGTGACACAGCCCCAGAGAAACATTATGGTCGGGAGGAAGACAGAGGGCTTCGTTCGGGCAAGAATCATGTTGGAAGGGACCTCGAAGACGACGTAACCCACGAAGAAGACTGTGAGGGCAATGCTGTATTTCGTGGAGTCCATGTCTAGGTCTTGGGTCATGCCGGCTGTTTTGGCGTTGCCGATGCTGGAGGCGACAGGCGTGATTAGTTCATGAGACTCAACCAACTGTGTGTAACTTGGATATTCTTCTTAGGCATACTCACTTTGTACGGTCCATGTACGACAGCAAGTACATCCCCCATATCGCAGGAAGGAGGTAAAGGTCAATCTTTCGAACCAGTTTGCGCTCCTCTGGGGTGTCTGGCACATATTCGTCGACCACTCCGAGTTGGTGAGGCTTGGGCAAATCGACGTAGGCATCTTCATCGTGTTGAGCGTCTGCCTTGCCCGTATTGGGATCCATGGTGCATGAGGCAAAAAAGGCCCAGACAACTTTCTTGATAGGTTGAATCAAGAGAATGACTTTGAGGCTGCTTGAATGTAGAAAATACAAAACAAAAAAGGGCCGAGTGACGCGAAGAGGAGAGACGAGGCTCGACGTCTTGTTTTAAAATTGGACTGACCGACTCGAGGCTGACACTGTTCCGTTCAAGTTTGTGACCACAACGGGAAGTGTTCAAAAGTGAAATAGATATACTAGTTCATCCAAGCATGGATCTGCACTGCAATGGTACAGTCAAGCTCAGGTCCTAGTATACCAAGCCTTCTAAGCTGGCTGGGCCTCGCTAGACTTCTACCCGACTGCCACTTGTGCAAGGTGGTTCGATCCCACGAGCTGTGCGTCAATCCTAGTGCCTTGCATTAACCCCTTGTTCGACTCGTCGTCATGATCCTGCAAATCTGTCAAATGAACGCCAGCCCCGGACAATTCCGGATGAGGCACCTCGGTCAGATGCCGGCCAAACCCCCAGAATCAGACTTCAACCTCCATCTGGGGCCCCGCGTCTCCACAGAACGCTTTTCAGTGGCTCCATATTGAACGAGCCCGGCTGAGCTCAATGCGGGCATCCCGTTCAATCACAGGGGCAGTTCCGGACAGCTCCGGGGATCCCCTGGTCAAGTTCAGGCGCAGCTTATGGACTTTTGGGATGCCCTCGAGACGCGGCCTGCACTCAAATGCCACTAAAACTTGTTTAGAACTACCTGTCGCAAAAGTTGGCCCGTAATCTATGACAGTGTCTTCATCTGTCCGATGAGAATATGTGAAGATAACCCCCAAGCCTCCAAAGCTACCAGATCTACTTTAAGAGACGAGGTCTTCTTCGTAATTTTCAGGTGAGGTCTCGCGTGACCACCACTGGGAGAAATTCGGCCACAGGTTATGCCCATGGCAGCCTTGAACTCGGCGCGCTCCATATGTCGGGCTGGCGGCGGAGTGGGCTTCCTTAAACCATGAGTACGTGACTTTAAATGCTGTAGCGAGCCTCTGTAGCACTTGAGAACAGATGGTTGGTCTGGTAGATTCGGAGCACATATCTGTTGCTGTCCCCGAATACTTCCAGAGTCCTGCAGTGTGACTTTATAATTTTTGTGTGTTCCAATGAAAATTTTAATTTTTTATTAATATTCTTCGCTTTTGATTTTCGGGCAGAGAAGTATATCAGATACTCTGTCTGGAATTGATGCTTCCGTGCGTGGAAGAAATGAGAATGTCGCTTCGAGGGAATTTAGGAGAATCTGCTTGCCTCAACCTAGGCAGCTAGAATACTTGATCGCAGAAGGATGACGAAATGCTCCACTTCTATTCCTTTCCCATTTTGGAATTTTCGAATTTAAGGTAATAGAATGATCGCATAGCTCAAGTCCTCTCAAAATGCCTTGGTAGCCCTCGACATTCCATCCAACCACTCATATAGAGCCCAGGCCCCCGGATCCGGCAACTCCTGCCCCTGTGCCTCCGCAACATATGTGGCTCGTCCAAACTTGGCTTTGAGGTACTTCGTCGCCTCGGCCTTCTCCTTCGCGACGCCCACAGCCCGGTGGAAATCCTTCGACCGCGCAAACTCGTCAGCAAAGGGAAGCAAAACATCCATCACTGTACGATCCCCCTCTCTCGCACCGGTGTGGGTCTTAAGAGATGTAACAGCTTGTTCAAGGGCTGTTGCAAACTTCTCAGAAACTTGGAGTGAGGAGTTTGAGTTGATGGACTGCTCCTTGAGAGCGGAAGCGAAGGCTGACAGGAGGATTCCTAGGATGGCACCTAGGGTACCGCCCATGTCGTCTACTGCGTCCGTTGTCGCGTTGAGGAAATCTAGCACTGAACCCTTACCCACTCCATTATTGTTGAGAATTTTTATTACAGCTGTTTGAGATTGTTAGGTTTAGACTGAGTCGACTTCAATACCCGGAATATTTCGGGTATACTTACACTCAGAGACTCCTTTCACGGCTTCACCGCAGTCGCCGTCTCCCACTACGCGCAATGATATTAGTGTATGGAATCCAAATTGGTTCAAAATAGTAAAAACTCACTTATCATATCCCATTTCGTCAAGTTAGGCTCTGCAGCAATTGCAGCCTCGCACGCTGACCGGATCACAGTGTCCAGTAACTTGGGATCCACTATTCATCAAATCAGCTTCACCCAGACTCCGAAAATTTGCAGCCCGCACTTACATATAATGTCTGCACCATCATTTGACTTGATCGTCCCTTTGTTTTGATGTGTAGGGTCCTGTTTGACCACGCTCTGATGCGGCTTAGGAGCGGTCAGGTTTGGCCATCCAACAGCAGTTGTAGGTGCATCTAGGAGTTCCAAAAGCTCGTCTACTGAAGTACCTGACCCTCTTGAGGCGGCAGAGAGGTTACAAAGTGATATGGAAAATCCGGGTGCATTGAGAGATGTCTCGAAAATGCCAGTGAGTGTCCTGACGGGCTTGATGTCCCATTTTGATGCTGAGGGGGGTGTTTTTGTTAATTACCGTGTTTGGGATCTGAAATTTAGTGATTTTTCTTATGGATATACTCACCAAGTTGTGTCGTTGTCTCATCCGTGAGAGCCCCAAGTTCCAAGTTCGACATGCCACCGTAGTTGTTGATTACAAGCACGGTCGAGTCGCCTTTCTCGAATGTGACAAAGTACCGTTCCTTATCCTCTGGGTCACAAAGAAGCTTGAGACAGTACTGAATAAGCTCTTCGACTGAAGGGAATGGCGAGAGTCTTTGAGCACCCTGTTTTGAAATCTCATCGTCAGCCAAATCGGGACTTCAGGGCTGCCTCAGCCATGGAGATTCGACCTACAGGCTCATTGTGAATACCAGCACCCACGATAGCAACGTCTTTAGGGATTGCCTCATTACCCTGACGACCTGGAACATGACAGTGATCTAGAGCAGATCCAATCGAGACGACTTCGGAGTTAACACTTCTTCCCAGTTTCACGGTTCTCTCGAAATCATAGTTTCTAGCAGCTGCAGCACCCGTGATCTTCATGGCTACAGAGTCAATTTTGTCAGAAAGTATCCTCAAATCTTTGTGTCACTATAATCAAACTTACGAACAATGTGCCCCGGCATTCCTCTTCTTCCCACAGCACCACATCGACTCCTCCCAATGCTAACATCATCCGCCAAATGAATCATAGCCACTTTCTTCGACAGACCCAGAGCCTTGGCTCTCTCAGCCGCAAGTCCAAAGTGAAGCTTGTCACCGGTATAATTAGTGATCATCAGTATATGACCTTGCTCAGACGGAGTAGCCTCGATCGCAGCCAGGACCTGTTTGGTGCTCGGCGAGGCAAAGATGTCACCGCAGGCTGCACCAGAAAGCGCGCCACTGCCAACATAGCCCGACCATCCTGGCTCGTGACCTGAGCCGCCGCCACTGATGATTGAGACGGCGGAAGGGTTGTGGTGCGGGTCATAGACTACGCGTTCCGACTCTATCAGGGCGAGATGGGGATTAGAGGCTGTCAATGCGCGGAGGTAACGGGGGACCAGAGTGTTTGCTGCGGTTTCGGGGAAGAAGTGCTTGTCCGACATGGTGACGAGATTGTGAAGCTTTAAGGTATATCGCCGGAAGGGAGTAGCTAATACGGGTTGAACCAGGCAGGCATTGCCGGAAGGCAAGTTATGGAGGGATGAGACTTGAAATTTATTGGAAAGCCGTATAGCGGAGCTTCTCAGTGAAAGATTTCTACGTTCATACCTGTGGCGTCTAAAGTCTAAATCGCATTCTGCCGGACAGTGTCACCCTAATCCTATCATCGTGACGAAGGTTGGTTGCAATGTTGGGTGGAGAGCCCATAAAACACTCGAGACGAAACCTGCAAATTTGAGAGTGTTCGTTCACCCCAGTGGAGTTAGCCGGCGAGCAGCACCTTACAAACTACCATGAATGCAGTGTTGAAAATCGTGTGCATTGACCGCGTCTCGAGGTCAACACACGCAAATTGCTCCACCGGCACAGCTTCCCGACTACTATGAGCAGCACGAGCCATGAAACTCAATTATTGGTACCAAAAGACCGACCCATGGATTTAGAAGAACATACTGTACTTTTCGGCCGCCATATTAGAGTCGAACGCATTTGACGAACCCCAGCGAACTTTGAGTTGACCTTGAGATACCGATCACAGCAAGCCAAAACCGGACGTTTTGAGCGCAATCCGGCATACCTCCAAGTCTGCTTATCACTCCCGCACTCGCACAATCATGACTGATTTTCGTATTGCTATCGGCGGAGACGACGCCGGCTTCGCATATAAGGAAACTCTCATCAAGGACCTGAACGCCGATGAGCGAGTAAGCGAGGTCATCGACGTCGGCCCCAATTCAGCGTCAGACAAGACGGCGTATCCCCATTTCGCAATCGCAGCTGCTGAGATGGTCGCACAGGGAAAGGCAGACCGCGCTCGTAAGGACTTTCCACTCCCATACACTTCTCTGAAACAAATCATGGGAAACCTGCGTATTTGTATTTGGTGGGCCGTTCATTGACGGTGAACGATTGATAGTCTTAATATGCGGAACTGGCCTAGGTGTCGCCATTTCCGCCAACAAGGTCAAGGGCATTCGGGCTGTCACCGCCCACGACAGCTTCAGCGTGGAGAGGTCGGTACTCAGCAACGATTCGCAGGTTCTCTGTCTAGGTGCTAGGGTTATCGGGATCGAGCTGGCTAGGAGGCTGGCTAAGGAGTGGTTGGGATATACCTTCGACCCGGTGAGTTCGATCATGCCCGACTCCCTCATACGACGAGTAGACTAACTGTGTCCAGACGTCTGCTTCTGCAGCAAAGGTGCAGTGCATTATAGATTATGACAACAAGAACAATGCACCAGCGGTGGCCACAGCTTAGAAGGCTAGAGTGGATATAAGTACTAAAAGCAGGGCAGACAGGGGCCAAGGTCAACAGTCTGAACAACCTGGTTGTCTAATGAACCGTAAAACTATCCAAGTACCCCAAAGCCTCGCGTAACTTATCCACGCCCTAATATGAATGGCCGTTGTTACCAATTCGTGTTCCACAAAGCTCGGTCTCGATTATCTGTAATAGTTCCGTGTCAAATGGATGTTGTCATAAATGGCTTTCTAAGTCGGGTGTCTGCAGAGGTGAATTCTTAGGACAAAAAGAAACTAAGAATTTAATCATGACACATCATGTTTGTTTCAGAGTCAAATGAGAGATTCGCGGCAGCCTGCTAGATCAGAGTTCCGTCTGAGGTGCTATCTAGGTGTCTTGTGATGGGGTCGTAGACATTCCTCCCCGTCAGGAGGATTCAAATCCGCGATACTTTATGCTTGGATTCCGTCGCTACACTTCATAGTCTGGGAGAAGACTTAGAGGAATAGATAGGAGTTCTAGATCTCCCTTCTCCGTCCCTAATCTACTCAGACATAGTAATTCTGCTTGAGGTTACGGGACAATGATGTGTACACTGGCTTGCTGCCGGATTATATAGTCGTCATTTGGAACAGCTTCACCCAAGTCCAATCCCAGATGCTGAATACTGATTGTAATGACGGAGGCTGCTATTGCATCTGATTTGAGTCGATGCGCAGGGAAACCTCGTCGTAAGCTTTCAAAGAGTATCATATTATTCTTCAGTCATGCTTGATGGTTTACCGACACATTGTACAACATAAATTTAGGTATCGTGGCCTTCAGAAACGTACACACAACCGTGTCATGTTTGTACTACAGTCTGAACGTCCTGCCGATTGCTGTCAAGTGGCCGCGAGACGCGGTCAAAATTTTACAGCGGTTCGCCTTGCTTTGCCAGGGGGAGTTGAGGGGAAGTGGACCCAGGCTCTAATGGGACTCCGGATTTTCCCCAGCTCGCCAGAGCAGACCCACTGAATCCCCGCAGCCTACTGCATGGCTTTGCTCACAGTGGACATTACCATGCACTGCATGCGTAAGACCGCCGCGACTCAGGACGCGAGCTCAGGCACCCTTTTTTCGAACAGGGCGTTCACCCTCGAGCCGCGTGGTGTCCTCGTTCGTTGCATCCCGTGCGTCCTGTCCGCTTTACCGGGCCCGAACCACCGCTGGTGATTGCCGAGTGCTACCTGCAGGATGCAAGGCCTGGAGAATTCTGGGATCAAGAAACGGACCCGCAAGCCTCGTGGGAAGGGATTGAGAACGGCGACTGGCTGGTGAGTGCAATGTAACATCACCTATTGTCCCTGCGTAGCTTCGAGAAGTCTAGTCTACCGAAGCGCGTCAACGACTATGTTCCTTCGTTTCATGTGATGACTGTGCTGAACGAAGGCATCAAGCTGACTTATAAAGCCTAACATGCCGGAAGAGACACAAAAAATGTGATGAGCAGCGGCCGGTGTGTGGGCCTTGTTCCATATCTAGCAGGGAGTGTCTCTATGCTAGTGTTGGGACACGCTCCAGCACTGGTTCCAATGGACTCGCTCAGCCGGCGCAAAGAAGGCCATCAACGGGAACAAGCCACCGTCGGATCTTGCCTGGTCGACATGAAGCCATAGTCACGGATGATGGCTCGCCTAGCTTAACGCACACTACAGCCTCACTCGATGGAGTGTCCTTGCAGTCTGACCGAGCACAACATGTGTCTCCAGCACACGTACATGCCGGCCTTGAGGAGCCTGGCAATGAGTCAACCACCACTGGACTTGAAGAACTCGGAGGACATGTGAGCTTTGACGACGCCAGCCACATCCCAAATGTCTACAACACCCCAGACACCATAATCTCTGAGTTCCTCACTACCAATCTTGCATCAACACGATGGCTCGACTTATTGGCGACGGACGCCGCCCAGGCAGATAAAGGCTTTTCTTTGCCACCAACAAGGCATCCAACTCCAATACCAGGCGATCTCAACTTTGAATACAGTGCTGCCCACCTAGACCTGCGGGAATCAAACGCAACTGTGTCACAGGTCCAGGTCCAGGCACCGGCACAGACAGGGCTAATTGAATCGAGAAGTATCGAGCTTACGAGACTGACCCAGGTCGTCCAAGATGGGGTTGCAAGTATCGCGAATGAACGACACGCATGGCAGCTCGAGTTGAATATATGTCTCCAAGACCACGAAGCCGAGCTGTTTCGCATGTTCACTGAGCGTGCTGCACAGTGGCTGGATCTGTTCGACCCTTTAAAGCATTTTTCCACGCACGCGACGAGGCTGGCAGTACGTCTAGATACAAGCAGACCGTTTCTATCTACAATGAAAGGCATTTTCTTTCTAACCTTGGTCCTTGAAATAATTAGTTACGCAATCTGGGCCTCATGAAAGCCATCCTAGCCCTGACATCCCGTCACGCCATAGCTCGGACCGCCCAAGCAACGACATCCCCAGGCAACATGCAGCTAGAAGCCAACATCCCGATTCAATACTACTACGAAGCCCTTCACTATATTCAACAAGCCCTCCAGTACACCTCCTACACCCGTTCCGAGGAGCTTCTAGCTACCGTGATAATAATATCTACCTACGAAATGCTCGATGATTCTAACAGTAATTGGAAGCGCCACCTCAAGGGCGTCTTTTGGATCCAGCGCTCGCAGGATGTCAACGGCGCCTCCGGAGGCCTAAGGCAGGCCGTCTGGTGGGCGTGGTTGAGACAGGATATGTGGGCTGCATTTAGAGAGCGGAGGGCTTGTTTCAGTTTCTGGAAGCCTCTCAAAGACGTGGAAGAGTTGGGACAGGACGAGCTGGCCGATAGGGTGGTCTATTTGTTGTCTCAGGCAGTGAACTACTGTGCGCATTCTACGTCGGCGTCGATGACCGTGACTGACAAGATTCACTTGGGTGAGGCGCTGCTAGCCGCGCTGGAACGGTGGAAGAGCTTCCTTGGTCCCGAATACTGCCCACTTCCCAGCCGACCCGCTCGCGCTGGATCTGTCTTCAAGCCAATCTGGATCCACCCACCACCATTCGCGGTGGCCATGCAGGTTTATCACTTCGCCCGGATTCTCGTCACGCTGCACCTCCCAGCCGTTGGTGCCGCTGGGTTTCAAGGTTACCTGAAGACGCAACGGGTACTGTCAGAGGCAGTGGATGGAATATGTGGTATTGCATTGGAGCTGAGGGACGAGGGCTGCCAGATCCTCTCGGCGCAGTGTCTCTTCGGGGCTGGACTCTGCACACAGGATGAGGGAAAGAGGGAGGTTATCCTGGACCTGATTGGGCATTGTGAAGGGCGGACTGGGTGGCCTATGGCCGGTTTAATTGAGGACTTGAGGGGGGAGTGGGCAAAGGTGGGCTGATGCGTCTTTGAAATGAGTATTTATAATGACTGACATTGCTATGTTAACTGCATACATATGCAGATGATGGTGTCATATTTTAGAGCTCCACATGACATGGACATCAAATGCGATGTTATTGATGCTTTACTCGGACAATATCTACGCGGTCAATACCATGATATCCACATTAAACGCTTTCCCTATTCGAACGTTCCTGCCTTGCAACTAAGGCACGTGTGTCCCTAATGGGGCTCTAGAGTATGCCTACCTGTGGACAAAGGCGGAACTGTGGAGAAAGGACTATCCAGTCTCTTGAGAGACAATCGCCGCCTCGGTCCCCTTTGATAAGCACTGCGTAGACCGCTGTCAGTCTTTCATGTCTCGGCTCAAGCTCTGTGTAGGGGTGGCCAAGTTCTGAGAGGAATTCCCGAGACTCACCTCCGGGACAACTTCTCTGCTTGCTCAGCGCATGTCGAAAGGGGAGGTAAATATCTACTTGCAATGCTTGGTCGTCGACTACTCTGAAAGTCGGAATAAGCGAAGCCTCCAGCTCCAGGTCAGCCATGATTGTTTCACATGAGGTATGAAGACAAGGGGAGGATGTCAGAGGTCGATAAGATCAAGTGTTTCTGTTGATAATTCATAGTAAAAAGTTGAACTTCACGGCGCGTGAACTCTCTTCATATCATAGCCTGTTCCCAGACAGCAAGGCTATTTACTCTTTCGGTCCTACGGGCGCATATGTACTTCTCATATAATTTATCTTGCAAATTAATACTTTGCTAAGTGATGATAGGAGAATTGGTATCCAGCATTCTCCCCAGGCAACACACAAGGACGCTGCATTGCTCTCCAGAAATCAAAGTCCACCACGGTTGGCAGAAGTCTGCTTTCTCTACCATAAGTCCGCCGTATTCTGGCTACTTGAAATGAAATGGTTTATTCAGATGTATCTACTCATAAAGAGTTGTATTTGCTAGGCTTGCGAACAGCGCTTGAAAGTTGAGACCATGTGTACGGCACTTAGGCTTTGCGACGTCCTCTAGCTCTGGACAAGACGAGGCAGACCTCTCCAAGAGCATCAAATAGTCAGCAGCATACAATAAATGTGACGGAACTGAATGAAATTTGTTTTTCGCGATGACTCTGCGCGACAACCCCACGGTACCTGTAATGACATGACGTTCAAGCCTGGTGGAGTGTCTGCAGGCCAGTGCCACCGAACAAGAGTCGAGCCTGTCAAAGAGCACCACGGGCTTCCTTTTAGTACATCTGCTGCTTCTTATGTAGTCCAATAGAAAGGGAAATTGTAAATGAATCAGCTGCGCTGCTGCGTTGGTGTTCAAAATTGGCAACGGCTGATCAAGCACATCAGGTGACCCTGGCAATCGATAAGTAGATGCTAAGTGTCTTTTTTGCCATCAGTTCTTTGTGAAGAAGCATCAAAATAAATTCAAACAAGAAGGCCTAAGTGAATGCATATGTAGTGTCTTCTTCTTCTGCTGTAGCTGCGCCTTGTGGGATGTCATTATGATGCTTCAAACACATGCATATGACGAGACAGAAGTCTTGTGCACTGGCTGATACCTTGGGAAATTTTTAGGTGAGAATCGATAATCAACTACATTTACTCGCAATCGACAAGTTCATCCCAGGAAAAACGTCTTTGCTGGTGCACAATAGAAACAGAAGTAAATCTTCACCTGTCAAGCAAAAGGGGGTTTCCACAGTGGTTCGATACTGTGCACATATGTCGAACGACAGGCAAAATTCGTGCTAGGTTGTGAGCGAATAAGCTACTGGGGATTATGACCGAATTCCCCGCTATGGATGAAATGAAGCGACTGGGCAGATATGATGGGTACTAGATATCACCTGATTTGCCTATTCTGGCGCATCCTTCGACGCGACGTGTGCAGGCCACTGACCAACACGTACAATTGTGGTTTAGCGCGCTCAAAATCCGAATACTGGGGACCCGAACACGAATACGCTCCACTCTCACTCTGTATTGATTGACCTCAGTCCCTACTTTCTATAACTCCCTTCGTTTGTCTACGAATGGATCGCTTTTTTTTCTTTGTGAATGTCAATCAATGTTCTCGAATCATTTGGGATCCATTGGTCATCCAAAATGGGGTCGAAACATCTCGCCCTCGATTTCCCCGGAACAATATCACTGAATGGTGCCTTGTGGCTCGCAGTGTATGGGTTGCTGCTAGCCATCGCGCTCAATGTTCTACGCCAACTCCTTCCTCGAAACAAATCAGAGCCTCCCGTGGTTTTCCATTGGTTCCCATTCATCGGAAGTGCAATTTCATATGGAACTGACCCCTGCAAATTCTATCAACAATGTCGAAAACAGGTACGTTTTGTGCTATCTGAAGCAGCTGCAGATCTATACTAACCCGTATGCTACAAAGCATGGCGACATTTTCACCTTCATCTTGTTAGGGAAGAAGATGACTGTCTACCTCGGACTTGAAGGGAATGAATTCATTCTCAACGGAAAGCTCGAAAACCTCAATGCCGAAGAGATTTACTCCCCCCTTACTACCCCGGTTTTCGGTCGGGACATCATCTACGACTGCCCAAACGCGAAGCTGATGGAGCAAAAGAAATTCGTCAAATTTGGACTCACACAACATGCTTTGGAAACATATTGCCCATTGATTGAAAAGGAGGTCGTGGATTTTGTCAAAGCTTCTCCTGCCTTCAAAGGTCGTTCCGGAACCGTTGATATACCAAGCACCATGGCGGAGATCACCATATTCACCGCGAGCCGAACCCTCCAAGGAGCAGATGTACGGAAGAAGTTGACTGGAGAGTTTGCAGAGCTCTATAACGACCTTGACTTGGGCTTCAGACCTCTCAACTTTCTGCTGCCATGGGCACCTCTACCAAACAACAAACGACGAGACGCCGCGAGAATCAAAATGGAGGCTGTCTACAAGGACATAATCAACGAACGCCGAAGATCTACCCACAAAGCTGAGGACAAGGAGCCCGACATGATCTGGCACTTGATGAGCTGCGCCTACAAGAACGGACAACCGGTTCCCGACGAGGAGATAGCTGGCATGATGATTACGCTTCTGATGGCAGGGCAGCACTCGTCGTCTTCCAGCAGCTCATGGATTATGCTTCGCCTGGCCTCGCGTCCCGACATTGTGGAAGAGCTCTACCAGGAGCAGGTTCAAAACCTTGGCTACGACGGGTCCCAACCATTTCAGTACTCGGACATCGACAAACTCCCTCTGCTTCAAAATGTCATCAAGGAGACACTGCGGGTTCACTCCTCCATCCACTCCATCATGCGAAAGGTTATGAAGCCGTTGGCAGTACCAAAAACAGACTACGTTGTCACACCGGACCATGTCATGGTGGCTTCGCCCATAGTCTCGCACATGAGCGAGGAAAACTTCCCCAATGCACATGTCTGGGACCCGCACCGTTGGGAAACCCGAGTGGAGGAGGTAGACACAGATGAAGGCATGGTTGACTATGGCTATGGGGCGGTGAGCAAGGGAATCAAAAGCCCGTACTTGCCGTTTGGCGTGGGACGGCACCGTTGCATTGGCGAAAAATTCGCCTATGTCAATCTATGCACCATCATTGGTACCTTTGTCCGGAACTTCAAGTTCAGCACTCTTGACGGCAAGTGCCATGTCCCGCCAACGGATTACGCGTCGCTCTTCTCCCGGCCGGAGGCTCCCGCGGCGATTCGCTGGGAGCGACGATTCCCGTGACGGACTCCCGTTTAGGGGTTATTTCCTGCACGACTGCAGGCTATGAACGAGTTCCAGATTAATGTGTTGTTATGTTTGAGATGCCAGAAATAGATCATAGTACTAATAATAGACTGAACTTGCTGATAGATTTATTCTGTCGTTTCGTATTCGATTCAGTGCAGCTGATCATCATTTACTTCGAAACGCACAGAAACTGTCTACCCTACAAAGTCATATCTAATGCGCCATCTCGGCTCTCGTCACCGCCAGGACTTCTGTCTCAATCTACTACACACCTAACGCCCCGTTCATTAAGTACTGCAGCTACCACATGTGTCTTCCTAATTCGTACTACACTACGACTACACAAGCCGCCAAAGGGACCAATACCACCCAGTAGAGCCAGAATCTCGGCGGGCCTGCCGATGACAAGTCTATTGAATCGTAAAAGTTGAAGAGGGTAATAGCTAGGGTGAACTGTTCAAGGCCCAGTGAATATATAGAACGACGGTTGCACGCAACGTGGGATGAACTCTTCACTGAAAGATGGTGCCTCACCTTTTCAAGCCTTGCGCCAATCATAAGCGCCATAGAAGAATATTGACTGTGGAACTGAGGAATGACTGTAGCATATTGACGTATCCGATGGACACACTCTCGCCCTCAAAGGTTGTACTTGGTCGGGTACGACCATAAATATTAAATACGTAGCTGGTTCTTATTACAATATATCAGACCTCAATCATCTTTCTCTTCGTCATCTCCCAAGCCGTTTCCCATGATCACTAGTACATATTGCCCATCGAGCTGCGGTAGACCCTCAGCGCTGATGGTATTTGCAGACCAGCTCAGTTTCTGCTTCTCTAGAGCCGAAAATCTCTCCGTTGAGGTGGCGTTCAGGGCACGCCTTGCAACAATGAGCTGTTGTGGCTTTCGATCAGGTGCTTTGGCGGCGAGCATTTCTGTGTTGACTGGAATGGAATTTTCGTTTCAGTGATTGTTGTCTCTAAAGATATCTCCGACAGGAGTTTGCATACTTACAAGGGAAGCTGACAGTGGCCGACAGGCCGCTGGATGATGTTGCTGTCGTATTGATGACCCAGGAAAAGGAATCTGTAGCATGATTGTCAGTTAAATCTTCATACAGACATGTGGCCATTCCCTGAGCAAAACTCACTGAGAGGCATGGTATTTTCTGGCAATGCAGCCTGATCGACTCCGTTGGGAATATCGACATTTAAAGCGAACGGTGCCGCTGCAGCCACACTGAACCGCAGGCCATCAACAAATTCCGCCTCTTGAATGCCAGCTCCTCCAGTGACGTTGACCGTCCGTGTAGCGCCCTGTCCGTATTGAACAAATATGTTGGAGTTATCTACAGACTTGCGGCCCAGCAGCATGTATTCACCGTCTAATGATGTCAGCTTGATTATCCGGGTCTTGTTTTCCGACCTAAGAGAAAATTAGCCACTCTGTCCTCTGCAGTGCTTCAGACCGACGTACACGTGGACATTTCTTTGGTTCTCTGAGATCACCCAGGCCTTGCCGTCGGGTGCTAGTTTGCCAACGAAAGTATTGGAAACGTCGAAGCCTTCCTTTTGTAGGGCAACGGGGTCGTATGGCAGTTCAATCTTAGCAATGAGGTCTTGAGCCGTCTCGTTCATCTTGACGATCCAACTGTACGTTGAGAGGCTGGTGAACCCTTCTCCGGAAGATCCTTTGACAAAGTTCCCTGGCAGGGGTGAGGTATTGTTTGTGACAACAAGTGTTCGGTTGGTGGGAGAGAACAAGTCGAGGGCAAGACCATCTTTGAAATCTTGGTCTGTTCGAGCCATCTGTGTTTCGCAGGATTAGCATTATTGACGCGCATATAGCACCCTTTGCGAAGACATAGCTGAAAAGCACTGCTTGGTAGACCAACCTGACCGAGGACTTGAATAGTGTCCCCGAAGTTTGCCAAAGGATCATCTTGAGCTTGCGCGGACCAAGTGAAGATGCCTAGAATGAGGCAGACGACGAGGTACACACGATATAGATTCGGGTAGGCCATGGAGATTGATGATAAAAATGCGTCGGCCCGAGCTGAAGGTTGATGTTGCGATGTTGTATTGCTCACACAAAAACCACATCAACGGGCCGGGTCTCAACTTTAATGAATCTCCTCTACAAAATGAGGAGTTCTGCATTTCAGCCTAGTCGTACATTCCGAGACAGATGATAGCTTCATCTTCCACTAGCCACAGCATGCAGTTCTCCAGGCACGCCAAATTGAGGTGTGCTAGGGAGGCGTTCTGCCCACAGGGGTAATTTGGCCATCTTGGTTTCAACCACCACGGCGATGGTGTGCACAGACTGCTGACACATGACAGGTCCTTCAACCTGGCGAAGCTTAATTATGTGCAATAGGCGACCGTCTGATGAGTTCGAGTCTGGGGAACTGGTGTCCCTTGAAAAGGAAGAACAAATTGCCGAACTAGTCGTCTGAGGTCCCTAAAGATAGATTTTGGTCAGGGAGCGTGCGGCACGGATCACGGAAATCGTCTCGTCGCGGACAGAAATGAACCGTGCAGATCCTGAGTAGCTTGGAAACAAAGCTTAGGCTAACTTGACACATCCACGCTCCCACATATTTTGAGCTGACTAGGTTGTCGTTGGCAGGGGACCCCAGTCAACGAATCATGTAAGTCGTAGCGCACCGCACCGCGCGGTAGAGGAGAGAGATACAGGAGGCAGAACTCCTTGATCAATGCCATCGGAGACTTTGCATTCTCCCTAGACCCTTACACCAAAACCTGAAGCTTCCTACGGAAACATCAAATCTTCTTAGATCCTCTAATCTGTGGCACCAGACCACCGTCGTTGATCCTTCATAGAGGATGAAGTCACATACTCGACGAAGGCGTCCTCCCCCTCCTCTTGACCTTCGAGATACCTACGACGAAGGCATCGAGCAAGTCGATAGAGTAACGCCGACTTTCCAGACACCGACGCCTGTACAGGCACTTACACCCGTCCGAGCATCGACACCCGTCCGCGCATCGACAACCGTCCGGACAACTGCGACGCCTACACAAATACTGCAAACAAGAACAACCACCACGACTTCCACAAGCCCAACGATCACAGTCACTAGCAGTCGGTACGTGATTCTTGAAGAACAAGGCTGGGTCCCCTGATGCTAAGAGAACATGTGCTTTGCCAGACTACTCACCCAAACACCAAGTCCAACTGTCACGGCGACAGCTTTCATCAGTGCCCAAGCTCCGACCCAAACAGTCACAGTCACAGCAGGTTTGGAGTCAGTGACCTTGGGCAACGGCAGCTCAACATCCACCAGCACAGCAGAGACAGCTGTAGCCACCAAAGGAGCACAAAATGGCCTTGTGCTCTCGTCCACGGCGGTGGGAGTCATTTCTGGCTTCGGGGCTCTGGCAGCGGTCTCAGTTGTGACATCACTCGGCATTGTTCTGCTGAAGCGACGGCGGAAGTTAGAGAAGACCTAGAAACCATAGATTCAAGTACAAAGGCCACGTCAGCATTGGACCTAGAGCATAGATTTAGACACTTGGCTAATCAATTCCACGCCAATTTCAACCTTATAAAGACGAGGTTCCTATCGAACAAATCAAGTTGTGCCATAAGGAGTTCCCCAGAAGCTTGAGCGTGAATTTCCGCGTATTCGGGAGCTCGCAATGGGGGAGGCGGCTGCCAAATTGACTCTACAGCTTCGTCTGTGCCCGATTTAGAACGGAACCAGATGTGTTCGGGATCTCATCCGTAGCGCTGTTCTAGCTGAACGTTAAGTTTTAGCTTCAACGAGTCAGCGCCGTCAAGCAAACATGAGCAGACTCATCCTCAAACAGTTGCTGGCTCGATATCTCGGCGGCAACGGCGATGTCTCGTATTTCCGAACACCCGAGGTCATAATAGTTAGCTACTTTAGCTCCCAGCTTATCTAGCCCTGCGTGCAAACAAGAATACTGAGAGACAGTACCCGCCCGCTGTATGTTTCACATGCTTCTCTGCGAAGTGTTGATGAAACAACAAGGAAACGGCAGGGGTAGGCCGGCAGTGGACACGAGCAGAAGAGATAAAGCCTTGTGTTGTTCGATAATCTAATTATATCATGATACCTACTGCTCTGATTAGCTCTCCATGAATAATGGTGTCTAAGGTTCAATACCCAGCCATGGCCTCCAGATAGTGAAAGCCAGCTCGAGTCCCCGACGGGAGTCTGCGCCCATCGTGCTGCTATCGACCAAGTAGCAACTACTCTCCACTCGTCATGATAACGACCAACGACAGGCCTGCCGACCGCCGGCGGTTCACGACTCTCGAAGGGTGGCGCGAAGTTGGTCGTGGTGTATACCTCGCCGCAGGGTCGACCGTCTCATCCGTAGCATTCGAACCGAACCAAGTTCCACGATATGACTCAGAATGGGGGCGATTCGATGACAATGAGTCTATCAAGACAAGACTATCCAGGCCGGAGGAGCAGAGACGGGCTTCCTCTCTGGCCCCGAGCAGCCTTAGGAGATTCTCTTCGCGGTCTCTTGCCAACCCTTTCATCTCCCCCGAGGAAGTGGAAGAGGAACAATCATTTGCTGGCAGCAATCCACAGGATGAGATCGTCGAGGCTGAGCAACGGCCACGTTCAGAACAACCGTTCCATATCTTCAGCAAGAAACAAAAATGGGTAGTCGTCGCTATCATCGGAGTTGCTGGTCTCTTTTCGGGCTTGTCATCAAACATCTACTTCCCATCTTTGGATGCTATTGCCCAAGTAAAGTGTTCCCTACAATGAACACCCATGAGCCAACGTTTTAGTACAACTAACATCATCTTCAGGACCTTCGTGTCAGTCTCACAGATGTATCGTTAACCATCACCTCCTACCTCGTCATCCAGGGCATCTCTCCGCTTTTTTGGGGTCCACTGTCTGATACACTGGGGCGGAGACCAATCTACATCGCCTCATTCTCTGTTTACATTCTTGCCAATATCATCCTCAGCTTCTCACCCAACTTCCCCGTCCTGTTAGTTGCCCGTGGTCTCCAGTCTGCAGGGAGTGCCTCAACTGTTAGCATTGGTACGTATCCGCGAGGAAGAGGTAATACCTATCATCTTAGCTGACTGAAAACTTGGGAGATAGGCAATGGGGTCATTCAAGACATTGCTACACCATTAGAGAGGGGCAGCTTCATCGGTTTCTACCAGGCCAGTAGGTTTCTCTTTAACACCACTAGATGTTTAAACGGACACTAGGTCACTAATTTCTACAGTCCGAAACTTCAGTATTGCCGTTGGGCCGGTTATAGGGGGACTTCTGGCCAACTTTCTTGGATTCCGGTGAGCAATTCAACCACAACCCAGTCCTTTGTCTCGTGACTGGAACTCGCTGACAATAACTGCGCGATAGCTCTATCTTCGTCTTTCTCACCATCCTCTCCGGCCTGGTCTTGATCATGCTTCTCATCTACTTGCCCGAGACGCTCCGTACGATCGCTGGCAACGGCTCATTGAGGCTCTCAGGTGTCTATCAACCACTCATTCGCAGAATTTTGAAGGAGCCTAAGTACATGGAAGACCCGGGAGAGAAACCAGAAGTTGAAAAGGTCACTTTGAAGACTTTTATAGCGCCCCTGAAGCTGCTTGCGCAGAAGGACATTTTGGCCCTCTTGGTATCGGGTGGAATGGTGTACACCATATGGAGCATGGTAGTGGCGAGCACGACAGGCATTTTTAAAGAGCGATTCGTGTTGAACGAGCTCATGCTGGGCCTGGCATTCCTTCCTAACGGTGAGTTGTGCCGCGGACCCGAGCGTCGTTGATCCACTTCACGCCGAACTGGGCAGCAAATCTGACATTTATTGTTACGCAGGCTTCGGTACCATCGTGGGCTCCTACATCGCCGGTAAGCTGATGACACGAGACTTCATCCGCTACGAACAGCAATACCTTGAGACCCACCCGGGCGCCCCGGCTCCATCTAAGTCAAAGAAGTCTTTGGCCCCCGACTTTCCCATGTACGTAATGAACCATCCATTCGGCCCGCGATCAACGCGATCATTCTGCGGCAACGACCTTTCCCCCCTTCTCCAAAATTTATACATCACCTACTCGATAGTAACCTCAATTTTGCAATAGTGAACACGCCAGGCTTGGCTATATGCCCTGGATTACTCTTATTTTTGTCATTTCCACGGCGATATACGGCTTCACAGTCTTGCCCACCGACTTGCTTCCACCCCAGGCTGCACACCCAGCCTGGATTGCCTTACCGCTCTTCCTCCAATTTCTGATAGCCGCGACGTCCAATGCCGTGTTCGCTATTAATACAACACTTGTGTCTGATCTCTGCCCAGGCAAGGGAGCGAGTTCTACAGCTATTAACAATCTGATGAGATGCAGCATGGCGGCAGTCGGTGTTGGAGTAGTGGAGTCGATGCTTGCACTTGTGGGCCGCGCTGGGACATTCGTGGCGCTGGCGTTTCTTGTGCTATCTATGTCCGTATTAAACGCTGTAGAGTGGTATTGGGGGATGCAATGGAGGAACGAAAGGGAGATGAAGAAGAACATAGAGAAAGTATAGAGGTTTGCTGGAGAAAGACATAGAAAGAGTATAGACATTTGCTAGATTTGGGCCATTCGCCTATGCTACTTCTATACAACCGTCACCGTGGTTGCTTTGACTCACAGAATCGATGTTTCCAGCATTCTTGTAAACTACTCCTTTTTTTCTCCAGTCGTATTTTCCTCGCTCACACTTGCACCTGGCGTCACCTGATCCACTGGACTATCTCTAACATGCATTCCTTCCAAAATGTGGTTGGGAACCACCGCGCCCTCCTCTCGATGGTCATAATTAGTATCCTTGATATGATAGACACCGAGGTAGTAAAAGCTACATATGCCGATGAGGTAGAACAATAGGATACCGCCTGCCTCAGCAATAAATGGGATTTTTATGGAATCTAGGCCAAAGCAGATAGCCTCTCCAGCACCCAGAACCCCACGAAATACGCCAACGTAATGTGTGAGCTTTTGCGGGGAGTTGGTGATTGCGCCGATCCAGTAGTATACGATATTGTGCCAGAGTTGCTAAGTGAATCGCAATTAACTTCTGCTAATGTGAATTATCGTGTAGTAAACTCCTTACAGAAAATACCCAATTGAGCATAAATAGGATGAATATCCAGCCGAACCTGGGCTCGTCCCAATCCGTAGGATCCGTGGGCAGCGAGCTTCTGTCGTAATTACGAGTACGGATCTGTTACTCAAGTTAGCCCAAGCCGGCAATCGAGTTAAATGCAGCCAGAAGCAGGACTCGATGGAAACTTCTTACCATTTCCCACACCCAGGCCGCCACGAGAGGAATAGAAACAGCTGTCAGACCAATGAGCCCGCGCTTCCGACGGTCCCAGGTCTCCTGGTCTAGGATCCACCGCAGTGCCCATCCAGCGGGAATCTGAAGACAAACGGAAACAAAAGATAGTAATGAGCGAGTTCTCAGGTTGTTCAAATGGGCTAGATAAGACCTTGTCAGCGAAATGTGCACATGGCGCAAATAGGATACTACAAACCGTTCACCGAGCCACTGTAAACCAGAAAGCCTTCTGCTGGAAAGAAAGCAGGCACCATCATCAAAAGTACCGGATCCGTGAAGATCATCAGATTTGACTTCAGTTCTTCCCAAGCCCCTCGAGCAGGATGAACAGCAACCACAGAGCCATCATCTCGCCTCAACTCCTGCGGACGAAGCAGAAGCAGGCCACAAAGCCCACCGAGAATCATGATTACAATGAAAGCGATATATACTGATCGAGGTACGCCCGCGACTGTGGTGGAGTTCCTGTTGATAATGACCGGTATAATACCGCCAATGACAGACCCAAGCGCCTGCATGTTCATCAGCATAGTAGCGAAGGAGCCCTTTTCCCGTTCTTCGGGGTACGCAGTCGAAACATAGCCAGCCGTTATGAACACCATACCGGCACCGATGCCAATAATCGGCCCCGCTGCGTATGGGTAGCCCTTCCGGCCTGTCTCGTCATAGTACCAGAGCGAGCCAACGTACACGACGTACGTCTGCACACCGATGCACATTGTGATTCCCGGTCCGAGTTTGTTGAGGATGCTTCCGCCGAATGAGGACGAGAAGAACCAGACAGAACAAAGAGTGGCGTTAACGACCTGGACAACCTGGGCCGAGTCAGGCTTCCCACCGCCGGCACCCAATAGGTTCAACGCGATATACATGCCTGCTGATGCGCCGACACAGATGCCGCTAATTATGTTTTGGACCCAGGGGCTGCGATACCGCAGTTGTGGGAGGTTCAATATGCCCATAGTGACTGTGGGATGAAGGTTGGTGAGGCTTGGTGGAGGATATGGGGGTAAAGTGACAAATGGAGACAAACTTCGGAGCAGATGGGGTTGAAGTGACAAACTGGGCTGGACATCGTGGCATTAAAGACGAATTGCGCTCGAATAGCATTATGATGCTTCTCATCGATGCTCATAAGCAGTATCAGCTATAGGTCTTCCGCTCCTATCGACTCCTATCTTGATGACCCCTACGCCGACTTTTGAGCATTATAAGCCATGATCTACATCGGTGACTGGGCTTAAAGTGGAGAGTACTGAATATCACTGGTCTCCTCGGGCTTGCAGTATCAATTCGGACCGCACTCTTACCGGCTTGCATGATAGGGTGGTATCGAGTCTTACTGGACCCCTCAATTGGCTATCAATATTGATACCATTGGCCCTGTAGCCTTGGCAATGCTGTGTGATGCTGATCTAGGACGGGGTCTAGCGGTAATATGAGACCGCTCAAAAAGCTGCTATCGTCTCAATTTGCCTGGAGTGAATAGCACACCCATCTCTTATCTACACTTAATTGTAATACCGTTCACTGGAGGGCCCTCAAAATTATGTCTCCTAAAATGACGGACCGGGAGAAGTACCCAGAGCTTTTCCTCCCAGATGCTAACATCGATCGTCGAACATGTGGACGTATTATGCCAATGGAGGTCCTGAGCCTGGGGCTGTCCAGGACGGGCACTACATGTGAGAATCCCCACAGAAGGACTCGACTTCGTCGTAGACTAAGAATTGACTGTTGGCAGCGCTTCGCCAAGCCTTGATGATTCTCGGACACAGCGAAGTATATCACGGCTTCCGACAGTTCAATAATGTCAGCGAATGCGCTTTCTGGGTCGAGGGTTTCAAGGCGAAGTATGACCCAGCATCTGGCCGGAAACCGTTCGGCCGTGAGGAATTTGATCAGTTGCTTGGGCATTGTTCCGCCGCTTGTGATACACCCGCCAATGCATTTGGTCCTGAGCTGATTGCTGCGTATCCAGGTGGGTCCACCTTACAGGAGCCACAGGAGCCCAGCTGGTAAAGATTGGATAACTCATGTCATTCATCAGATGCAAAAGTCATTTTAGTGGACAGAGATATCTCCAGTTGGATGAGGAGCTTCGAAGATACTATCATTAAGTGGTTCTTCGAGAACAGGCTGCTGCGGCTGCTCTCCTTCCTGAGAGCCCCCCAAGTCGCAGAGATCGACGACATGATGATTGCCTGGCTGAAGTACGTATTCAAAGCCAGCAATCGGGAAGAGTTTCGGGAAAATGCACGAGCGGTTTACATTGACCACTACAAGACCATACGAGAAGTGACGCCTCCCGAGAGGTTACTCAACTTCAGGCTTGTCCAAGGTTGGGAGCCACTATGCGAGTTCTTGGGGAAGCCGGTTCCGGATGTCCCTTTCCCGCACAGCAACGACACTCAGGCGTACCATGACCAGCTTGAGGTCGTGACGAGGAGGGCGACCTCCCTGATGCTGCGTAGGGCAGCCCCAGTCTTGGTAGGTGTGGCTTTCGCAGTTGGGGCTGTTTTGTTCAAATACAGGGTGAACAAGCTCTAGTGATTTATTGTTTGATTCGAGGCTACTATATACTACCTGCACAGAGATGACTAGATAAATCCAAATTTCCTGAAAAGTTTAATAGATGTGGTACTGTAATTCTGATTCTAGTCGATGTTTCAATCAGCTCATTTCTCTCGCGTCACAATACTTCACTGTTGATGTGCTCGATTGGATGAAAGGAGCGTGGTAGAAGGAAGCCGCGCCGTGAGTGAGCAGGGAGACAGACCTACAAGTGTAGAGTCGGCGGCGTGATACTAACGATGAGGAATTAGAAGTTGCTCTGAGGCCCTGCCGCAGAAGGATCCTTATGATTAAACCACAGTTTGCCAAGCTAGGATTAACATATTTTTGGTGGTTTATAGCAGAATGCAATTGCTCGGCTATTATGATCAGAGTGGTCATCTAAATTGATTTGCCATCTCATCTTATCACTAAAAGCTGTACAAAGAATAGAGAACCTAACCGACTGTCTCTCTAATTTACGAGCGATATCAAGCATTCACTAATGCTTCGCTCCTGGTTGCGTCGTACCTCAGCCATTCTAGCAACGTTTCCGTTTACTCGTCGGCTTCGATATCGACAGTGGTCTTAGTCCATTGGCGAGCCGGGACCTTGCGCCTGAACAGGATGTCGATTTCACGGTAAGATCTGCCCTTCATCTCAGGCAGGAAGAAGAACGCCAAGACGAAACAGACGAAGCCAGTGCCACCCCAGACATAACCACACTTGCCACCGAGGTTGGCCTCCTACATTACATGTCAGTCATTGTTCAACTCAAAACTCAGAGGGAGAAGGATCTTACATCAGGGTTGAGCATATAACTTGCGAGGAAGATGCAAGGAATGTTGACGAGGTAGTATGCACCGCGACCAACTCCCGTTGTCAAAGGCCTGAGGCGGACGGAGGATGTCTCTCCGATAATGACCCATGAGGCGGGCGCAGGTCCCAAAGTGAACAAGACGGAGACGATGAGACCCAGGGAGGCCTGCGCCAGCGAAGCTGCTTTCGACGCGACGACGGAGCCTGCAATACCAAGGGCGATGAGGAAGCCCACGTTGATGAGGGAACCCCATACGTAGATGGTACGTCTGCCGAGGTACGAGGTGAGGATCCAGGAGAGCATGACGAAGATCATCTGGAGGGCTGAGGTGATGAGACCCAGGGCGAAGGCGGTGTTGGTGTCCATACCAGCCTCTGCGGTTGATTTAGCATGTACACTTCACCGAGGATGGGCAGTGAGAGAATAACTTACGCTCAAAGAAGTAGACGGCCTGGTTGGCAATCAGGTTGCCTGTCAAATTCTGTGCCGCGTATACACCACACACAATGGCAGTACGGTACAGGTCAGTGCCCTTGAACAGTTCCACCAGGTTGGGCTCCTTGATTGTCTTCTCGAGGTCGACGGTACGGCGCATCATGGCGACAGCCTCGCTGGTGTTCAATCTCGTCTTGCGTCCCAAGCGCCTAACTGACTTCTCTGCTTCTTCGAGACGTCCCTTGCGGACCAGCCACCAGGGTGACTCGGGCGCGAGGAAGAGGAGGATAGCAAGAGGGGTGGGGAACAGCCATTGGAGCGCAATAGGAATTCTGGATCATTGGTTAGCAGAGGATTGCCACTGGAGCGGAAGAATATTTACCTGTACGCGATATCCTCATTGAAATTGTTGTAATGATAGGTGACGCCACCTACGATGATGGAACCAATGGCCCAGAACATTTGCAGCATCTGAGTGGCAGGAGCTCGCAGCTGGATGGGTGTGATCTCGCTGCAGTATGCTGGGGCATTGGCGATGAAGATGCCCCATGGGATACCCTCGAGGAGCTGTGCCACGAACATGACCGGAAGCGAGTTGGCGAAGTAGAAAATAAAGATGAAGCCGTTCAAGAACATGAGGCCGGTTATGGTCGCCCAACGGTATCCGATTCTGCTGGTAAGGGGGCCAGCCAGGAGGACACCGATGATTGCACCAAGCGGCCCAGCCATCTGGAGCGCAGATTGCCAGCTGGCCGCGATGATCATCTTTTGCTTCTCGGGGCTGTATATACCGTAGTTGTCCGCGAACCTAGGTAGGGCAATGAAGTTACCCATGAGGAAGACACAGTAGGACTCCATGATCTGAAAACCAACATGATGTTAGCAGTAGTTCCCCATCGAGAGGGATCGAGGGTTGTCTGACAATAGTGCAGGACATGATAAACGCCCAAAGGGCAGCCATAGGGTACTCCTTGACGGCCTGGATCACACCCGACTTCTGCTCCGCGACCTCTGCCTCCATGGCAGCCGCCTTGTAGGCCTCGAGTTTCGCCTCATTGTCGAGATTGTAGGAGTCCTCGACGTGAGAGATGCCCTTCTCGGTGATGATGTCGTCGCCGCCGCCGGGCTTCTTGGTGTCGATGGGCTCACTCATGTTGGCTGATGTGGGCCGCGATGGCAATGTGTGGGGAAGCTGGGGGAATCTGGGGAAAGATGGGGGAAAGATTGAGGGACAAGGACGACCTCCACCTTTTAAAAGAAAACAGGGGCACACGTTTGTTGCATTGTAGGATTCGACTGTCGCGTAACATTCCATCAATCATAGTACCTTAGCTCGTATGTCGGTCTTATGCCGGTCCGAGGGCCCCGTGACCTCTGATTGTCCATGACCTCGTTTGTCCTCTGCCCCTGCTGGGTCCCTGCTGGGCGAGGCTTCGTTAGCAGCGGTCAGTTCCACCGGAATCGTCGCTAGCGCGTTGCAAGTGGCTGACTCTTATTAAAGGCCTCGGTGATTTCTGCGACAAAGGACAGCCTGCCCCAGGAGAGCAGCCTATCAGGACCTCGATCGCAAAGCTTTGTTCCAACGCCTACCCCATCCCCGCAACGCCAGATCTAGATTAGTCCGGGCGCCCCGAAGCTAGTCCCCAGGTTCTCCAACATCTCTGGAGCATCTCCACCACCAGTTCTGCGCTAACCGTGTCAGATCTCGCCGCCTGATATACCGAGGAAGCGGGATTGCAGGTCGGCCGGAAGGCAACCAACAGTTTAGCTGATTCCCATATAAGCGAAGATTTGGGATCCTTACTACGCGCGTGTCACGCGAGATTTGAGTGGTGCGCTTACCCGCTTGTAACGCATCAAAATAGCCCCCATCTGTGAGCAGGATCAAATCCAGAACAGCCAACGCGCTTAAATGATATCTTATGCATAACCGTGCGAGTTCTTTGGAGTCAATGATATGGTTCTTGAGCAATTGAAGAAAATATTTGGGGTGGGTTGCATGGCAGACGCGTTGTCATGGATGGTACGCGAACGTTGCAAGACCCTTTCCCCCCAGTGCAACCATACTGGGCCTCTTCAATCACCGCTTATTCTTCAACCCCAATTTCGAGGTCAGAAGTTCCAGACATGTAGGGGCCGAGTACAAACCTTCATGCCATTGGTCCTGCTATAACTTTAGGTTCTCCGGTATCCGAGGGGCACTGTCTGTGCTCCACGTCTACAGCCGCTGCCGGTCAGCGGAACGCCACGTCTGGTCGGCCAAGGACCTCCACGTGCTCCAATCTGAGGCACTTGCGCAGGTGCAGGGGGCATCTCTTGGCGCGTCTAGAACCAGCCGTGGTCTACGATTGAGGACAAGCGTAGTCAACAACAGAGGCAAAGCGACTGTGAAAGTCATCGTCGTTCATTGACTCTAGTACCGCTCATACACAGGTCTATTGCTAAGATTTGCCCAGAGAGAAAGATTAATATTCCGTGATTGCTAAGACCGGTGTAGAGAGAATGGTTAATATTCCGTAATGACTTTCAGGGTATCTTTGGGCTTGCCTTTCTCGATGACACCCTTGATGTAGGCGTGCGATATGCGTGTCCACATTTCTTCCGTTAGATCCATCCTAATTCCCGAATGCTCGGGACACCTGCTGACAGTTTGTCACCGTCCAAAGGGGGAGGGTCATCCTTGTTATTATCATCCTTCACCCAACCCAAGTCGATCGATCCATTGGACCCGTGGAGCCGCCTTGATACTCGCACCAATCGCCAGCCTCGCCCTGTGCATAATCGTTCGCGAATCCGCCGCCTAATCTTAGGGGTGTTCCAAGCTTTTTCGTGCCAATCCATAGCCCAGTCAGGACATGAAACCGTTCATGTACAAGAGTTGAACCTAGATGAGAAAGCGAGCCCTTGTAGCGTAGCTTGTAATTTTTGGTCAGTTCGCTCATCCTTCGGTAATTCTTCCGGTGCTCCTTGTGTTTAGCTTCAGCCGCAGCGAGATCTTTCGGATCCTTGTTTCTCTGAGCTTTCAGAATACCATTCTCAAGCTGAGCCAACCCTGGCTTCCACCGAGGTTGTCGAGTAACTGCTTTCTGGTACTCGACCATTCGCTGATTCTGCCCATATAGTCTTTCAAAGACCTATTGAGGACAGTCAGTACGCAACAGGCCAACCTTGCCGCAAACAATAAACGCGCCTCACGGTGGACAGCGATATAGGCCGCTTTGGCCAGGACGTAGCTGCGGATATCACTCCCCCAGCTAAGCCTCTCAGTGTGATCATAGTCCTTCCCAGTAGCGTGAGTAGTGGAGAGTGTCGGAAAGTCGTATTCCAAATAGTCCAACTATGAACCAATGGTCATATGCATCTCATCGCCGTAAATGTCCATGTGGTCATTCTGCCATCGTCCTCGAGAAGACCCACAAGCCGCGTGCTGTAAGTCGATGCATGTGATACAGCCTGAGTTCGAGACCGGTCGAGAATGCGCATGCCGACGTTAACACATTCTCGCTTCTCATGATCCTCCAGTGACCCCTGGCAGACCAGGGGCGAACCGCCATCCATGTCGCGCCCCGAGGTCACACTGCCAGCAGGATCTCGGAAAATTTCCAAACAGTCGGGTGGAACGAAATATTGATCGTAACCGAATCCGCTGCTATTACTCGGGCTCCCAGAGCCGGTGCTTGCACGAGAGCGTGCGGCATTGCCTGTCGAGTTTGAGGAAGCCGCGGACTTTTGGAAGTGAGAGCTATGGGCCTGCGTGAATCTCGCGTCTACTCAACTCGAGACTGATCTGGTCTAAGCCCGACCTGTCTCGTGACTCGCAGGCCTTTTGTTACTGTTTATCGCCAAAGTGGAACCAACCGTGCTGTGCCGTAGCTGCCTGCAACATTCACCTCTTCTCTTTTGATCGAAGCACGAGCGCCTTCCGAGCAAAAACAAGATCACTCAAAAACAAACGCTATGGCGGCCGATTTCAATGGGCTACTGTCCCTCTCCCCGAACATGCCGACAGCTGTTGCATGAGCGAAGCTCTTGACATAAATCACCAGAGCACATTTGTGACCGCCAAACATTGTACCCATATCTCTATTTGTCAGCTTGGTTTGAACTCGACCCTGTTCACTACGGAGATCGTGGACCAAAGTTTCGCGCAAATTGTTGACCGTCTCTCACTCAAAGACATTGCCTTTAGTTTGCGCTGGCCCGAATACACAACACACGACCCCCTGTTAACCCATACCGAGTTATGTTCTGGTGCTCTGGCCAAGACCATCGCCTCTCGTGACAGCTTCAACGTTCAAGCTATGGATTTTAGAACTGATATGTATACCACAAGCCGGCATAGTAGTTTACCACTAAACATGATCTAGGTCCTTCGGAGGTACCAAGATGTCCCAGCTGGATCGCGTGCATCCAAGCTCCCGCTTGTAGTGCTCATAACTGTTACGTTTGGTACCATCGTAGCAGAACTTTTTGAGCTCGATGGGGCTTTCCATAAGCGAGACACTCCCTCGCGGGTTACGTTGCAACCTGTCTAAGTACATATTCCAGACCCAAGGCATAGATAGGCGTCTCGAAACTGATTTCAGGTCATCACATGGCTGGAAATGATCACTTCTACTACAAGTATACACAATAAGCGCGCAAGAAAGATTCTGTGCAAAAGTCATTCGCTCAATTCGTGAACTTAATAGGGTCTGTCCAATCATATGATATATACTATTCCAGATGTACTATGTATTCGAAGTGAAAAGGGGTATCCCGTAGTCATACTCCGAAGAGTATTCCCACAATCCATGATTAACTTTTGAAGCCAATGCAGTAGCCATAACACGCGCCCACGATGCTCTCTTGAGACGCCGGGCTGATGATCTTTTGACTAATCATAGGTATGTATGAAGGTCAAAAGGTCATTACAGCAGGAGGTAAGAGACGAAAGCAGATGCGGCTCCGAAAATGCTGAAGCCGACAGAAGTAGCGGCGCCAGTGACAATCGGGGTCGAGGAGGTCGAGTTGCTGCCAACACCGCCAGCAGAAGCGGTCGGGCGAGGTGCGCCGCTCGTGACGAGGCCGGTGGCAGCGGATGAGCCGCCAGTGGCAGAGGCAGTGGTGAGACCGGCGGACAGAGTGGCACAGTAGGCGCGGGTGCGGGCGTTATCCTCACCCGTGCAGGTGGCGAGGTCGCAGTTGCAGAGCTCCTCGCTCTTGCCACCGGCCACACACGCCTTCCAGGTGGACTGGCAGTCATCCGAAGATCCCGAGGCGGTTGCGGCCGCGGTGGCAGTGGCAGTGGCCGAGGCGACGGCGCTGGAGCTGGACAGAGCCGCGCAGTAGTCGCGGGTGCGGGCGTTGTCCTCGCCGGTGCAGGTGGCGAGGTCGCAGCCGCACAGCTCCTCGCTCGTACCGCCGGCGACACACGACTTGTAAGTCGACTGGCAATCATCCGATGAGTCGCTGGTGGTGGTGGTGGAGGCGCTCAGCGAGGGGTACGCAGACCCGACACAGGCGACCACTTGGGCTGCGCAGCCAGCCTGGTTACCAGAGACCTATAAGACAAGAGCAATAAATTAGCACTACTCGCTTCCACATCCCGCATATAAATCTTTCAGGTATTACATACACCATTGCCAGGCGCTCGGCACTGGTTGTAGTCGATCTGGCACTGCTTGCACTGCGCATTGGCAGCGGAGCATGTGGCCATGTTGGCATCAGCGCCAGTGCGGCATTCGTTGTCGAGAGCGCTGCAGTCGGTGATCTTAGCCATGTCGAGCTGGGCATAAGAGACGGCGGAAAGGGCCGCTGCGACGAGAATGAGCTTCATATTGACGGAATTAATAGTGCAGTACTAGAAAATAGAAGTGTGAATGTAGACAGAGATGCTGAATATAGCACAATTAAAGAGAGGCTTTGCAGTTGGCTGTTGGTGATGACAAAAAGCAATCCGTCGATGTCGTGATGCTCTTGACTTTATATTCTCGACACTCCATGATAAGGGTGGAGAATTTTCCCGAACAGTTCAGAGTTCTGGAGACAACATCGTAATTGAAATAAACTCATAAGGTTGTTTTCCCTGCCAAGCATGGAGCCGGACAGTTTTGACACCAACCGGACCCTCCATAGGGGAGTGATCGCCTTTTACGAGCGAATTGTTCCGGCTGACCTCGCTTTCAGACCTGTGCTGAACCAGTCCGCTTGATGAACGGATCACGTCGCAATCCACTTTTGTCCGTGTTGGGAATGGGTTAGAGGATCTACAATCCCCACGAACTTTATATTTTTAGGACCTTAACCCACGAACCAATGTGTCAGGCAAACTCAGTGCCTCCACGGCGAAGCCCGATTCGCCCCTGGTCGGCAACGTACCGAGGGAGCAATACGGGGTGACAGATGACAGCTCAACACATCATGTAGAAACCCTCCTTGGACTCGAGCGCCAATTCAGCATCACTTTGAACAGTCCATTTCACCCGTAGCTAGCAGCAGATTGTCGTTCAAGTCTCTATGTCCCTCGATCCCGATCATGATCCACCTTCGTGCAAGGCCACATTGCGTCCGAGAGGTCCCAGATCTAACAGTTTTTGGAGTTGCCCTGACGGACCGACTTCCGAGTTGAGATCCGCACAACTTTCTAGAATATATCCGTCGGCGCGTCGAACGTCTCTAACATCGAAACAGTTTCGCCAAGACCGCAGCAGCACGAGTCAGTGTAAAAGGTCGGATCCATCTACCGAAATTCGCAAACTCAGACGGGCAATGATGGTCTGTCAGCCCTGTGTGCCTGTTCGGATCGGTCAAGTCAGCCGAGTCCCGTGATTTTCGCAGAAAGTCAGGTATTTGTGGTGCTTCGGTGCTACTTACTTTCAGCGCTGAAACGACTTAGATTGTGCCCCAGCAATGTAACCTAGTCCACGCTCCCAGCCTAAAGCTGGCATGTCAGATCCCATGTACCTACCATGAGCAGTCCTGTGGCGATAATTCGATGTAGAGCCTGACCAAAATAGGCGAATGCAAGGGCAAAGGACCCTTCCGTCCCGAAGGGTGGGGAAAGGGGTTCGAAAGGGCAACAACCGACGAGCATGAGTCGCCGAAGGCCACTTTGGGACTCTTGAGCTTTTCAGTAACAGCTGAAGGAAGTTGGGCGTCCATATTAAGTGAATTGATCAGCAGATCAGTTGTGTCTATCTAGTCTTCTCCACCATGGGCAACACAGTAGAGTCTTGTGGTGATGAAGTGCAATTGACCACTTCACCTTGCTACATATTTAATGAGAAGTGAGTTCCGTCCGTGAAGTACTCCTACCAAAGTAAGCGACAGGTCACTAGCTGGGGTGCGTTTTCGAAGAGACGATGTATGTATGTCCGCTGGAGGTGTGTTTCATTCGTTCAGCCGAGATGTGTCGACAGGTCTCGCTGAGAAGGACAGTTTTTTATCTGGATCGGAGAAGGCAGTGACATCATTAGTGGAGATTCGGGACCTTCGTTCGTGTTCTAATATCGACCGCTGTATATTGTCTAAAGGATTAGACATTTATGATGTGGAATAATGTAGACAATTGAAGCGGTGAGTGATGGGTAATTGGGCGATTCTTGGAAGCGCCTGCCTTGCAGTAAATAAAACTTAAGCTCAGGAAGACCGAACACAAGTGATGATAGCTGGTCACGTTCTACTGAGCAAAAAGCTTTTGTCAGATTTTCCTAGGCGTAAAGAGCGCGTGGGGAAAATCGGACAGACTAATTCAGCCCCCCAGAATCAAAGCCAAGTCGGTCCTTCCAGTGAGCTATGTACAGTTCCCAAACAGCAGATTCCCTCATTCCCTTGTTAGCGAGACCACATACGTCCTCGTTCCCCCAACCAACTCGATACCTATCCTCGCCGTCAAAGTCCTCATCACCCTACCCTTCAAACGTAATTGTGCGGTATGCGGCCTCACCGAATCCTGGTTTGACAAGTGGCACCGCTCCAAATCTCGCGTCTTCGCCTTGCCAGCGCGCCGCCACGCCACGAGGCCCACGTCCGGGAAACCCCAGCGACTGGATGGGTCAACCCTGAGCAGCAGCACAAAGTATTCCTTACCAGAGCCCTGCTGCCGGCCAGGCTTATTGAGCCTGTCCATGCTCATGAGTGCGGTTGCAGTGAGCCGGCCGCGCTGCAGACGGAGTGTGCCGTACCTCGTGTCCCACAATTCCTCCGGCGTCGCGGACACGATGGAATAGTCGCAATTGTGGACTGATATCGAGACTTTTGATATACTCTCCATCGTCTCGATGCTTTCGTGGGCGGGTGTCGTCTTTTTTAGCAGGAAAATGAGTTTTGTTTCTGCGCTTTGCGCCACGTTGTCTGAGACGCAGGCGAGGGCCGGAGTTGATGATGAACGGCAGTATACACCAGGTTTGAGATGACACGGTTCTATGTATATGCCCATGAAGCCCCCTAATGGATCCGAGGTGTGACACCTTAGAATCGCAATAGTCTTGCCCTCAAACTTAACAATTGGGAGACGAATTCTGATGCCTTTGTTGGTGACTGTGTGGGGCTCTTCCTCGTCGCCTGAATAGGTCTGCATGTTATCGAGCCCCTGGAACTGCGATGGATGCGATGCGAAGGCGCCAAGGACCACGTTGGGAGACTCATTCCAGGGTCCGGTCTTTGCGTGATTTCTCCTCCCCCAGGCGAAAAGTGAGTGATCGTCGAACTCCTTAATAATTTCTTCCTGCAGTCGTATGAAGGCGCTGTGGCCGCCCTCACCATACAGCAGTGGCATGTGGACGCCAAAAACTCCCAGGAGGCAGTAAGCGAGATCTTCCGGCCTGGTCGTCTCCCTCTTAGCAGCCCAAGATAGCCTTTTTGCGATGTTTGCTTTCTGCCAGCTCCCATTTTGTAGGTACATTTTGTCAATCCCTGAAGCCACAGAGACCGGTTCCAAAACCTCAGGCCTTGGGCCGAGGAAAACCCAATGCTTGTCGACGAAAAATAAGCGACCTGGAGCCAGCAGCTCCTGGAGCGTCCATCCCCTGGTGAACCATCTGCACTGGATAAAGGCGTCGTCGCTAGGGCGGTATTGACTGGAACTCTCCCCACCTGGGTGCTCGTAGTCTTCCAGGATTGCGACGCAGAACACGGCTTCTTGGTACCACACAAACATGGAATTGATAGCTTCCGATAACTCTGAACTGCTTGACTTGTCGATGCAGCAGGTATCAACCCAAACGTGTGTTGGCCTGTAGGCAGAGGGCCACATCACCGCATTTTTCCGATCAACTCGGCGATCTTCAGCACATCTTGGGACTCGCACGGGGGTCCTTGGGGCATCCCTGTCCCTAACGAACTGGCCGAACTTGACAATTTTTTGATAACCTGCTTTTGCTTCTAACTCGTTTCGGCTTTTTGTGGTCATATCTGCATATGTGACTTCGTCTGGGCCCCATGTATGTGACAGGATGGCATAGGACGGTATCTTGCCATACCCAATGAAACTCTCCAGCTTGAGGGTCTCGAGATTGATGAGCCTCATGCTGGACAGATGTGGAGAACGGAGGGGCGAACTAAACACTGCTATGATCTAGTCTTGTGACCATAGTTTGTCTTGTTCATATACGATCAATTGGACGGTATACCAAAGCTTGCAAGGTCGTGGAATGGGGAGGTCGCCGAGACGCTTAAGCGAAGCGCTTCCGCAGGACGAATAAAATCAACACAGGAGCACAGCCACTAAGCTGGACGTTGCATTAGTCGTGGCATTGCACGCACCCCCCCGCCCCCACACACTGCAGCCAACAGCGAAACAGTGGCGCAGAGGGGCACTAGTCGCGGCATTTGGGATTTCCATACATCAATTGAGTTGATTTTCGTCATTATCTCCCGACATGCAGCATGCAGGTCAAATTAGGGCCTTCTAGTGTAAAATCTACGGAGGAGCTGGATCGAAATCGATCTGTGTCTCCCTCGACGCATCGACGTCTGGGAGAGACGTTTTCCATCACCGCCACGATGAAAGTTTCGACCGCTCAATCAACGGAGGCTTAGACCATGGCTCCCAAGTCCAACACCGACGTCCATGCTGCCGCTCAAGATAAGGTTTCCTACGCACACGTTGAGCAACGTTGACTCCTCTTCCCCTACTCGTCCCTGAATGCCTTTCTGTATCTGGGTTGAGAAGACCAAAAAATGAACATGCCATGTGAATTGCCGTCGTCAAATCATCCAGGCAACTCGGCAATCGGGTGCGCAGCCAACTCGCTCGGCGCAGGTCTCGCAAGAGCGCCGTGACCCGCGGTCGACGAGCTCCGAGTCGATGCATCGGGATCCAGCTCGGAACGCAGAGACCATGGCCTTGCGGCCTTGCAGCCGAGCTCAGACAGGGTGGGCGTGTTCGGATGCGACGCGTCCTTGGGTGTTCCGACCGCAAGGCCGAGATTGAGAGGGTCCGCCTCGCTGGCCGTGCCGCTCTTGGTGCCTCCGTGGATGAAGTTGTCCACGGCGCGGGCCTCTTCCTCGTTCTGTAGTTGCTGCTGGCGGCGGCGGCGCCAGAGGCTGAGGAGTCCCCCGATGATAGCTAGCATCACCAGGGTGCCGGCTGCCGCTCCAACGATGGTGCCGATCTTTGCGCCGGAGCTGAGGCCGCTCTCATTGCTTGGAGGGGAGTTGCCCGGAATGTCGGCTGCGTTGGTGTCCGTTGCTGTTGCAGGGGCCACTGCCGAGTCAGTGGGGGAGCTCGAGAGGGACGATGATGTTGTCGCCGTGTCGGTGATGCTGGCCGTGGTTGTTGCTGCAGATGATTTGAATGATGGGTAGTATCCCTTGAAAAACTGAATGCTTTCACCAACTGAGGTCGGCAGTGTTGCAGTGGGCTGGATGATCGAAGACTGGGAAATTATCATGCTTCTGTCGGCCTCATCTGTTGGGCAGTAGCACGGGTCAGGCTGGGTAAGCTTCGCAGGCTTCTTCTTCTGGTCGCAGAGGACCCACTCGTTGCTCGTTTTATTGCAGTACGAAAGGCCAAGCCAGGGCGTCTCTGGGAGGGAAAAGAGCCAATGTCAGCTGTGTAAAGTGCAGTTGGCGCTTGACATCAGTGTCAGAGATGCATCGCTGTTGACTCACTTGTATCAGAGAACTTGTTGGGGCAGCTGGGGTGGTCATATTTGGGATCGGTGCATCCAGAGATGTATGTAACCCCAAAAGCTGCGTTAAAGCAGACACTGCTCTCGAGGCAGAAGTCAGAAGCTTGGCAACACGCGATGTGGTCGACAGCCACATTCCCACAAGGTATCATCAGCGGGTCGGCCAGTAGCTTGATACCAGCATAGCAGGTGCCGTTCGAGACGAAGATATCGATATCATCAGACATCTTGTCTTCTTGGTTGTCAAAGATTGTTAACCACGGTGGGTTTGGATGGTCGCGGTGGTTGTCGTCGTCGTTGGTACCGTCGTAGGTCCTGGCGATCTAGTGTGCTTATCTGGTTGTTCACTGGCAAGCCACCCTCAAGCAACCCTGAGGTCGCGTATTTTTCGTTGATCAGGTACCAAGTGGGAGCTGGAAGACCTGCAGCTTGAGGTGCCTTGCAGAGCTTAAGACTGATTTGACAAACAGAGTGCTGGCGTCACGAAGTTGGTCCGTGAGAGGATGGATACCCAAAGGGCCCCGACAATTGGTCTCGAGCTCTAGGCCGTCCGGCCTGCGAGTCGATTAGAAGGTAACAATCGCTACCTCGTTTGGTGATAAGGATCACCAGAGGGTCCAGGTCAGTCACAGCCAACGATCAAAAGGAAGCTTGCAAATCTGGCAGGCACCCCAGGGTTTGATGTTGTGAATTGTCTTGGGCTGCAAGCTGCAGGTTTGCTGCTGGTTCACAGTGTGACAGGTTACACGAACTCGTCTGATGTACACCCAACGCCCCGTAGATCGCTCACCCTGCCAATCATTCTGCAGTACAGCATCCTGGGGCATGTCGATTTTGGGTCTCGCAAGACGGGGAAGTGCATCTGGTGGCATTTCATGGCGGGCTTGGCTATGCTTCTTCCGAGGCTTCGCCTTGTCCGAGCTCATCACAAACAAAGGAATCTGGAAATGAAGAGTATCATAAGTGGTATCAGCTTAGCCGCACCGACCTCCATACCATGTCCCATGTCGTCTCCATCTAGAACGAAGGATATGACCGTATATTGAGGTTGCCAGATTGCCAGAGTCTCAAGTTGAGTCCCATGTGTCAAACGACTGACTTTGAGTTCATGCTGTGCTACCTGCTGCCACACATTCTCCAGTGCCGAGACCGCACCGTTGAGATCGACTGGTTGTCTTGAGGCTGTGAGCACAGCACTTCCACATGTTTTACCAACCAGACTGTGTTTGTAGAAAGGCTCAACTTCGAAAGGGTTCGGTACTCATTAGAGCTATGCTAATATGTGATCAGCCAAGTGTATTGGATTTGAGAGTCAGCACGGCTCGCAGCACTGAATACCAACCCCTGGCTGCTTTGCTGTTCCTTTGATTCTCATACATACGTTTATAGACGACATACGGCAACAGGAGGACATGTTAAAATCGATGCTACTTCAATCATGTACACAACCTGCTTTTTCTGGTAACAAACCGAGAGAATCGCTGCAGGCTAATCAGAAGGTGGTTTGGATCTGATTGAGCCTCCCGCTCGTAATCCATGACTCTCTGTAGAATGGATGAAGAATACAATCGGGACCAGGCACTTATGCGAGAAATGACTCTTCACTTCCCCATCTGGGCCACTCCCAAGAGCCATTACAACCCAGCCAATAAAGAGGGTTAAGCTTCAGGAGCCAGGACCAGCTTTCCTGGTGGCAGACAGCAATGATACTCCCAGCCTAGACAATCAGCTCTCAGTAGGCATAAAATATCTGGGCGGCATTATCATCGCGCCGTATCCTCTTGTTCTCCCTCATCAGGTCCCATCTCATATACCAGCTCAAAGCAACAGTGGCAAAGCACATGCCGGCACTTGCAGCCATGGGCAGGACATAGCGAGGAGCTGCGGAGTCGGGCCATAGGTACTGATCAGCCCAGTCAGCATTGATCTCCCAAGCTTGAGTCAAACTGTATATGTCATCCTGCAGGTCAGACCGAGGACTTACCGGTGTCCAGATCAGGCTGACACTCGACAACGTGTTGACAGCCGCTAGAGACGCAGCTCTCTTCTCACTCGTCTGCCCGCAGGTAATGCCAACCCAGGACAGATTCAGCGGGCTGACGGGATACGTCGCGGCCACAAACACGAAGGCGGCGAAATACCTCGCCCCGGTGTCCATGGTGGCGCAAGCCAAAACGAAACCTATGATGGATACAAACTTGATGATAGTGATATGCCACGTCCGCTCATTGAACCTGCCAGACGATAGCCCCGCCAGGACAGAAGATATGCCAGCAAGGATATACGGCGGGCAAGTGAGGACCAGCGTGACGGTCCGTGAGAAGCCGAGAGTATCAATCAGCGTCGGGAGGAAGATGCGGAAGCTGCTGGTAGCGGTCTGAAGGTGCTGAGACACCATGAACACCCACACACACCGGTCCTTTAGGCACTCGCGCAGGCCCTTGAGCAGGTTCACGTCCTCCTTCCTCTCGACCGTGTCCGCCGCGATGCGGTCTGCCGCCAGCTGCTTCTGGGCCGGCGTCAGCCACCAGGTCGTCGTGGGCTTGTTGGGGAAGAAGAAGAGGCCTGTTATGCTGAAGAAGAGGCTGAAGGATCCCATGATCAGGTACATCCATCGCCAACCTGAGAGGCCTCGGACGCCGCCCAGCTCGCTGTAGATTGGCGCTGCGATGAGGCCTTGGAAAGCCGTAGCGAGGATGTTCGCACTAAACAGGATGCTGATCCGAGTTGCTATCTCTTTTCGCTTGTAGACTAACGCGGCTGTTGTCAGTAGTTGCTCGAGCAGCACTCTTGAAATTTTGTGAACGTACACAAGCTGACCATGTACATCGCCCCTGGGTAGTACGGGGCTGATATGATGCCCAGAAAGAACCGCTGTAGTATCAGGCCGGTATTGTTCACCACAAAAACATTGAGCATAGTGGCGATGCTGGTCATAGCCATAGCACCGCAGATATACCACGCCGGTCGAACCCGCGTAAGAAGTAGGTTTGAAGGAATCTGGCCCAAGATGTAAGAAGCATAGTGGACCGAAACTGCGGTGCTGAATTGTGTGTCATTGATCCCCAGATCTTCTTCAAGGCTGTCCAGTCGAGCTACAGAGATAGCCTGTCGGTTGAAGATATTCATGAAGCATAGTATCCACAGAAAGGGCTATTGGAAGGTGGTTAGAGTCGTAGCATTCGGCAGATCTGGCAGGCAACATCGCAGCCTGGGAACCCTGCTGCGGATTGAGAGCTTACCATCATGCATGTGTCAAGCTTCCTGACCAGGGCGATCTCCGCCGGGTCCGTTTTTCTTGAGGCTCCCGCATAATCCACCGAGATTTCACTTTGCGCTTCAGTATCCTCCAGAAAGTGACGTGTTGGGGACTGCTTATCAGTGACAAATTCTTCCGATATGCTCTTGCTCTTGCTGTCCATTGTGTTGGTGGCGCAGTATTCCAGTAGTTGAAGGTACTTCTCAGGTTGACGAGGGCCAAGAGTTCATGGGAGATATGAGGGTTCTTGTCTGATAAATCTCATCTACTACATTACTCTGCTATGTGGTGAGTGTAGGAGGCTGTGAGCAGTATAGCGATCAGATTAAATGGGCCATGGAGGGATTTTGGTCTTAAATATCCAACCAAGAGGCGAGGGAGATAAATACCAACGTATAAACAACTGAATGGCTAGGACTCCTCACCAACGGCCGCCATACAGATCTCTTCTGATTCAGAAGTTGGTAATGTGAGGCGGTACAGTCGCATACTTTCCCCCATGGTACCCAAGCATGCACTGCTTAGTTTGCCTTTCTTGACCTTCAGCACTCCAACTGCTCTGCTAGACAGCAGCCGCGCGACGCTATTGATGCAACGAATCCAGTGGTACCAACGATCGATCTAGCCTTTCATCAAGGCATATCACGGCCTTGGCCCGGTGTTTTTATGAAGGCTATGTCCGAGTGAGCCGTCAGTGCAATGAGTGTATGCTCCACTGCCCCAGGCTCAGATGAGGGTGGCTGCATTTTTCAACCGAAGAAAAAAGGCCCAAACTGTCCTGCCCGTGCACAAGAGAACGCCAAGATAACGTAAATAAAACAAGTATGCTAGGCCATGCCATACTTTACCTCCATCCCGGCGTTATTTGTGGATAACAAACCCTGTGAGACGTCAGGAGCTTTCATTCTCCTTTTATCCAATGTCACATGAAGCCCATCCCGTGGAAAGTCCGTATGGTATACATGTGTCCGAGGTACTAGTGCGAGGCGGTCTACGCCCAAATATGTTCCATGGCTAGTCTTAGATGAACCAATTCCCCGGTTAAGGTGACATCCAAAATTGTAGGTCCGTGGGTTGATATCGGGCCCTCATAAGACGGTGCAATCCGCCCCATCACCAAAGTTCATAGATTTCGAATTCATTCCTGCGTAAATTCTACGCACAATTGGCCACCGCCCCAGAAGCCCATGGCGGTCTAACTGTGGAGGTACTCAGCCATTGTCTTAGAGCTGCCCGTCCTTTTTCGCGAGACGATACACCTTCACAGGGGCGTCACCACCTGTCAGCGAGGATGGCCACAAGACGCTTTTAACCTTTATAGCTAGGGTCTCGGGGACCAGAACCTTAAATGCCTGCCAAATGGCTGGTCGGGCAGCATTCAAGCCAAGGGCGGGGAAAAGTAATTCAAAAACGCTCTGGGCCGGCATCTCCTGAGCTTCTATGCCCCGGGTCGCCGCGGATAGTCGACGGGTCTGAGGGGGTTTGTGGAGGATGGAACGCGGAAGGAGAGCGAGATGACATGCACTCTTATCATGTGGATTCATGATATTCGTGTGCACAGCGCTGATATTCGTGGTAGGTGTCATTATCATAACCCTCACTGCTATGGAAACGTCTTACGATGAAGCAAATGATCGCTCCGCGCAACATTGAGCCAAAATACAAACGCCCGCTTGGAAACCCGCCGTCAAGGGTATCGTCACTTCTCCGGCGAAGGCCTGTAGATATTTTGCATTTACCCATCAACCATCGTCTGGCCCTTATCCCTTCGATGATGACGAAGAACCCCTCTCGTTTTCAAACTGTTTGAACAGCCTGAGCTGCAGCTTCTGCACCATATCCACCACTTTTCGCGTCTGCGTCGCGTCGCCCACGAACCCAAATTCCCGCTGAACCTCCCTCTCCAGCTCGCGCTGTACCCTTGGCGGGAGGCTTTGGCTCAGATATTTCTCGTACTCAGAGGCACTGCAGAGCCAGTTATCAGAGGGCTCTGGTTGCTTGGACCCTTCCGGAAGTCGTGTCTCGGCTGGCTCGTCTTCGTAGACTAAATATCGCGTGTTAGTTTGATGATGCCAGATGGAACTGTAATGGAGATACAGGCGCTGTTCAGGACAGAGTATGGGTAAAACTTACAGGGTGAAGGCAAAGCACCCGTTTCCTCAGGGAAGAGCACAAGATATACCTCATTCCACCTCTGCTCCTCCGTAGTGTTTGGCGGCACCCGTTTTTTTATCCTCAGAGCCTCCTCTTGGGATGGCAGCATCGTTCCCTCAGGGAAAGCATCCGTCCTAGTCTCACATGGAACCGATGCCCGCTGGTGAGCTAACAGCTCGGACGCACTCTTGCATTTCTTGAGACATCGGCTGCAGGTATGTTTGCCGATTGTGTGGCATCGATACAAATGCTCTTTTACTCGGTGTACTGTGGGCCAACCTGGCCCACAGCATGTTCGCTTTTGTCGGAATTTCCCTGGGTTGCTTTTATCTGTATTGTTTTGAATCAGCAAGGATGAAACAATCAAAGGAGCATGGGATGATGTATTGAAGACAGCCCGAATGCTATATTGATGGGAAGACCATGGTCACTTACAATACGGACAAGCAAATCTCTTCTCGCCTGTTTTTGTGCTGCTTGCTGCCGGTGACTCATCGACGGTTGAAGAACCACTATCCTGCGGACTGGTACTGGTCTTAGGGGATACTCGTCTCTCGAGGCCGTCCAAGTTGTCGTTCAATTTCCGCTTGCGCGTCTTCTCGACAGACGCGCTGACCTGTCCCGTGCCATCGTTGTTCCACATCACAGGAGCAGTGTAGTTCCACGTTCCAAGGACATCGGCACAGTTCAGGCTGTTGTATGTAAGCCCGCTTGCCGGCAGTACTGGAGCAGTGTTCCACTGGAGAGGATTCATGTCCATCGAAAAGTTCCATGTTGTATTTGACGCGCCGCCAGTGATGTCTTCGGTGTTGGTGAAGCCCAGGCTGAAATCGTCTGGGGTGGTCGATGACAGAGTCGTGATGCTGCTGTCAGTGCTCTCCACGTCCCAGACAGAGGAGGCGAGTGGGCTTGGAGCGCAGTACGAATCGTCCTGACGACATTTCTCGCTCAAGCTGTTGATATGTTCGGCGACTTCATCACCGGATGCACGATTGAGATAGGCGTTTTCAATAACGAACATTCGGTGAGAAATGAAATTAAGGAAGTCCCGAATGAATGGAGACGCATTCCTGTGGCGTGAGAGATCATTAATCCAGGTGAGGACTGATCCCTTCAGGGTAGCTCCTATTCCTCCAGTTTGGCTAGGGTCGACAAATGTGTCGAAGTATTCGTCTGATAGCTTGCCAGCAGCGGTTCTCGTAGTACGGCGCTTGGCGAACTCTTTGAGACCGGAATGACCCAGAAGGAACCAGGTCACGAACTCGAGGTAGGTACAACCAAGACCCCAGATATCCCAAGAACGGGAGACGGGCTTGAGCTTTGTATCGTACTCGGGAGGTCTGTAAGTAACCGTCATTTGACGTAGAGGATCAGGATGCTTGGAGGCATCGTAGAAGTCACCACCACCGAAATCACCGATAACCATGTCTCGGTCATCCATGACACTTGAGGGACTGCTGCTCCTCGAGCTTCTGTCCGAGGGAATGGTGCTGCCTTTGCCAGTGGTTGGTGGACCCACTTGAATGACGATGGTTAGCAAAAAGCTTGTATTTACAGGGCAGATATCCGAAATTGACCCTTAAGAGGGAGTGTAGGGTGTACAGAGTGCGTGGGAGAGCACGATAGGAGTAGGTAATAGGTGAGAAGCGACAGGGCGACTTACTAGCTAGCTCTCTGGCCTTTTGGCCCTTTGAGAAGATGAAAATGTTTTCCGGTTTGATATCACCGTGGATACCGATTTTATTCATCAGCCTCTGTTGTCCTGCAGGGTCGTCGGTGGAATTCAACCAGGACTCGGCACCAGCGTGGACGGACTTCAGGGCGTCAGCGATACTGGCACACTGATTGGCCAGCCACCGCATCTCTTCTTTTCCGGGTTGCTGTGGGTTGTCGTTAGACTGCCACAGCCGCCTAAGATCACTGTCGGCCCAGGGGAACACCAAATGGTAGCTGCCCCTGTACTTGTACGTTGCCAGCAGGGAGAGGAGGTTGGGATGATCTGCGTTGTGTAGGCGCTGCAGGTTGCGAACTTCACGATGGAAGGCCTCTTCATCCTTGGACTTCAGCCTTTTGATGGCGAAGTACGGGTTATTAGGAATGGCGGTTTGGAGGTTCTGGAAGTTGTAGTGGGCGTCGTGGATCTTGACCTTCCACACCTCTGAGTTACCACCCTTGTAGTGGTTCTGTTTCTTGTTCTCCCAAGATTCAATGTAAGGAAGAATCATCTTCTCGTCGAGGTCGACGTAGTCATCTTCTTGCTTGGCCATGTCGGAGAAGACGGGGGAGAAGAAGCGCCATTGCAACCTTTCGAAGGCTTCAAGGTCAGTCTGGTGCCAGCCGTTGAAGCAGGAACGGGCGAAGTCCGTCAGTGGAAGAACCAGCTCTTCCTGTGCAATGAAATCGACAATCTTGTCGACTTTACCCATCAGGAGGAGAACTCCGAAGATACGGAGGAGCCGGAGGTCTTGACCATTGGCCGTAATGCTTGTAGCCATCTTCTGGACCTCCTGTGCTGGCATGGCAGGGAAGTAGTCGATCAACTCAGCAAGTACTGCTTGCTGTGATAGGATAACCCTGAAGGCATCATCTGGGATGAAGAGACGCCCGCCGTCACCCCGGACAAGAGCATTATTTATCTTATCCTTCAGGGACTGGGCTGACCCGTCCTCCAGTCCCATTGTGGTCCACGACAGATCCATGGACTCACCATCCGCAACAACGTTCTCAAGTTCCTGTGCTACAGGAATGAGCTCTTGCGGAAAGCCTAGGTCCAGCTGGGAAGGGTTGGCGAAGTCGATGGAGTCAATCCCGCCAGTGGATGTGTGCGCCACATGGCTGACGCCCTGATCCCGAGTATGGGATTGAGAATTGTTGCAGGAATGGTACGGTCCAAAAAAGAGGCTATCATCATTGAAGTTGAAGGTGTCTAGTGTGGTGTCCTGTGTGGTGTAGAAATGGTTCGATAAAGACTTTGAGCGTGGTCAGCACGACGCGCAGTCCATTAATACG